CCATGACGCTCTCATACCGGTCTCATACCGGTAGTGTACTGGAGCGCCCGTAAGAGTTTGAATGCAGGTTTGGGTAAAGAATAAACGATTAGTATCAACCTTTGGTAAATAGTGTGCATAAATATTAGCATTTATCGACGGGTACCTGATTCCGGCAGATATTAGCTTAAACATTTCAATTAAGAAAGAGAGACCCGGTTTGGTACCCGGTTTTGGAAAGTTACAAGTTTTTTGCCAGGGCCAAGCACAGGTCTTCGACCTGTGAATTACTACTTGTTGAGGTTATTCAGCGTTTGTTAACAGGCTTTTTGTTTAGCCGTAGGCTAAGCTTAGTTCCTTCCCCGTAGAGCTTAATGGGTTTTCGAAAGCTAGATGAGCTGGTCTTCGTATTCACTACGGAAGTCCTCCTCAAGCACTTTTCGAGCGAAAACTTGGCGAAGTGCAGTAGGCGCCGCATACTCAAGGATATTGGACAACGTGAACTGGTCGAGATCACGGCCCGCAAGCTTGACACTATGCGCCGTGTCAGGTGTCAACAATGTTTGGCTAGATAAAATCACACTGAGCAACGATAGCTTGCATTCCATCGATAGGGACGCACGTGGACGGCCGATTGGTTTGAGATGATACGCTCGAAGCTCGTCGATGCAGTCGTGGTACGGAGGCGGCAGGTGGACATCGAGGTATTTGAGGCGCTGATTCACTTCCAGCACTCGCTGAAGCTTCACAATAATTCTTGAAATACATGGATCATACATCGTGTTTCCATCGTCGTCTCTTCCGTCACGGAAGGCATTCAACCTGACACGCATCCGGCGCAAGCACCTCGCAAGGGGGCTGGTGCTGTCACTGAGAGCCTGGGCGAACGCTTCAATGTATCGCCAATCGTAGTCAAATTGATCGATTTTGCCGTCGTAATCGCTGAAGTTAAAGCGGAAAAATGCGATTCCAGCACCGAAGGTCAGCTCCTGCAAGTTTGGACAGTGCTGGAGAATGCCCTCGAGCCCAGCTTGGTGATAGTCCAGACCCAAAAACGTCAGCGACGACCCTACGGCAGCGAGAAACATGGGCAATCCCTCCCAGAGATCTCCATCGTCCTCCGCGAAGCCAATCTGTAGCGACGTCACTCCATCACTCGAAACGCCAGTGTAATCCTTGGTAGGAGGTTGAAACTTCAGGTCGTCACGCAGGACTTGGCATCGTCCAAGGCCAGGAATGATCGCGTCCACCCACGTGCTTGTCCCATCGTCGCTGAAGGTGCGAACGAATTGAACAGCAGCATCAAATGTGATCGGATCCCAGTCCAGGTTGGGCTCACCTTGATCATCAAACTTCCACAGGATCGGGGCTCCACTCTTCAGCGTCGCATCACGAGGCTTGATCAGCCCACGAGGTCGATCGAACAGCTCCTCGTCCGGGTGGTCAGACTTCACGACGGCTGTAAATCCCTCCATGTCCACAACGCTCATGCTTCCGATCCGCATCAACGCAAGAGACTTCAACGTAGAGCACGCCCGCGCTCGCTTGGAGAAGAAGGCGTAGGCAATCCACTTCCACCTGTGTCGCGTCCGGACGGGATTAGCCGCCCCGAACTTCGGCTTCATCTTCAACTTGATCGATAGCTTGGTCGTCGTCTGGTTCACAACCATCGCCGAGCAAAACGCCTCAAACCTTGAGTTCGGACAACCACGGCAATCGAGATGGACAGCGCCGAGCTGGAGACGTGGGATATCTTCACCGACAGCATCTACGTCGAAAGTGTAACTTGGTTCCGCACAGGGACGACGGACATTGTCGAAGACTTGAGTGATGTGGGTGGCGAACAGCTTCTTGGCCGCTGGCTTGTCGCCTTCAAGCTCATAGTCCATTCTCATCTGCAAACACAAGTGCGAGAACCGAGCATTGTTCGTCATTAATGCTCCAAGCAGCTCCGCCATCGCCGAACTAGCAATTTGGCTGAACTCTGCCTCCATCGGCTCCAACTCGAACGTGCATCTCAACGAGCCTGGCGCTACGAGAAGGTTCTTCCCGCGCTATTGCCACTGATCTCGAATCGTCTGCTCCGCTCGCCAAATGTCCTTCAAGAGGTGAGCTGGTCCACTCCAACTCACCCTAACAGGAACTTTGACGTCCACGCCCGCACTTTCAGCCGTAAAACGGGGATCCGGAGCCGCAATTTGCGCCAGTGCCTCGATGTATTCCTCGCTGGGGTTGTCGTGGAAATTGGGTCCACAGAACTGAACCAGGTCCGAGTTGAACGATCCGCTGTCGGTGCCTGCGGTCGCCTTCACGTGCATCCGCAGCTGGAAACGCGGTAGAATTTTATCTCCGTAGCTGGATTCCCACTTTTGACCAAACTCGTACACATTGGGCTCTTTGTTTCTGGGGTTGCGGCTTATCCTGGAGTAAATCACGGCGGGGGTACGCGTAAAATCAAAACAGGTGAGATCTAGAGTAAGATTTTACAAAACCGGATATGTTACGAGTGACAGGCCGAACCGAGACGATCAGAGTAAGCTCCTGGCCATTCCTCAGTTTTCGCTCAACATGAGCAGAGCCGACGAGGCAAGCGGCAGCGACTTTGCCTCGTCTTCGGACGAAGAGGGGCAGCAAGTCAGAGCGACTCGTAAAGCGTTCGTTGTGTGCGAGGTGTTCCCAACCCTTGAAGAGGCGCAGATTGGCATTGACGTCTTTCCACTACAAGTACAAACACAACTACAGCAATGCTGGCAACGGTACTCGTATCTACTGCTGCATGTCCCATGTTAATTGCCCCAAACGGCTGCGGCTGTCTAAGGTGGAAGGCGAAGCCCAGGACGAAAGCGGAGCTCAGTTTGTTTTGGAGGAGACAGACATGCATGGAGACGAAGATCAAGACACTCACCGCCGTGGAATTCACGGTGCGCTGAAGCGAGAGATCGACAGCATTCTGTTCAGCGGCGCTGGACCAAAGAAGTGCCGGAAGCTGCTGCTAGATCGTCACGGAGACAACCCAGTCATGCTTCAGCATTTACCCACGGAAAGTCAGCTGAAGAACCGAAAAGCTGGACTCCGGAAGAAACAGTCAGGTATGATGTTTTTGGCAGCTCTGTACTTTATTTTGGGTTGATAGTAATAATTCTGAACAATTGTGGTTGTCTTGCATTTGGTTCTGCCACAGGTGGGTGGGAGATTCACAACTTCGCGACTCTACTAGAGTGGGCGTACACACATTTGTGTACATTGAAGAGTGGCTTCTTTGGTCACGATGACGACATCAGCGCTGCGGACGCCGCAACGCAGTTTGCCAACAAGTCCCGCCAGTTTCAGCACGGTGTGGTCGTTCTTGAGTGCTTTGAACACGACTTCATTGACCAGGATGGCAAGGCAGCAAAGTCTTTCGGGCTCATATTGACTTCGCGTCACATGCTCCTGAACATTCCCAAGGCCTACGAATGCCAGCAGGATATTGGCGTCTTGGGTGCTACGGATGGAACATATAAACTGCATTTCGGTAAGCTTCGAGGTGTGTTACTAGTCGTGGCAAGGTGCATTAGCTGACCGTTTTCTCTTTTTTTGTAGGTGGATGGACCCTCGTAGACTTTGGGACCTACACGATGCACTATTCGCGGAAACAGTACTCCAAAACATTTGTCCCTTGGATGTATATGTTTGTCAAGACAGAGCATCACACGGCGTACGCAACGCTTTTTCGGACTGCCAAGCACTTTACCCGACTGTTTTCGGAGTCGATTTAGCCCTTGTCTATGGCAGCCTCGATAGGACCCAAGGCATTGCGAACGCTTTTAAGGAGGTTTGGCCTGATGTAATTCTCCTTAATTGCTACCCGCACCTCGTGCGGAAAAGTCGAGAGAAGATCAAGCTACTCAAGGACCCTGCGTTCTACGAAGACAACGTGCTACCCGACATTCGCTATCTCAGTAAAGCTCGCTCGGCCAAGCAGTTCAAGGCGCTCAGTAAACTCTTTCTCGAGTTTTGGATCCAACAAAACGAGCGAGACTACGCCAAGTGGTTCAAGGACATTTACTTGGGTGACACGTGGGGGAACTGGTTCTACGTCGCCGCCGCCGCAGGCATAACACCGTCCCAGAATGCCCTTGAGGCTCATCACCGCGTGATCAAGAAGGTGTGTGTCGGGACGCTTCGGGCAAGTACATCGGTCGTCTTGAACGACTCAATTCCTCGTATTCTTGGTCTCCAAGAAAGCGAGCCAGCTCGCCCTGCTCTAAACCACTTCTCGGAAGGTAAGATGACGTTTGTTTATCATTTGCTAATGGTGTGTACCGATTGATTTTATTATTCGTGTATCTCGTGCATTCTAGGTCCGTTCATGAGTGGTGTAGTAGCGCGCGCGCAAACGCTTGTCCAAGAGAAGTCTAATCACTACATGATCAAGGACACACGGGCGAAGTTTGTGAAGGCGTTCTTGTTTAACGCTTCCAAGTTCGTGGTATCGCCCAAGAACATTCACAGTGCTGTTATGAACCGCGACCGTGCCACAATATGAGTATTACAGTTGTGCGAGTCAAAGTTGTTAAGCTCACTGTTTATTTGTTTCATTTTGGCAGCTACAGGAACTCCATCAACGGCAAACTACCGCCAGGGATGACTGTAAACCTGGTGGAATTGCACTGCTTGTTCATTCACCAAGTTCGATTACTGAGCAGAGATCCACTGCTCGATGGTGGAATGATAACGGCTGCACCATCAATCCCCTCCCAAACAGTACGTTCAGTTTGATATGTGGTAGTAGCACACTTAGGCGATTTGAATCTGGCACTGTCACTGCGGTTTTAGATTCAGGCGATTCGGAAGAAGTATGTGTGCGACTGCGCCCTGTTTTACCAAACAGGGTGGCAATGCTCCCATGTCGTCGCTGCCATGACATTGCAGAAGGAGATCAGCATTCAAGGGATGCTAAGGGCGTTGCCAACGAGAAAGCTAAGTGGTGGGCAGCGCAAGCGCGTGGGTCCGCTCACAGAAGGCGGAGACAACACTCACCGATTCTCCGTCGACGTGCCGATTCGAGAGTTCTTCAAGTACCCTGCCAGACCCCTACATTGGAACCTCATGAAAGAATTCAAATTTCCCGATGACTCCGGTAGTGAGGTGGAGCAGTTTCTGTTGGGAAAGGGGTTCTCGTGGGGGGAGACCAACGACGTCTTCATCTGGATAACGAAGTTTTCCAACGGTGCGCAAGTCAAGCTGGAGTGCCAAGAGTTAGCCGAGTGTCTTAACAGGGCCTACACCCATGGAGCAGATGTTGCTGGAGCCGTGGCCTATTAAGGCGATCAATGGCTGGCGAGAACAACTCGAACGTGCTAGGTTGTAGCTAGCATTTTTTTCATTTTGCATATCGAGTCCTACGATCCATTTTCATAGACAACAATACACGTTTCGTTACATTTTATTCACAGTTCTTCGTTGTTAGCAATACTTCATTCGTACCCAATTTCTGAATACTCGTATCTCGGCTTTAGTTGTTTGGGATTACTCGTAGTGCCTCTTTTTGGTGTGTTACTCTTGGTATCGCCAATTTTACTCGAGATGAAGCTCGTTCGGTAGAGCCCACAGTGGGTCTCGAGCAGATACCTCCACGCTTTATAGTCGACGTGGGCTACCACTGATAACAGTGCCAGCGCCTCCTGTACGCGCTGGAACTTCTTCTGGAACTTGCGTTCGTCTTCTGGGGCCAATTCGTAGTCTTCTTCGGCATAATATCCGCGTGTAGGGAGATAGACCTGGAGGAACCTCTTCCGGGTAGCCCACAGTATTCCTTCGTGTCTGTCTGGTAAAACGTAGCTCAGTCTAAGAACTCCGCAAAACACTTTACATTGCCAACATTCAACGAGATCAATCGCCGTTCGGAAAGGGAAGGAGTCACGTATGGCAAGGTCGTTTTGCCTCGATTCCAGCTGAGAACTCGCGTGAAAGGGATCAAAAGTTTGGAGAACGGGCCGTTCAACTCAGACCTGGTGTGGAACCAATCTCCACGCCAACCCCAGCAACGAATATCTGGACGCGTTATCGAGAATTGCGGCTACTTGACGGCTGATAGTCCTGGCGTGGACGTTAAGGTGTGAGGATATTTGGCGAGCGGAGCAGACGATTCGAAATCAGTGGTGAGAACGCGAGAAACTTCCGACACCGCCAGGATCACAGAGACCTTGGAGCTACTTGATGCGATGATAGCGAACAGCGTTCGGTTCTCGCAGTTGTGGATGAAGTGTGAACTTAAAGGCGACAAGCCAGCGGCCAAGAAGCTAGCCTCATCACTCGCGTCTTCGACAACGTTCGCCGCCCGTGCGAGGAAGCAAGTTACACTTTCGACGGTGATGCTGTCGGTGGAGATACTCCATGATTCGAGTTCGGCGCTGTCCACCTCGATTGTCGTAATTGTACGAGCTCAAAATTTAACCCTTTAGCTACGAGCTTTGCAGTGTAGGTCCCCCTGGACATGTACCATAACCAACCACAACGCGGTTTCGGACCATTTAGACCAATGGCAGCTCTCGTCAACCCCTCAACAAACCTGTACTTATGGATTTTGGTTTTCGTGTGATTTGCCGCTCGATAGTTGTAGAATAGAAGAGAACCTGCCCGAGTCTTATATCGGTACGCACCAGCTTGTTGATTTGCTCACATGTGGCTATGGTGCAGGTCCGCTTGGACCTGTTGGCTGACTCTGCGAGCTTCTACCTAGCCCGTACAATGTATTATAGCCAATTGTAGTCAATTATGAGCTGTCGTATAGGTCAGACTGGACCCGTACGAAGCCTCGTAGCTAAAGGGTTAAGGCGTTTTGCTCGGTGATGATCATGAACCAGACGACGACCATACTATTGATCAAGTTGAAAATGAAGCCGAAGTTTGGGACAGCTGATCCCGTCAAGACGCGGCGCTGGTGGAAGTGGCCTTCTTCTCCAAGCGAGTGCGGGCGTGCTCCTCACTGAAGTCTCTGGCGTTAATGCGGATAGGAAGCATGAGTGTCCACGATACGGAGGGGTTTACAGCCGTCGTAAACTCTGACCATCCGGAGAAGGAGCTGTTCGATCGACCGCGTGGGATGATCAAGCTTAGTGACACTAAACTAATGAATAGAGCTGCAATCCGGTGGAAGTTTGGTTTGGAGGGTGCCAAGTCCAGCGTGACGACTTGGATTTTCAACCTGCTACCAAGGCTTACGCGGGAAATTCAAGCGGTGGAGTCACGTCGTCGCAGATTGCCTTTGCGGAGGAGGATGGGGATCTATAAGAGAGACTGCCCATGTTTCTCGCTACGGTAGGGTCGTCGCTGACATTTTTGGGTCTTGACTACCACAAAGGCGGGATCAAGGATATTCTGAAGATATGCCCAAATCTCCAGGAGCTGACGTTCTCTGGCGCCTCACAGTGTTTCGATTCAACTTTAGCGACTACGACGAGAGTGCTGATCAGTTTAACTACGATTGGAGAGATATCGAAGCCCTGACACAGGCTCTCAGTGATAACGACAACCCCCTCGCCAAGAACTTGCGCCGTTTACGCGTCCGTTTCTACTGGTTATGGACTCATGAGCACGTGGACGACCCTAAAGTTTTGTCGCAATAGAAAGTGACTCTATTGGTTGGTAGCACTTAAGGAGCTGGCACTGAAGGACTCAGACGGGTTTACGTCGTCGATGTTCGACTTGGCAGTGCTGTAGAAGTTGTTGTATGGGCTGGAAAATTGAGAACTGAATATTATAGCTGTTAACTACACCTATCCCTTGCTCTTTGCTTTGGGCTGATCTTGAACCGGTGCTGCTGCAGTTCACCCTTGCGGTTAACCGTGATCTAGGGTTTCGCAAGATAAAGTTCAGCATCATTAGTGCTCTCTTGTTGCTGGTGTGTAAATGCCGTTGATTATCTTGATCTCGCGACAGTCCCTCCCCCAAGCGAACTCCTCGCCTGGTGTGCTTGCGTTGCATGGTGTTCTCGTGACAAGTTTATTTACTATGATACATTCCCCGCATCAAGGCGGATATCAAGGCGCTTCTGAAGATGCTGCGCGTGAACCGAAGCCTTGAATTCCTCGATGTGCATTTGCCTCCTCCTTACCACGACTGCGTTGACAGTTTGCGAGGGCACCAATCAGGCGTCCGTTTCCTAAGCGTCATATTAGGGCGATACCGAGTGCCGGAGCTCGATACGGATAAGGCAAACGTTGCTGTTCCTCGGTGCGCGCAGAGCCACCTCGACGAGTGTGTTCTACCCGCTATCTTCGAGTCCGCGGCACCACCAGCCGTGTACGTTCGCCAGGTTTTTGATGAAAGCTGGCTTGCCCAAGAAGAGGATGAAATCGTTTAGAGGTGGTGCTATGGCGGAGCCAAGCTGTGTTTTGCTGAAACGTGAAGACGCGAGAATCGCGAGATCTTGCTCTTCAGCTCGTACGAACAGTCGAACAACGCCAGCCGCACGATCTTTCGCGAACGGGCCGCATTCGAGCCGCACGATAATTTAAGATTCGCCTCCGGTCGCACAAGTCCCGAAGACCCCGCATCACCGACGTTACCTTCTCTCATGCGCACGCAGGCACCGCTGATACTTGCACGACCGGAGGATTTCCTGCCAACATCGTCGTGGAAGCCTGACCAGCACGTTTACGTGCGAGTGCTCCGGACCCGGCCCGACCATGCTGTCGTTCAAGCGTTCGCGACTCCTCGCGCCAAGGCCAAGTCCGTCTCAATGCTCTCCAAGATCGTCTGGTAACCGAAGAAGACGCCAATACGGCGACGGGCGAACTTCTACGCAAGGCGGTGTGTTCGCGGCACTTACGTCTATGGTCAAGTCCAGACCTATCAAGGCAAGTCGGTCAACGTACGTCATGGCGACAGCGTCAGCCGAATGGCAGCCTCCCGGCTCGACGAGATCGCTCCTGTTACCTGCCTCCTGATGCAGAATTCAGCAATCAAAACGGCGGACACAACACGAGCGGCGCTTCGAGACTTCAACGTCACTGTGCTCGACCGAGTTATCGGCACCGATGGGAGTGATGGCTCCAGAGATGTTGCTGCCACTTTGAACGGAGTCTTGCCTCGTAATCAACAACCGGATGGGTCCGAATCGCGCACCTGGACCGACCCGGCTACAGGAAAGATGGCTACATTTAGTCTGCAGCATGCGGTGGACTACGCGTACTACGTCGATGGCAACAGGCCTGTCCCCACAATGCGGCAACTGAGCCTTGGTACCAGTTTCACTGACGACCCCGCTTACCGTGAAGCTGTCACTCAAGATGTCAATGCGCAAGATCCCGGGGATCAACTTCCAACACGTCGATCCGTACCTCGCTCCGACGATCGAACTCGAACTCGAACTCGAACTCGAACTCGAACTCGAACTCGAACTCAACCTCGTACTCGAACTCGTGACTCGTCACTCCTCTTCGATCCCATCGCTTCTCCCACTGAGAATTCAGCGCTCACTGCGCTACTCTCAGAGCTCGAGGGAGACGATGCAGTCGTGGATGACGCTGTCGAAAACGTCCTCGAACGCCCCACGCCCCCGTCATCGTCGGGTTCATCGCGGGAGCTTCAATCAGAACTCTTGTCAACTCTGGCGGCTAACCCACGTGCGTTGGCATACTTCATTTCAGAGTACCTGGATCGAAACAAGCGGCCAGCCGAGAGCGCCGACATAAACCTTCGCCCAACCCAACGCCGTGCGCTAGGAGTCGAGCCGGCCATGCCATCGGCCATTGACGCTCTGGAGAGATCTCAAGCAGGGACAAACTTTCGACCTACAAGCTTGCAACAAGCCGTACATGGGCTCATCGTCCATCCCGACCATGCCGGTAAGACACCCTCAGAAATAATGCAGCTAATGCTGTCATCGTCTGCTGCAGGTATAACACCCCACCCAGCTATCCTGATGAAGCTTTTCGATTTCGCGTTTGGCATTCGTGGTCTCTCTTTGGCTCACCTGGAGCGGTTCGACCTGACTGCGCAGCGCAAGTGGCGTCGACAAGGTGTCAACATGAACAATTTTGCGGCCAGTGTCGATCTACCTCGCTCTCGCTGTCTGACGACGATGGCGGAGCTGTTCGAAGCGTTCTCGCTCCTTCAGGCCTTCGCGCTGAAGTTCTACAACGCTGCGACTCAGGAATTTATTACCGCTGCCATGAGTTTTGCAGCAACCATCACGGGTATGGGCCTGTGGAATGCGTCGGCGGTGGATCTCATCACGTTTTGGTTTGATGGTGTCCTCGATGAATATCGTCGCGCAGTCGAAGACCTGGCGGTGTCGGGTGTTGATAACCGGGGACGCGTTCGACAGCGACTCGCCAAGAACGACCCTGATTTCATCAACACTATTCATCTCGTCCACACGGAAGTAAATGCAACTGCACTTTTTCTGCCGATGCGCCTGTAATGTATGGTGCACAGACAAATACTGTAAGAGCACGATATGGGGATCAAACAGCAAACTTAGCATTGATGAGATTACTTCGCCACCGCGTCAGCACGCATATTATGCGTGAGCCCCATTATGATGCGAGTTGCGAGTAGCTCCAATGCTCAGTTGCTGTTGCCGGTCATCAGTGCTGCTAACGGTTCTCCAACCTTGCTGGAGTATTGCGTGTAGCGTTGGAACGCGCTTGACTTCCAGCAACCGTGGAGCTTAATCGTAGTCGAATCCACGCCGTTTGCGATCAGTGCAGTGGCGCCACCACTGCGTAGTGAATGGCACGAGACGCGTCGAGGGTCTGCCCCGATGCCTACGGCTGCCGCCTTCAGTACTTTGGACAGCTCTTCGGCCTTGAGCATACGTGTCCTGCTCAAAGAGCAGAGAGCGTCATGCGATCGTAAGCCGAGTCGTTCGGCCAGCTCCAGGAGCATGGCCGCCCCTAGCACTGGACACACGCGGGCGTGGCCGGACCGTGACAGCGAGCGTGCCGTGTTAAGACCTTGCTGATCTGTTTTGCTTCCTCGCAAATTGATCACTGCGTATGACGCTCTGGCGATAGTGAACGCAGGGCCGCCTGTCGCTTCGCACACCTGCACGTCGCGTACTTCTAATGCATATCGATGCCTTCCTCCTTTGACTGCGAGATACTCCGAGCTCCTGAGAAGATAGAAGAAACCCAGCAGCGCAGCCCCAAGAAAGAGGCGGTGCTGGGGGTTTTCGTAGTCGATGTTCTCTGCAATCCACTCGAGCATGGCAGGTGACACTGGGGTTCTGGGTTCGGGCACTGGGCTGAGTCGGCGCATACCCGCGAAGGCAGTGGCATGGCTGGGTGTAATTGCTGGTTCAAATCCGGCGTACACACGATGAAACCACTTAACATGGCTAACTTGGGTGTGAATGGTGGAAATGGCCCTCGGCTGAACGTTTGACGGCGCGGCAGACCATCGATCAATGGCAAACAGCACCAATTGGAGAGACTGCGCGACTTCGTCGTTTTGGGGTAACCATGGAGAACGTCCGAGCTGGTGACTGAAGGCTGTCCATTGACCCCATGTCGCGTTGTATTGCCGTCGGGAGGTGTCGGCGAGGGAGCGCTGTTGAAGGGCGACCAGTTGCCGTCGTAGGCCTTCCTCGCGGACTGGGGGACCTACCTGTACCTGCGTCCAAGTATGCGTTAGATTTAGCCATTTGGCCAGCATCGGGTTGGACCATGCGCGCGACCCCAGATCAGCAAGATAATTGGCCGATCCAGCAAGATGGCCTGCGGAAATGCGGACACCCCACTCAGCTTCCACAGCGCCGAATACACGGTTCATTTCCTGAGAAAATATGTTGGTGCTCGCGAGCTTGTTACACCACGCAACCGCCGTCGAGTTGTCGATCCACATACGAACGTGGGCCAGGTTGGACACGTTGCCAACACTCCACAGTTGACCCCAGCATAGCACTGCCAGCAGCGCACTGAACTGCTCCCGCACGTTTATGTTGAACAGCCCACTTTTGATGAGGATTAACTCGGTGGCGTCGAACTCCACGCGAATGAACTCGCGTAAAGCTGGATTCAGCACGCACAGGCCTTTGTCGCTGGAGTCCATGTACAGATGGACATCGGGATCAGGTAGCTCGCAAAAGTACGTTAATGGCACACCTCTGAGCCGCCCGTAGCGCAGGATATGTGCGAACCAAGCCAGATCCAAGTGCGCTTCCCGAGTTAGGTGCACCGCTTGAGCTCTGGGGAAGCGTTTCCACAGCGCCGCCAACCTCTGGAAGCACGGCTTCGCAGGACGGATGCACGAACAAACATGGCGTAGACTACCCAACAATTGAGAGAGCTGCGTTCGCGTCGTGGTATTCGATGCCTGCATGGCTAGGACCCGGTTCAGAGCCTTCTCGATCTTAGCCTTCGGCATTGACACCGACATCGTTACTGAGTCCCATTCCAAACCTAGCGCGACAAGCTTGGTGGACCATTCACTAAACGTTTTGTCGTTGATGGCCCTTGGGCCCAACACAGCAGTCATGGCCAGTCTGATGGCGCTGTCACAGGCTTGTAGGCGGCTACCGGTGTCATGCTCCACTAACACGTGATCGTTCACCCAGTCAAAACAGAAAAATGGCGTTGAGTCAGGATCGGTGGGGTTGAGCGTGTTTGGGCTCTCACGGCGAACGAGGTACGAGATAGCTTTGCCGAATACGCCATAATGTGCAGCTGACCCTGTCCAACCAAAGGGCAGGGATAGATCGATTACCACTACGTCGTCTTCGAGAATTGCACCGGCGAAAAATGCACTGACTGACTCGAGCACGTGCACGTTCTTGTACGCCGCCTTTACGTCTCCTTTCATCAACTTGATTGGAGTGTCGGGGTCCTCCCTACGCAGTTGCACGATCCTACGCACAATGACGTTGATCAAATCGTAGACGAGTAGCGGGATGCTGTCTTGGTTCGACCAAGCGTTAGTTGACGCTCCTCTGGGGAACGACAAGTCATGGATCACTCTGGCTTCGACCTGGGGATCCGTGTCTGCCTTTTCGACGCATCCGAAAGGACTGAAATGCAACTTCCATCGGGGCGCTGCTTTTCGGGACACAACGAGGTAGGTTCCTTTTTCTTGGCCGTCACGAATGCTCCGGATGAGAGCATTGTGAAAGACCGAGGCGGATTTGTGGTTCGGGACTGGGTTGCTTGAAAGAGTGCCGTCAACCTGGAACGCGTGCTTGACTCCGTAAGATGCCGAATCGATTAGCTGGTGAACGTGAGGGTATCCATGTAGTAGCCAGGAGTAGAGATCTGGTGTCAAGGCTTTTTTCTGTCGATGCGCTTCGCAGTCGCGTCAGCACGCATATTATGCGTGAGCCCTGGGCGTGGAGAGGTGGGTTAACGACGACGTGAGCGATGTGGCTGGGAGGCGGAAAGAGTGCTTGGAGCATCTTGTGGGCATCTCCGCTCCGTGGTTTTGTTCTAAATATGGGTGATCGGAGCTGCTGGACGCCGATAAGAGCCGAGGGCTGCTTCATACGTACCAACAGTGGCTTACTCCCGAAAAAGGCGCTTTTGACCTTAGCGGCAGTGATTCTAAACGCAGTCGTGTCCCTCAAGACGTTCTCGCGGCACTACCGATGCAGAACGGAAAATCCGTGTGCCCCAAGTTTTTAAGCCGGTCTGGTTGCTCTCCCCGCTCCCCAGAACGTTGTTCTTACGGTCGCGCCCATTTCGTTCCAGAGAAGCTCGAACCCGTGGTGCGTCAGTACATTATCGAGAGCATGGGCGGCCTTCGGCGAGACATGCCCCAAGATCAATGACTCCCAATGGCTATCTTTCATCATGGCGAGTTTGCAATTACTACTGCTATCGTTCAACAGGTGAGAGAAACACTAGAACTATCGTTGCAGAACGAGGAGCAGAAACGCCGAGACCAGCTGAATTCACTCTTCAGGGAAGCAGGCATCCAGCTCCCGTGCTGCGCTACACGACGGACTTCACACGTGGGTGTATCTCCGGCTGAGATCGACCGGGAACTACAACGTGCAGTTTCGGAGCTTACGCGTCGAGAACATCTTTCACTCGTGCAGTTAGTACGGATCTGGCGAAACGAGACAGCCGAAGACAGCAGGCCTCATAAGGCACTGAATGTGGAATGGTCAGCCGTACTTTCGAGAGGGTATCGCCATCGCGAAGTCCTCCTTGACACTGTTCGACATGGCGTTCGTCACCGTTTTCGTAAATGTCTCGATGATTTCTTCTCTGAGGTTCCAGAAAATCACAAGTCTGCTCGCGATGCGGTCAACGCACTTCGGCGGAGCATTCGTGACGGCCAGGATGCTGGGACGTATCTGGTTGTTGACACGGATGTATCTCAGCGTTGGCCCACCGTCAAATTTAGCCCGTTCGGATGTGTACCTAAAGCCGGTCTTGACCCTCGATTCGAAGCCCGACTCATCCACGACCTATCTCATCCAAAGGGGAGATCGACGAACGCAGCATCGGATCGCTCGCAACTCCCGACTATACTCTACGTCCACGTTCGAGCCATCGCCCGTCGAATTGAATATCTACGCAAGCGCTACCCAAACCGGCGGATCATGATGTTAAAGGGCGACGTGAAGAGTGCTTTTCGACAGATAATGCTGGCAGCAGAAATTGTTCGGGGGTTCGGTGGCAAAATTCCCGAGGATATCGCGGCTGTGATCGATACAGCGCTTCCGTTTGGCTGGACAGGATCGCCCGGCCATTACGGAGTTTTTGGAGGCGCCATTTCGCATCGCTTGGGGTTAGAAAGCCCTGGTAGCCTTGATCCTCGGTCGTCGGACAAGGAAACCTTCTTTGCTTATGTATGGGTTGATGATCACATTTGCGTCGAGCCCGACATCGATAATCGTCTCGAGCTCTGCGAGGCAGCTCTCCGTCTGGCGATGATGGCGTTTCTCGGTCCGAGATCAATTAACGATTCGAAGTTCTCGCGTTTGGAGCAGCAGCTGACAGCTCTTGGGCTCGAGTGGAACACGCAGGAAGGTACTGTCTCCATGCCGGAAGCCAAGATAGAGAAAGCTCTCGGAAGCATACGTGCAATTCTGGAATCCAACGCGGCATCAAAACATCAGCTGAACAAGCTTTTGGGCAGTCTGCGGCACGTGTGTTCCTGCATCCACTCCGCTAAAGCATTCTATCAACGCGTGGTAACCCTGTGGCGTCAGATGCCACCGCACGGGTCGAAGGTCCTAAGTGCCGGCGCTCGGCTAGATCTACTCTGGTTTGAACACCTTGTATCGTTTGGTCGGCTTCGATCAGTACCGACCAGCTTCTTTGGGGATCTGCCGGAACCTATCGTCTATCTCTACATGGATGCGAGTGACACAGGATTATGCGTGCTTCATCCCGCTCGTCGTCAAATCCTACGAGTCCAATTTGATACGATCGAAAAAGACATGATACAGAAGTGCAAAGCCGCTGCAGTCGTCTCGGATGCGCATTTCACGATTAATGTTCGCGAGCAATTGAGCGTTGTTTTGGCGGCTCTTGTGTGGGGTGCTGAATGGAGTCCAACAAATGATCGTGGTCTCTCTCACGTGAAGTTCATCATCGACAACCAGTCTGCGGTATCGTGGTGCAACAAACTGGCAAGTTCTAATCCGTTCTCGCAAGAGTTGAACCGTGTGCTCGGGGCGGTCGAAGCCCAACACGGCATTCGAGTATCGGCCGATCATCTCGCAGGAGCCCGAAATACGTTGGCCGATTTGGGATCTCGCGCCTGGGTGGGGTCCAGTCTCGATCAGTTTTCTAACCTCGTTGCTATGTGGCAGGAACGAGAAGTCCCGCAGACAATTCGGAGGATCTACGATCCACGTTATTCGCGCTTCAGCTCCTGTCCCTGGCAGATTCGTCGCAGCGAACCTATCGGTCCTCATGGCAACAGTGATGTCAATATCGGCGCTCTCGACAACTCCCGATCTGGCTACCTCGAAATGACCCCGATGAGCAATCACTACAGCTGGCTCTCCTCGCAGTGCAATGCTGGCGCACAAGTGGCATTGGATTCGCCACCATTCAATCAAAGCTTAGCCATGTCGGCTGGTATCATTGCATCAAATATGGTACCAGACCCAAGCTCAACGACGGACACCACCTCGCGCTTCGGGGACTCCGACGAACAGCTAGCGCGCCACGACCTCGCGCCCCCGTTAGTCAACAACTCCTCGTTGCATTCAGCAACCTCGTCGATTTTGCCAACCCACAGCACCGCGTGCTTTTTGGGGCTACGGTGCCGGGCTTTTACTTTCTCCTCCGGCGCTCGGAATACCTAATGTGCGATGGTCGCCGATATCCGTATTGCCTCGAAGTTCGGGATGTCAAGGTTGCTGACAATGAAGGCCGCACGACGTTAAACTACCAAGCAGCAGCTTCTGTCCAGATTCAGTTTCGGGGAAGCAAGAATGACCAGTACGGCCAAGGAACTGCAAGAATGCTACAAAAAGCATCTCGGCCACCTAGTTGTCCTGTATTTGGTGACATCTTGCTGATGAAGAACGCCGCAGATCTCGGTCTGTCCCTTGAGAAGCCGCTCTGTTCATTATCAAACTCCTGGATGGTTTCGGCAAAGATGATGAATGCAGCACTTCAGCTAGCCGCTCAACATGCTGATCACGACCAGCGTCTGTATACTACGCACTCGCTCAGAATTGGAGGAGCGACAGCATTATTCCACGGGGGAGCTGAGCCAACGACAATCCAGTATCACGGGCGATGGCGATCTGAAGCTTATCGCCGATACACACGAGACCCAGAACAGCGCACAAGACGGCTGACTCAACTGATGGCCAGTGGGCTAACAATGTCTACAGCAACTACGTCTTCTGATCACTAATTGGGGCTGCACTCGGATGCTCCTCGGCGTGATCAAGACTAGTTTGCTAATAGATTCTGTTTTGCCCCACTATCTACCTCAGTCTGGTGCGTTGAAGCAAATGGCAGGGTTCGAAAAGCGAATAAAACCCGACGAATCGCAGCGTTCCCTTCAGGAATGGACACTGCAGCTTGAAATGAGCATCCAAGTCCGCATCTTCGGTTTGTGAACTACGTTTTCAAGCTTGAGCCAGTTGTTGTGGAGGCGTGCCGTCGTGGGGTTCACCGCCATCGAGGAGGATGCAGTCGCTTGGGGTCGAGCAAGTTTTACAAATTAGAGTAGAAGCCCGACGGTAGCTGCATCAACACGCCTTCAGCTAGCGATGGGGTCGTTGGCATCCCTGGCGTTTCCCTGACTCTCAGCGTGGTCGCACGCGAAGCCTTTCCTCGAAGGTTCCACCTCTGGATTCATTGGCGCAGCAGCAGCGTCATAGTCAAACCAGCAGCTAGCTACTCTTGCTGGCAGAAGCTCGATCCTACGGTCTAGTCAACCAGAAGAAATCGTCATTGGCAGCAGAGCCCTGCTTCTTCCAAGCCATTCCTCAATCTGCCGTAGCACAGCAACACCCGTAAGTCACACCCCACGCCGAAGAATGCCGGTCACTTGGTCCGTCGCTCTCGTCTCGGTTGTCACCACAGCCACGCTCGCCGTAACCCCCGCCGACGCGCACGGATACCTCTCGAGCCCGGTCGCCAAATTCGCCAACCCGGACACCTCAACGAGCCCCGTAAGACCATCACGGCAGCTGTGAACAGCGCCTTCGGAGGCCATGAGTGGAACCGCGGCCCGGAGTTCAGCACGGCCACCTTCACCTCGGCTTTCCCGAACACTGGCTACTCGTCGCTCAGGGACATGCTCGACCAGCAGGTCGCAGACTGCGCCAACACGCGCATTGATGTTTCGCCCGTAGACGTGGCTGGACTCACAGTCGTGACCTGGGAGAACGGGAATGGGATCACGTCGCACCGTGGTCCGTGCGAGGTCTGGGTCGATGACATCGTGGTGAACCACCAGGACGACTGCGTAGCCACGTACGGCGCTGGGACGCAGATCAAGGTGCCCGCCAACTTCTCCAAGTGCTTGGGGGACTGCACACTGCGCTTCTACTGGCTGGCGCTACACGAGCCGAAATGGCAAATCTACAAGCAGTGCGTACCCATCGTGAACAACTCTGGAGCTCGTGCTCTCCGCACGGCCTAGGACTCTCCGTCGTCCGATTCGTGTCTGCATTAGTGGGTTTCTTCACGCGCCTGTGGTGGGATGGAGGTGCTATCCAACCATGACGAGGCGTGAGCAGAAGCATTAAGTTTTACTAAGTGAGGGGCAGTGGGTCTTCACAGTGTCTGTTCCGGTGTACAATATTGGAATCATACATGCGCCAGCAATGAAGCAGCAGTAGAACCTGATCGACAAACGCTATTGCGTGATGTCAACGCAGGCATTAAGACACGTCGGATACAATTATCCTTACGACCGGCCGGCTTGACGACAAGGAGATGTAGTTTGCAGATACATACTAGTGCATTATACTTGCATGTTAGGATGTAGGGAATAGTCATGTTCGTCTGGGGCGCCTACCGCGGGCTGATATCCTACAGATCTAGCGATACGACCACCGTAGGCGGAGATGCAGCAGTGCGCGTCTCCGGGAGTAGGTAGCCGACTAAACCGCAGCAAATTCAAATTCAAATGCATTAGTGGGTTTCAATTAATCATTTCTTCAAACGATGAACCCAATGAATGAGCGCATGCTCATTCCTTGCGATGGAAAACAATAAGTGCTGCTATGATAAAATGCTTCAGTCTGCCACCCATAATTGATTTCCTCCTCTCCTTGAGCCATCCAACTCACTTCGTAAAGCCTGCGAGCATACACTTGACGGAGAACTGGCGGAGCCGCGAACTCGAAGATTCTGGATAAAATGTACTCGTCGAGATGGCTCAGCTCACATCGAGGAGCGGCAACTTTTGCCATATCCGTACTGAGCTCCGGCGCTTGGTATGGCGCCAATATGACGCTTAGAAGTGCAAGTTTACTGTCTCTTGCCTGCGACGGGCGGCTGATTGGCTCGAGGTGATGTTCTCGCAAATTGCCAATATAGCCGTGATAAGGAGGAGGCCAGTGCACATCGAGGAATTCGAGGCTCCGGTTCACTTGCAGCATTCTCAAAAGCGCCTCGACATCCGTCTCGATGCGGGGATTGTAAACTTTGGGGTCGTCCACGTGCTCACGAGTGCATAGCCAGTAGAAACGGACGCGCAAATGGCGCAAGCACTTGGCGAGGGGGTTGTCGTTATCACTGAGAGCCTGTGTCAGGGCTTCGATATCTCTCCAATCGTAGTCAAACTGATCAGCACTCCCGTCGTAGTTGCTAAAGTTGAATCGAAACATTGTGAAGCCGACACAGAACGTCAGCTCCTGGAGATTTGGACAGTGTCGAAGAATATCCTTGATCCCGCCTTTGTGGTAGTCAAGACCCAAAAATGTCAGCGACGATCCGATCGTGGCGAGAATCATTGGCAATCCCTCCCAGAGATCCCTATCATCCTCACAAAAGTCAATCTGTAGCGACGTGACTCCACCACTTTAATCTCCAACACCATCTTCGCTCGTAGCTTGAACCTCTAGATCGTCACGCTGGACTTGGCATTGCCCAAGGCCAGGAATGATCGCGTCGACCCACTCGCTAGTACCATCATCGCTGAAGGTACGAACGAATGGAATATCGGACTCCAATGTGATCGGATCCCAGTCCAGGTTAGGCTCACCTCGATCATCAAACTTCCACAGGATCGGGGCTCCACTCTTCAGCGTCGCATCACAAGGCTTGATCACCCCACGAGGTCTGTCCAAAAGCTCCTCCGGGTGGTCAGAGTTGACGACGGCCATAAACCCCTCCATATCATCAACACTCATGCTTCCGATCCGCATTAACGCTAGAGACTTCAACGCAGAGTACGCCCGTGCTCGCTTAGAGAAGAAGGCGTAGGCGATCCACTTCCACCAGCGCCGCGTCTTGACGGGGTTAGCTGCCCCGAACTTCGGCTTCATTTTCAACTTGATCGACAGCTTGGCCGTCGTCTGGTTCATGACCATCGCCGAGCAAAACGCCACAAACCTTGAGCTCGTACAATTACGACAATCGACGTGGACAGCACTGAGCTGGAGTCGTGGAATATCTCCACCGATAGAATCCTTGTCGAAAGTGTCGAAGACGCAAGTGATGGGCTAGGCGAACAGTTTCTTCGCCGTTGGCTTGTCGTCGCGTTCAAGATGATGATCCATCCACAACTGCAGACAAAACTGCGAGAACCGAACGTTATTCGCTATCATCGAATCAAGCAGCTCCACCATCTCCGGGCTCTTAATGTAGAAATTAGCTTCCATCGGCTCCAGCTCGAACGTGCATCTCAGCGATCCTGGCGGTACCGGGAGTTTCTCGCGCTCTCGCCACTGTTCTCGAATCGTCTGCTCCGCTCGCCAAATATCTTTCAGAAGTGTGATCGATCTGTCCCAACTCACTCGTACAGGGGCTTTAATGTCCACGCCTGGAGTATCAGCCGTCAAGTTGGGATCCAGAGCCGCAATTCTCGATAACGCGTCGAGATATTCCTCGCTGGGGTTGTCGTGCAGGTTCGGCCCGCAGAACCGGACCAGGTCCGAGCTAAACGGCCCATTTCCCATGGTTTTGATGGCTTTCACGCGAGTTCTCAGCAGGAATCGAGGCATAATGACATCGCCATACCTCGCGTCTTCCTTTTGCCCAAACGTTGATATCTCTCGCCTAAGGTTCACATTGTAGAGGCCACCGTGGGTCTCCAGTAAATACCTCCACACCTTGTAGTCCGCATGGGCGACTACTGATAGCAGTGCCAGGGCCTCTTGCACGTGCTGGAACTCTCTCTGGAACTTGACTTCATCTTCTGGGGTCAACTCGTAGTCTTCCTCGTCAAGGCGTCCGCGTTCAGGTAGGATAACACATAGGTAGCGATCTCGCGTGGCTCACGTTACGCCTTCTTCGTCCGGTAACAAGTAGCTGATCCCTCCCTTGAGCGCCTTGCACCACGGCAATAGGAATTCCCAACGCTCTTCCATCATTACAGCAAAGTCGATTGTGCGGTGATCTTCTGGGCAAGATGCATGGTATAGCGTGAATGCTGGTCATTTTTAACCCATGGGAAAACTGGATTCTCTTATGCATATTATCGTTTTTTAGGTTGTAGAAGGGCATGGTATCACATAACTCGAAGGCGTCCCCGTTAGGAACGATAAACGTAGATGGATCATGGTGATGCGAGGCAGGCTGTACGAGTGCTTTGAAGAAAATGTACCCATTTAACCCCTCTAACCACGTATTCTGTATCCTACAGAATAAGCATTATTACAGGACAAAATATCTTGCAAACTTGGCTTCAAGTTCAAAAGTCGCATATTTCTTTTTTTATGACCAACACTTTACACATCTTCCATTCAGATTGGTGATGGGTAGATAGACGGGGATTATGCGGCGAGAATAGAAAGACCCATATAAATCCCTTAAAGGCTTGAAAATTCGTACGAAAGCCAATATCTGCCGCGTGTCCGCCATCCACTGTTCCCCTCATTTCGGAAACGATGAACGGCCCCGGAGAAAAGACGTTCAAGTAGCTGTGGCGTGAGCTATGCAAGGAAGGCTGGAAGGCACGTAAGCCTACCGGCGTGGCGAAGGATCACCGCTATGTGAAACCAGGGATCAAGGGTCGTCTCGACGGAGCAAAACGTGGAATCGATTTCTTTGAGGGTGGGTAACCATAAGTTTTGTATATAATTACGTGTATGCTAAGGATAGATGTATTTCTCCAGGTGAGGAGGCTCTCATGGCGTTTGCACGACGATCTGGTCGGCTTGATCTCCCCGCTACCGCTGTGCCCAGCGCTCGAAAGTCGACCCGGGTCCCGGCTGGGAAGCAAGCGTCGTACGCCACTATTAGTCAGCCAGCACCATCGCCAGCTGCCCGGACGCCTAAACCAGCCGCTGGAAGTACAAGCACGGACACGGATGCAGCCTAGATTGCTGCTGCGACTCCACGAGCCACCCCTGCTGTTCCAACTGCGCATGTCTCGCTGGCCCCGGCATGTACACCAATGGCGACTCCATCGACGGTGGATGGCCCCAATACGGATGCTACAGAACAGGGTGATGGAGTGGGTGGTGCTATTCCGGATGCTACTGATCAAGCCGACATGGGGCATCCTTTGGCCGCTAATGCCAACCAACCGGATGCAGTGCGTCGTTCAGTTTCTCCTGCGGATACTGAGCAAGTTGATGGTGCTACTGAGGACTCTACAGGCCAAGCTGGTAGGGCGGAAGCTACTACTCTGGATGTGACCGATCACACGGCGTCAGCACAAGGCATTACTCCGGATGCTACTGAGCAAGGTGGTGCGACCCACGACGCTATTCCGGATGCTACTGAGCAAGGTGGTGCGACCCACGACGCTATTCCGGATGCTACAGAGCAAGGTGGTGCGACCCACGACGCTATTCCGGATGCTACAGAGCAAGGTGGTGCGACCCACGACGCTATTCCGGATCCTACTGAAGACAGATTGAGGCTGTTCGACGATGAAGAAGCCAGGAGTGAGACCGACAATCCCCCCAACCAGTGCAAAGACTTCATCGATCTGGACGTGTTTGACAGCGACAACTTCATGGAAGGGCTGCGCAAGGAACGACTGTTTGGACCGACTGCTGAAGATGACGGGAACGTTGTAGCGACGGCTGATTTGAGCGACTGCGAGTCCGATGCGGATGATGAGGATGTTATGACCGACAACGCCATAGCTCCAGAAGGTGTAGAAGACGTAGACGACGTGGAAATGAATGAAGGTGATGTCGACACTGGGACGTTTGATTTGACTGATGACGATCTTCGGACCATTGTGGAAAGTGGTTGGTAACCTACGATGAGGAGCACAGCGGTAAGCCGGATGGTACAGAATGTGTGGATGTACAGTTGTGTTAATTCTGTATTATCCATCTTTATGATGATTCAGGAAATCTCCAAGTCGACGCCGCAACGGACTATTACGACGGGAAATATGGCCCCACCCGTTCTGTTATCGCCTACGCGGATTCCCCGTTGGGCATGTTCTTCTACTATCTGCCCAAGGAACTCTGGGTTCGTATAGCTGAAGAGACAAAGCTCTACCGACTGCAGAATATCCCGGCAATGACAATCTCTCGCCGAGAGAAGTCGCTAGCCCGACAGGCAAAGGATCCGCGCGTGAGTGTGCCTAACGTGGAGGATATTGAAGCAGACTTGAACAAGTTCAAGCCCATTCAAGCGCATGAGATCGTGCGCGTCGTAGCGCTGCTCTTTGCTAGGGCTGTGGCGCCAATTCAGGATGGCCTAACTCACCACTGGTGTACTGATGAGGATGGGGCTATTCCGCGCGGAACCTTCTCACGCTTCATGAAACGCCGCCGCTTCGAAGACATTATGAAGTTCCTGCACTTCAACAACAATGAGGACACCGGGGCCCACGCTGACAAGGCATGGAAACTTGGACCGGTGCTGCAAGCAGTCGAGAAAACGTTTCGTCGTGGATATCGACTGGGGAAGGTCATCTCGTTCGACGAAGGAATGATGCCGAATCGCAGCAAGTTCAACCCCATGCGCATTTTCATGCCGGACAAGCCCAGCAAGTACGGCACGAAGTTCTACATGACGTGCTGTCCTGAAACCGCATACTGTTGTAGGTGAGTTTTCTTGTTCTGTATTCCACTACATGTAATCCGGACCCTACAGAATAAACTAATCTGTATCTATGGTATTCTGTACGCATACAGAGTTGAGATTTACTGCGGTGCAGACAATACAAAGAAGAAAAAGAAGAAGGCGCCCACAGAAACATTGGGGCTGAGACCAAAGGCTGTCGTGAGGAACATCACGAAAGCGCTGATCAACCAGCCAATGAAGCGCTTGATTGTGACGGATAGTTTCTACTCCACAGTGTCGCTGAGCTTGAAGCTGCTCCGCATGGGCTTGTATCACGTTGGTACCACGAGAATCGATCGCTTGGGCTGGTGCCCGATCCATTTCACGCAAAGCAAACGCCCGCAGCGGATGCCAAGAGGTTCCTACCGTATTGCACAAGTTCACGACTATCCTGAACTGGTTGCACTAAGCTGGATGGACTCTAAGCCGGTGAACATGATCGCCATGGGGTGCAGCACCCACGTGACTAGCGTGCTGAGAACGGAGAAAGCTGGAACGCGCAGCACGGTGCCTTGTCCGCAGCTGGTCGTGGACTACGGCCTTGGCATGGGAGATGTCGATGTCCACGACCAGCTACGACTTCAGCGTTACAGCATCCAGCGGTGCATATCCCTGCGCAAGTACTACAAGCAGTTATTTCTGAGCCTCGTCGACATGGCTGTCGTCAATGGATACATCGTGCATTGCTGGGTGCTCAAGAAAAAAGGAGAAAAGCCACCTACCCATGCTGAGTACTTGCGCCGCTTGCACACGCAGCTTTTGGCGCTGCGGACGATCAACTTCGAGACCCACCCCAACGCAGAGGACCTAGTGTCTGTACCAATCCCACGTCAAGACCACACGTTAGCGAACACGGACAGCTTCTACTCCACCGCGAAGCAGTACAAACACCGACAGTACCTGTGCAAAGTGTGCTCTACTTTTGCTGACTCAAAGACGAAGTCGTTCGAGACCAGCTACTTCTGTCCGCAGTGCAGCGATGCATTCGGAGGCCGCGTACCGCTTTGTCGTCAAGTATGACGAGGGGAGAGCGGGAACACACTGACCTGCGCTCAGATCTGGCACGATACGTGGGGTGATGGCAAGAGCATTCCAGCGAGCCTGAGAAAGAAGATTAGATTCCGTAAGCGTAAGCGAGAACAGGAGGAAGAGGCGTAAGAGTGAGGTAACAATGTTAGTCGTGAGCTTTACGTATCTTGTAACTGGGTTGCATGATGGACGTCAAGGAGAAATTGCCCAGTACCTCCTCACTAATCCGTTAGTTAGGAACTGGGCGATTTCTTTCTCCGCGCTCTCTCGCCGTGAGAGCTGCCACGTGCTCTTCTTATCAAGAATTGGTGGTCTGCGCCAAAGGTGACAAATTTAGCAACATTGGAGGGTATTTATCGCTAACAGGTATTGTGCGTGTTCTACGCTCGCCATAGCCAATAGAAGATCGCTATTCTGGCACATGTTGGATACATTGAGGATGTTATGTCCCACTTCGTAGCTGTTTTGTCCACCAATGCGCACCGGTCTTGACCTCAGGATGCGAAAGGGCTTCCAACAGCAAATCTTTGACAGGTTTTGAAGTCTACTTTAATCAAGTTTAATGCTTATTCTGTAGGATACAGAATAAGAGTTGGGGTTAGAAGGGTTAAAGTGGGCCACCTTCTGGTGTTCAAGAAAAGTTCCAGCGCGAAGTTCAAGGTTTCCAAGTTCAAGATTGAAACTTCTAGTCCACCAGAAACTCATCTCGACCACTCAACAGCACAGGTGAGTGATTCATCAAGTTCAAGGAGCTAGAATCCAGTCGCTCCTTGAAGTATTCTGTCTTGGCGTACATTTCGCCAAACAAATTAACGGTTGTAAGGAGAAACGCGCGGTTGAAAAGCAAAAAGGTGTATTCTGAAAGGGAAAAATAGAACTTCGTGTGTTTGCCTGCGCAAAATTGCGGCCAATCCAAGCTTGACTGCTGCTAACACACGGTGAATCCCCGTAAATCAAGCTCCAATGCGCACCGCCGTCAAATACGAAGCATACTTCGAGATGGCTGCAGTTTCCGAGCAGACGACGGAAATGAGCTCATCTTTCTCGATCTGGACAATGCACATCAGCGAAGTACTGGTGTTATGGCTTACGTAGCACCCACGGTGGCTATCATAGACTGCCCCCGCTGCAGCGCTCTGAACTTGAATTCCGTTTTTCTGCAGCGAGATTGACCCGGCATTCGATTGAGCTGGAAGGTGGTTCACAAGTACCCCAACTGCGTACAAACCTGGCTTGAGAGCCAAGATCGACGTTTTGTCCGCGGTCAACGCGAAGTAATCCGAGTTCAGCAGTTTCCACTGCAGCTTGGACGATACCCACACTTGACTTTCTGCGTACAAAAAGAGTCGAGTACTATCGCCACCAGCACGAAGCTTCTCCAGTTGCTCTTGCTGGTCTTTCAGCTTCGACTCAAGGATATCGATTCGCTCCACAGCAACTGGCTCGAGCTTGAAGATGTACTTCACGTCTCGAGCAGACTGCAGCAACCGTAGTTTGATACTCATATCAAGCTGCAATTTTCCACCTTTCAGGGTACTCAGCTTACGCTGCGATTCTTCAGTTTTATCCATTGAGCAATCCAAAGACTGCTGGAAGCACTGTTAATACGCGGCAGTAGAAAAGAGATTCGGTTAATTAAGGTAATCATATCGATACCTTTTACCAAGTCACTTACCGAAACATAGTCTGCCGCCGTTGCATCGACAAAAACATTCGCGGCGGTCACGTAGTCTTCCTTCTTCAAAAAGCCGGATTGCCTAGAGATAGCAGACATTAGTGGCTCGTTCGTTATAAAATATTGCTAAGTAGATAAAGCGGATAGCTCACCATTGCTTTTTGCTGGAGCGGTCCTCCAGCCAAATGTTCACCTTTTCGTCTTGAAGAGAGATTTGATACCGAAAGCTATCATCGGGACGCGATCCAAACATCGTTACTCCTTCGACTTCGAAATTTGTTGCGGGCATTGGGTTGGGGACGCTTGGTTGGAACGGAGCTTGGCACTGGTAGAGGATTTTGAGTTGTGCGCAGATATCGGGGCCTGTTTCTCAAACGAGGCAAATTCCAAGAAAAGACGAATACCCAAAGAGAAGTCCTTGGGGCAAATTCTACGAAAAACCGACAACAAGATACCAGACTGAAAGGTCGGGGCGCGCAGGTAGTCGACGGGAAAGGCGTCCTTTACCTCAGTTTGGCATTTACCCTGTTGTTGGCAACACTATCGCTATGGATACCGAAGAAGACAAGAAAACCGAAGGAGTGGCCATGTTTCACTCCTCCACAGCAACTAGCTACTGCTACATCATATTTGTTCAGCGCGAGAAACTGAAGATTTGGCTGGAAGATCGTTCTAGCAAGAAGCAATGGTATGAATTGTATGCCTGGAGGTGTCCTGCTAATTCGATTAACAGTTATACTCTTTAGGCAAACTACGTACATGCGCAAGGACGAATACGTGACATCAGCGAATGTTTTCGCGGACGCCACCTCAGCAGACTACGCGTCGGTAAGCTCAGTGCAAGCAGCAAGTCTGAAACAACAGTTATACGTTTAGCTACTTACAGTGTGCTACATTGCCCAGTTGTTCGAACAATCTCTAATCAGCCCTCTGGATGGAGCAGACGACGTCCAGCGCAAGCTGACTAGCCTACAAGACGATACGCTTCGACTGGAGTTTTGCGCGACTATTCGGCTTCTCAACTCATCTCGCTGCATTCGGTACGCATTTGATCTCAGCCCAGTCGCCGTTGATCGAATCCAGATTCTCGAGGCAAAGATGCGAGACCATCAAGAAGCGCTCGACCAAGTTTGCGCTCGTGTCGATACCACGCGAGCGCATTTGTACGCCGAGAGTGAAGCTTGGCTGAGTAAGTCGAAGCTGGTATGGAAGACGAAGAGCGATAAGAAATTTGGCTTCGCCGAGAAGAAAAACGGGATCAAGATCCACCTTCCGGGCCTGTACACACTCGCCGTAGTTGTGAACCACGTGCCACGAGCTGGAGGTACGGGCTCAATCTCGATATATGTGGACGGGGTGAAGATCCAAGCTGCAGCTATCGGTGCCGTGAACACGCGCCAGGGTGTCGCCAGCCAACCAGCGAGTACCTCACTGACATGTATTGCACGTTTGAAGGAGGAAGCACAAGTTGCCGTCGTCTGCACGAATACTGCGCTAGCGACGGACTTGGTCTCGTACTTTACAGCAGTGCGGATCGCGAAATGACTTTAGATCACTGGAGCCAAGGTATATCATAGTCTAGTCACAACGTTAACAGACTTGCATGCGTTTTGTGCTGGGAAGGGAAATTGCACACTTGGTCTCTAAGTTGAAGTCATTGCTGAGTGCCCCGATCATCAGTGAGCCAGGCCGCATTGTTGAACCGGGTAGAGACGGTCCAACTGAGCCGGACGATCGTTTCTGAAGTTGAAGTGCGTTGATGCGTGGTTGCAGGTCTCGAGGCAACCGGAGAGGTCCTTTCCAACAAGTACAGTAACCACCTAATTCCTGTGGGCAATGGCTTTCGCGCTCATGTAGACATGGACGCTCCTCTCCATCACCACAGTATGGCATGGCGAGAATGATAACGGCTCAGACGGCACTGGCGTTGCACATGAGCGGCGGGAGGTTCCGAGGGGGATTTGAGGCAGCCATCGACCATGTCGTCTTGCCTTCACAGAGCATGGGCCGGGCGTCAGGTCAGCCATTGCGTTGTCCTCGCCTTCGCGATCCTACAATCCCGACGGTCTCCGCTCACGTGCCACACCAGTCGCTCACTTTCGAATTTGCTCGCGACGCCGGAAGCCCCCAAACCAGTTCAAGTCGATCGACCTGATGGCGCCCCACGAGTCCCCACGCAACGGATACGCCGTCGTCCAGACGCCGCCGACGAACTTCCACGACGAAGGACCACTGCTCAATATTGAGGAGGGGTCGCTGCGTCCGACATGGATCCTGTACACGTCCGTGGCCATCTCCATGCTCGAGGCCTTCCACTACGGATGGTCCAATTCCCAAGTCAACCTCAGCACCTTCAACAACACGGAAACCTGCAACGCCCGACCCGTCGAGGAAGGCACGTGCCTCATGTTCCCGGGCCACACCAAGACGACGTGGACGCTGCTCGTGAACGCGTGGATCGTGGGCGGCATGTTCGGCAGCCTGCTGTCCGGCTTCCCGTCCAACAAGTGGGGGCGCCGCACCACGCTGCGCTTCAACGCGATTATCATCATGGTGCTGGGCTCCGTCATCCAGGTGGTGGCCAACAACCCGACGTGGTTCTCGGTGGGCCGCTTCGTGTCGGGCGTGGCGAACGGCGTGGCCATGGCCGTGGTCAACACGTTCCTGAACGCGATCTCGACGCCGCACAACCGCCACGCGCTGGGCGACGCTGGGCATCTTCGGCGTGGCGACGACGTTCTGGTACTGGAACACGACGTCGGGTTTCCGCTGGATCGCTGGCATGCCGATCGTGTTCGCTGCTGGCTTCGTGGTGATGTCCTTCTTCTTCATGGTCGAGAGCCCCGTGTGGCTTGTCGCTAATGGCGAGGACGAAGAGGCTGAGAAGGAGCTAGCTCGTCTGTATGGCAAGGAGAATGTGAACGTTTTGATGGGCTGGATCCAGTCCAACGACCGCAGGAGCAAGCTGCCGTCTATGCTGAGCGGCGTCTCCGACAAGGTCCACGCGGAGACGAACTGGACCATCTTGACCAACAAGAAGTTCCGCAAACCGCTGGTCATTGCGCTGGGTCTCACGTGCATCAACCAGCTCGTGGGTATCAACGCTGTGTTCTTCTACTCGTCCTCTATCCTGAAAGATGCTGGTATTTCGGACTCTCGCGCTGGTCTGATGATCATCGACATCCTCAACGTCATCCCTGTCTCCATTGCCGCAGCGCTGACCAAGGTCATGCGCAAGCGCACGATGCTCATGTCCGGCATCTTCGTGATGGTGCTGTGCTGTATTGGCATGACCTTCTCGCTGGTCTACAGTGTCGGCTGGCTGTCGATCGTCTTCCTCGGCGTCTTCGTGGTGGGCTACGACTTGAGTATCGGTCCTCTGCTGTGGCCTATCGTCGCCGAACTGTTCGCAGACTCGGCTCGTGGTGCTGCTGTGGGCATTTGCATCACCATGAAGTGGATCTGCTCGCTCATTGTGGGCATCGGCTTCCCTTACGTGGAGGACGCGATCACCAACTACAGCTTTACGCCGTTCCTGGGCACGACGATCCTCTCCATCATCTTCATCTATTTCATGGTGCCGGAGACATCGGACATGACCATCGCTGAGATCCAGGACGGCTTCCGCAGTGACCGCAGTGTGCAGTCGTCGAGCAAGAGTCAAGTGTAAGAAAGGAAAGCTGATGAGAGGTCGGGAAGGACCGTGCAGTACATGTACATATGATGTTGTTGAATGAAATGGAACGAATCGATTGCTCATGACGTGACATGTCTGTCTCCTTCATGCAACAAATGCTGCGTTGTCTTGCGCCCACATATCACGACTCGCCCTTTCAGATTCCAGGCTAGAGATTCCCGACAACCTGCAGCGGTACTCACCAAGTGTTATTACAGTAGCTATGCCGGGCAAAGGTACTCACCGATGGGTAATAAACGCTTCGGGGGTACTCACAGGTGACGGCGTGTACGGCCTACAGTGTGTCGGTCTAGACTATCGAAAACACACTCGACAAACCGCCTAAAGCGCCCCAAAGGACTGTCTATCAAGCCGGCTGCGGCTATACTTAATCCAGTCCAGCACCGTGTGATCGAGCCTCGAATTAATCGCCCTGGACTCGAACCACCGCAAAGGAGACCGGTGCTGCTCATTGCACTCTTCAAGCAGTGGTGCTTGGTGTTGGATAAATAAACGACGTGACGACAGCCCATACAAATTAGCTATGTCATCAACCGCCGTATCCCCTACCCCGCGATATACTGACACGTCCTACTGTGCGCGACCAGCAAATCAGACAAACATGACGCCCCGCTCAGCTCACTTCGAGGTGGCCGTCTCGACACGATACATGCACAACAGGGTACTCGACTACAGTTTGTACTACAGACTGCAGTGCAGCCTCCCCACAAGAAAAGGCGGCCACAAAGACTCGGGACGCCCATGGACTGCTGTGGGCGAGCCCCCTGCTCAGCGAGCATGGTGCATGTACAGAAGTCAGCACCCTGGTGCTCTACAGTTCGCGGTATTCGTTGTCACTTCCGATTCCGCGCAGTCTCCATCAAGTATAAAGATGTCAGCTTCACCAAGGACCGAATTTAAGGTGGTGGTGACCCCCACAGCACAGACTGATGAAGATGCAGCACAGACCATTGAGGAGCGGTCGCTGCGTCCGACGTGGATCCTGTACACGTCCGTGGCCATCTCCATGCTCGAGGCCTTCCACTACGGATGGTCCAATTCCCAGGTCAACCTCAGCACCTTCAACAACACGGAAACCTGCAACGCCCGACCCGTCGAGGAAGGCACGTGCCTCATGTTCCCGGGCCACACCAAGACGACGTGGACGCTGCTCGTGAACGCGTGGATCGTGGGCGGCATGTTCGGCAGCCTGCTGTCCGGCTTCCCGTCCAACAAGTGGGGGCGCCGCACCACGCTGCGCTTCAACGCGATTATCATCATGGTGCTGGGCTCCGTCATCCAGGTGGTGGCCAACAACCCGACGTGGTTCTCGGTGGGCCGCTTCGTGTCGGGCGTGGCGAACGGCGTGGCCATGGCCGTGGTCAACACGTTCCTGAACGCGATCTCGACGCCGCACAACCGCCACGCGCTGGGCGACGCTGGGCATCTTCGGCGTGGCGACGACGTTCTGGTACTGGAACACGACGTCGGGTTTCCGCTGGATCGCTGGCATGCCGATCGTGTTCGCTGCTGGCTTCGTGGTGATGTCCTTCTTCTTCATGGTCGAGAGCCCCGTGTGGCTGGTGTCCAAGTACCGAGAGCAGGACGCTGAGAACGAACTAGCGCGTCTGTACGGCAAAGAGAACGTCAACGTCATGATGGGCTGGATTCAAGCCAACGATCGTCGGACCAAGTTACCGTCGACTATCAGTGGAAATGCTAAGGATACGGAACACGAGACAAACTGGAGTATCATGACAAAGTCCAAGTTCCGCAAGCAGTTGGTTATCGCGCTGGGTCTCACGTGCATCAATCAACTTGTAGGCATCAACGCGGTGTTCTTCTACTCATCGTCCATTCTCAAGGACGCTGGTATCTCCGACTCGCGCGCTGGTCTCATGATAATCGATATTCTCAACATCATTCCCGTGCCGATTGCTGCTGTCCTGACCAAGACCATGCGCAAGCGTTCAATGCTCATGTCGGGCATCTTTGTGATGGTCTTGTGCTGCATCGGCATGACCTTCTCGCTCATCTACAACGTCGGCTGGTTGTCCATTGTGTTCCTGGGAGTCTTCGTGGTGGGCTACGACTTGAGTATCGGCCCGCTTCTTTGGCCGATCATCGCTGAGCTGTTCCCGGATTCGGCTCGTGGTGCTGCTGTCGGTATCTGTATCACCGTGAAGTGGCTCGCCACGCTTGTTATTGGCATCGCGTTCCCGTACATCGAGGAGGCCATCACGAACTACAGCTTCACGCCATTCCTGGGAACAACCGTCCTCTCCATCATCTTCATCTACTTTATGGTGCCGGAGACGTCCGACATGACCATCGCTGAGATCCAGGACGGTTTCCGAAGTGGAGCAACCTCACCTTCCTCCAAAAGTCAGAGTTAAAAATCACAGTAGATAGTTTGTGTTGAAATACCGTAGCAATCAGGTAGTGTTCGTATCGAATCGTCGGCAAACAGAGAAGAACAAGTATGGTGAACACAATACCTCAAAGCGCAAAGCCTCATTTCTCACTGACAATATACAAACACGTCAACCAGCTACGGACGCCTACAGGCTAAATTGGTTCCTTGCTCCACCTTCGCTCGCGTTACTGCTGGCTCTTGACTGAGTACAGGTTCTGGTCGCCACGGAATCCGTCCTGGATCTCAGCGATGGTCATGTCGGACGTCTCCGGCACCATGAAGTAGATGAAGATGATGGAGAGGATCGTCGTGCCCAGGAAAGGCGTGAAACTGTAGTCGGTGATGGCATCCTGGACGTACGGGAATGCGATGCCGATGATGAGCGCGCACGTCCACTTCAAGAAGACGCAGATGCCCACAGCAGCGCCACGGGCCGAGTCGGGGAAGAACTCGGCGATCATGGGCCAGAGCAGCGGACCGATGCTCACGTCGTAGCCAACGACGTAGATGCCCAGCATAGTGACGGACAGCCAGCCGACGCTGTAGACCATGGAGAACGTCATGCCAATGCAGCACACCGCCATGAGTGCAATACCCCACAGAAGCATCGCACGCTTGGGCAGGAACTGCGTCGCGTAGGCCGCAATCGGCACCGGAACAACGTTCAGAATGTCGATGATGACGACACCCAAGCGAGCGTCCGCGATACGGCAGCGGTCAGGATAGAAGACGAGTACCAGAAGACAGCGTTGATGCCCACGAGCTGGTTGATGCAGGTCAAGCCAAGAGCCACGACGAGCTGCTTGCGGAACTTGGGCTTGGTCAAGATGGTCCACGGACTCTCGGCCTCCACCTCCACGAACTCCCCACTGACAGTCGACGGCAGCTTGTTGCGGGTGTCGCGGGCCTGGATCCAGCTCACCATGGCCTCGACATGCTCCTTGCCGTACAGGCGAGCGATCTCCCTCTCGGCCTCTTGCTCGCGGCCCTTACTGACCAGCCACACGGGACTCTCGACCATGAAGAAGTACGAGCACACGAGGTACCCGGCAGCGAGGACGATCGGGATTCCGGCGATCCAGCGGAAACCCGACGTCGTGTTCCAGTACCAGAACGTCGTGGCGACACCTAAGATGCCGAGCGTTGCAGCCAAGTGCGTGTTGGTGCCCAGCGCGTGGCGGTTGTGCGGCGTCGAGATCTCACTCTGGAACGTGTTGACCACGGCCATGGCGATACCGTTGGCGATTCCAGCGATGAATCGACCAAAGCCGAACCAAAAGGCGGTGGGCGCCACAAGTTGGATCACCGAAGCCACGACCATGATGATCGTGTTAAGACGCAGGGTCATGCGACGCCCGTACTTGTTGGACGGGATACCGGACAGAAAGCTGCCGAGCATACCACCAACGATCCATGCGTTCGAGAGCAACGTCCACGTCGTCTTGGTGTGCCCCGGGAACACGATGCACGTGCCTTCCTCAACGGGGCGAGCGTCGCAGTCCTCGGTGTTGTTGAACTTGTGGAGGTTGATCTGGTGGCTGGACCAACCGTAGTGGAAAGCCTCCAGCATGGCGACGGCAGCCGACGTGTAGACAATCCACCGCGCTCCAATGGCTCGCCCCTCGACGGTCAGGAGCGGCTCGTTGGTGTTGTTGGCTGCCGGCGACATGGCGATCGCGTAGTTCGTTCCTTGGTTCGGGTCCGGGGAGCGAGGCATTGTGGGCTGCAGGCGGAGCTTTGGACGCTGGAGACTTGGACTGGAAGACCGGGTGCGCGCTGGCAGGCGAATTCGAAAGTGAGAGTCGAGCTCGAGGGCGCAAAACCAGCAAGCTGTAGTGGTGCTGAGGAGGGATTAAAGCCGCTCAGTCGCTCGCCTTGGTGGCAGCCTTCAACGATACAAGAACTGGACTGGCGGGTACTGATGCCTCGGATTGAGTATCTTTTACTAACCTACTAATGGCCAACTAAAGAAATTAAATAGTCGAGGTCTTGTAGCACAAAAAGAGCTTGACCAGTCACGTCGTACATACGCGATGCACCGCGCAGGTGCTCGCGCTCAGGATGAGATGGGGATGTCTTTACAGATCCTTGAGTTGCCTCTTGTTTGCGAGATGCACAAATGCAATTTATTACTGTATAGTATTAGCGACGCTGGACGCTTCGAACCACGCTGTGTGTGCACGTTGATGTATCTCTAGCACTAAATTGCTCTCTCAACGTGTCATTGCACTATAAGATATAGAGATCGAGGCTTATAAGAGAGCGAGAGAGCTCAGCAACAATTATGAACTGACAGGTAACCTCAGTAGCTTAGACTACAGTACTGTATTTAGCAGGATGGTAAACGCACCCGCTTGTCAGTCTACAATAGTACATGAGTGGTAGAACGATCATCTTCAACAACTCATCATCGCGGTAAGAAGACAAGTACATGTATTCTATGTAAGCGTGTCACGTCCACTGCCACCTCCACGCGGTAGAACTGAGGCAGGGACTCCATGAGGGGGGATACTCATCAAGCTTGAGCCAGGGAGGTACAGTGTACTTCAAGTGCATCAGGTGATAGTTCCAGAAACAAAGTTCAAGGATGGAACTTCCAGATGAGACCGCCAGAATGCCTCTCGACCGTTAACCTTGGATGCGGCTGACCCGATCAAGTTCAATTTGAAAGAATCTAGTCGCTCCTTGAAGTTTCCCCTAGAACTCTTGCTCCGGTAGGTACATAATGTGTCTAAATAGTTGCGGCTCGGATAACAGCGGGGAAACACGCTCAAAATGTCTGCAGTTTACTCTTCTACAACACAGAGGTGGCTAGTGTTGCTAAATCTACTCGCAAGCGCCTAGTGCGCCTAGCATCTGACACCAAGCGTAGGATATCGAATAGTTTTTTTGTTTCATTTTCATTTCATTTTTCAGGTGAGGTATATTGTGTTTGCACCCAAGAGCTTTTGCCGTTTTATTGCCATCGCATCACAAAGAGGTGGCTGTCTACATGTACTCTACTCAATTCGTTACATGTATTGCCTCAAACCTTGTTGTACTGTAGATACGATGACCCCAAATCTATGGAATGAGATCGCTTGGGCAACTTCCAACTCAACCATGGCTCTAAGTATTGCGAAACACCAAGCCGAATGCGTTAGCGTCACGGACAGCGATTCAAGGTGTGATGGCGTCCAGAACTTCTGCTAGGCGACAGGCAAGTTTGATGCATCTGGACCTTAGCGCGTCTCCCTACATGATACGATCATTTCGGTTTGACCATTTCGCTCGACTGCGGTCGTGAAGAGTACTTTGAACTTGAGCACCAGTGCAAATGAGCTGACCAGAGGACAGTATCTATCATAACCATGGCCGGGAGCATGTAAGAGGTCTCACCAATGGCCTATAGTTACGTAGGCTGGCGCTTGAAAGGGTCAGTATTAGCAGCTAACTATTGCATTCCTGAAAAAAACTACTACGTAGTACTTCACAGTTTGTCGCCCGAGATTATGAGAGAGAAGCGGTGTGTCTTGAATAACCTATGAGCCAGCGCCGTTTTTCTTGAGCGTAAAAGTGAAAGCCCTGCTCGACTCACACAACAAATGTCTTGTTGGAAGTTAGTGAAGAATCGAATATGAGCGTCAGGTTAATCAAAGATCAATACTAGTTATAGCGTTCCATTCAACACAAACCACGACGGACTGAAGTCAATGTCTATCTTCCACGGCGTTTCCGAGGTCGCGAACGTTCGTTGCTGCTGCTTGGCCTTTTGGAAGCCTGACGACTGGTATTGGTCGAATTCTGTGCTTGAGATTGCAGCTCCCACAGCGTATTCTCCGCCTTCAAGCGCTCGACTTCTTGCTCGAGCGTTTTCACCTTGTCGGTCAGCGTCGCCTCTGACTTGTGCAGGGACACCAATCGGAAATGCTGACCTATAGCCTTCTCTCGCGTTTTCTTCAAGTCGGCCATGTACTCCTGATTCAGCTTGTGTAACTCGCAGTTTTGCTTGTAAAGCGCCAGGTTCTGCTCTTCCAGACGCTTCATCCGCAGCTTGAAGCTCCCACTGGACACCTCGTCCGCTTCCCGTAAAAGCCGCAGCCTCTCCATATCGGTTGCACTCGTTCCACCTTGAGTGGATTCTCGGGTGGCTGCACGCTCTTGCACCTCTGCAGTCTGTGTAGCAGCAGGGAGGGCAGCTTGAGGGGATCTAGCTCGCGGCGCTCGTAGTGTGAAACCCCCGCTCGACACCTCGGCCGCTTCACGCAAAGGCCGGGGCCTCTCCATTTCGTTTGCGCCTGGAGCAGATTCTGGGATGGCTGTACGCTCCTGCACCACTATATTCTGTGTACTTGTCGGACGCCCAGCTTCAGGGACACTAGCTCGCGTCGCCTGCAGTTCTCCAGCAGTATCAGCACTTGCAAGTTCTTGGGCAGGTTCTTCCTCTTGTCCACGCCCAACTTCAGCACTCTCAGCAGCCCCCTGATCCACAGGTAAAGGTGCCACAGACTCTGGTCTAGGCGCGAACGTCCGCGAGAACGCCATGAAGGTGTGTCTATCGAGCGGGTGGTTGTGGAACGGGACATGCCTCGTCACCACCACCTGCCACCCACTGACTTGGGTGCTGTCACCGCCGTGCCTCCTCTTGGCCAGGGCGTTGATCGTGGCTGGACAGTCTGTCGCACGAAGGCTTTGGCGCCGGACGCCCTTCCCGCGGCTGCGAGGTTTGCCCTCGTGGGTGCACACCAACTGCTTGGCGTAGACTCCGAGCTCGGCCGGCATGGTCCGGTCGTCCGGAATGTCGGAGTTTGGGCCATATTTCTTGGCGTTGAGCGCGGCGATGCGCTGGTTGCGCGTGGCCACGGACGTCGACGTCTTGCTGCGGAACACCTGGAAGGTCTGGCGCTGGTACGCGGCCACGTACGCGGCGAAGGCGTCCCAGGAGGGGAACACCTTGGTGGCCATGGGTGCGGCTTCGACGGTCGCTGGGGCAGGCACGAACTCGGTGGAGGGCGACGCGGAGGCGTCATGGTCAAGCGGCGGCGTGGACGTCATGAGCCCTGCTGGTCTTGGGCAGCAACGCGTGTTTGTGTATACTGGTGGCGTATACAGAGAAAGAGTTATGATTGGCTCATATTTACCGAGAAATATTACTGAGATAGCATGTATTGTGGTTTTCAAATATTTTGCCGCCCGATTTGACGATTTGACGTGTTATCCCGGAGTCCGATTTATATAAAATGGAGCTCCTACATGATCGGTTGGTCCAACTTAGCTATATCTGACCTGAGTTAGTGGGTCGCTCCTGAAAGCAGCATAAGGCTCAGAGGGAAGGCATTTCAAGTTGGCCATACCTCCCCACCTCTCATGACGCATTAGAACTGCAATACGTTGGGGACAATAGTGCACTGTATATAGCCACTTCATAGCACTATGGCCAGCTAAATCACCTGTGTGATCATCTACGGCCGCTGCAACTTCGTGCCACGCCGATCTGAGAGGGCCCCAGACATGTTTTCGCGGCGGTCCCTTTTGCCGGCGAAAAGCGGCATTTCTGGCCCCTACTTCGCAACTCGCAGCCCCCAGACGCAAATCGGGTCAGATATAGTTTGCTTCCCTCAACCCTTCCTGCTAAATGTGAGCCCTCCAGCAAATAGCCCGATATATCGGATCTTGGACCACCCGATTTGCCGACACAGGATTAAATCCAAGCCTCCTAGGCGCCCAGGGGTAGGGGAGCCCTTCAACTTCAATAGTCGGGCTCCCCTGATATGAGAGAGCCCAGAAGTCGCCCGAATCGGGCTCCCCTCGACAACGAGGAGCCCGAGCGACGGGCTCCCACAGGGCTCCCCGCTAGGGCTCTTCAATCCCGTAGTTGTAGCTTGGCGGGCTCTTCATGCGTTGTCCTGATTGGTTTATGCTATCTAGGTTAATTCCTTGGGACCCGGATTGAGCTAGAAGGTCGCCATTCCAGAAGATCCTCCATCTAGCAGAAGATCGCCCTTGTCGAAGCCCTTCGCGCTCCATAGCTACGTCATGGTCATGTAGCCTGCGCTGTTTAGGCGTCTTCAGGAGAGACGCGCGGCTCAAGAACTATCCGATCGACGAAGAGATGAGGGTGAACCTGGTGGTGACCCTGGACAACCCGCTCTTCAAAGTCAAACAGTGGCAACGGGGCAGCTGAGGAACGCGCACCAGCCCACCATCGCTAGCCGAGCTTCAGCATCCCAACAAGACGGCCGCATGCCCAGGGAACATCTTTCGCGAAGTGAGGGACGACGCCGCTTTGCCACCCGAGTCGAAGATCGCCTTGTTGGCGGTAACTCATCTGATTCATTAGTGAGTGCTGCCGTATCAACGTCTTCAGAGTCTGCAGAAGCCCAATCAGACTCCACAAACTCCCCAGGGGGTTCTGGTTCTCCTTCCCCCAGCGATTCTCCCACAATCGGCGACGCAACGAACAAGAAGCCACTGGCAGCCGTGAAGAGTGCCATCGCAGATTTCCAAGTTATCTCTGGGTTAACGCTAAGGCTACCGACCGATAAAGAGACGTCGTATATCTACAAGTGGGGAGTTTGTGTTGAGATGGTTGAAGATGGAAAACCTGTTCACCACTGGATCTGCCTAGCTGACGACACCCGCAGGAAGCAAGGGACCAATTTTACGCTTTCGTCTGGTCGAACCTCAAACGCTGCGAGTCATCTGGCCTCCGTTCACGGTGTAGTTTCACGAAGAATGCAAGCGTACAAAACCGAAAAAGCGTAAGCGTCTAGATGAGATCGAGCACCTGCGGACATCACCTCTCTTCATCAACAACCCAAGCCGATTCAACTTGCTTATCGAAGTTCGTCGAATCATCAACAACTGTTTGCCCTTTCGGTTTGGTGAGTACAAGGAATTACGCATTATCGAGGCTCTGCTGAAGAAGGAAGAAGCCCGAATTGTCATCTATGCAGCAAAAGTGACTAAGGTCATTGTTGAGCTGTATGCATCGACCAAGAACGAGCTCATGAGTATTCTAGCGGACAGCAAAATGGCTTCATTCGGAAATTTGGTCATCATGACTGACTTCTGGACCTGCACCGTGGTCCACAAGAAATACCTCGGTGTTCGCGTGTATTTCGTCGACGCCAATTGGGAATTTCGCTCGCTGTTGCTCGGCGTGCGTCGATTCTCACCGAGTTATGTCGATCGTGAAGGGGGTATCCAGGGTCCGTACAAAGCGTGGGTACTCCAGTTGCTAGGCGATTTTGGTCTGAGCACGAGTGATTTTTTTGGATCTACGAGCGATGCTGGTCCGGATGTGAAACATTTGCTGACAAACAACCTACAGTTGAAGTGGGAGTGGTGTATGGCTCACATGGCGCACGCCGCCACCAAGGAGGCTTGTGGGATGAATGGTGATACGGATCGCTCACGTAACCCGGGTATGACCAAGCTCATCGCCGACATCAAGAAAACGATCTCTGATGTGCAGTCGATTGAGAAGACTGGTGATTTATTTCCTGCGCTTTGCACGACGCAAACTAGTACATCAACTATCCAGCTGCTAAGTTATACGGCCAACCGTTTTCTTAGCGTCGCAAGTGCTATTCGCCGAGTTTTAGACAAGTGGAACGCACTGGTGAGTTGGTACGACGAACGAGCGAGACGGCACATCGGTCGTAAGACCCCACCACAATTTCTGCTCAGAAATCGCCGCCTCGATCTCGAGCAGATTTTGTCGCTGCTAGAACCAATCACGAGTTTGAAAAGACTTTGCCAGGCGGAAAAACCAAACCAAGTCGAAGTGTTGATGGAGCTGTATCGGATTCGGCTGGACACTCTGAACTTGGACGAGCCGTTGGAAGACTACCGTTCGGAGCGAGAATCCCCCAGATGGATTGAAGTTGGCTCTTTGACTGAGTTAGCTGGGCTAACCAGGCGTTTACTGCGAGATGCCTTTGACACGCGTTTCTTCTGCCGATACACGTCCGATGATTACCTCGATGACGGCGATTTCGTGTTCGAAATGCAGCAAAGGCTGCATCCAGAATACAAAAATCCTGAAAAATCACTTAACACTATCATCAGGCGCTTGTACGAGGAGAAGAAATCATCGGGTGATGTCATTCAAATTTATATTAATCGCGTAAACGAGAACATCAATACGAGAGTTCGCGGGTTATTGGAGCAGGTATCTGATCCTGTCGAGGATACCCTACCGTATGAAGTTTCTCCTGCCGCAGATGAGGACGACCGACCTTTTAGCAGGATTCGAGAGCGGTTTGGGACTCAAAGGCGTAACATGTACCGCTTATTCGACATGATCGCGTTGGACAAGAACTTCGTCGGTGGGAAGTGGATCCGGTTTCGATGGGCGCTAACGAGAATGTACTAGACTTCTGGAAACGCATGGAGCATAGCGGGGCATACAACATCTTGCCCAAAGCGGCTAAAGTCCTGTTCGCGCTACCATCTTCCTCCGCTCAGATTGAGCGGGATTTTAGCGTTTGTGGGGATCTGGTTACGTCCCATCGAGCAAGCCTCTCAAACGAAAAAGTCGACATGTGCGCTTTTCTAAACCGGAATGAAGAGTTCGTCGATATTGCGCAGTGCGAGGCCATTCCTGACGCGGAAATTGAAGACCACATCCCGCAATGCGTCAGCTATGATTTGGAGGCGGCACCACGAGACGTTGAAGACGAAATGATCATCGAGCTATTCTCTCAGACAAGCGTAGATGAGGAGGAGGCTAGTTGATTCGTTTTACATCTCCGTTCTTCGTTAAAACTGCTATGCATATTGAGATATACTGCGGTAGTAAGTAAACCTCGTGTTATTTGATATCATCACGTACGCGACTTGATGCAGGTGTTGGCGCGGTCGCCATAGGTCGCTTGTAGGCAGGGAACTTGTGAAGCTTCTTGGAGAAGATGTGCGCGTGCGGCTTGGTGATCACTCGCAGCATCTTAAAAGCTGAGACCCAGCCAGTACTCCTACCGATAGAGTAGCGTCGGCAGGCACGTCTACGTCAGCAAGAAGAACATCATGCTCATCCACCACCGGTAGCCGACTGCAGCGAAAACTTCTATCATTGTGAAGCATCACACATGAACATCTGTGGCAAACGTTTAGATTTGCTTACTCTGGACAGGAACACATTGGAGTTACGCTGTCAGCAATTGTGGTCACGCTTGCGCCATCATAAGCACCATCTTGAACAACAACTCGTTTCTAGGCCGCCTGACTGCTTAGAAGGCGGCTTTGCCGAGCCACCGTGGGTACGGAATCACGCCACGGATGTTCGCCATGCCAGTCACATAACTGATGAACCGCTCCAACCCGAGATCGAAACCGGTGTGTGGCAATGTGCCTTACTTCGCAGCTCCAGGTACCACTTGTAGTTCTTCCAGTTGGTACCAGACTCTCTGATACGAGCCTCTAGCACATCCAGGCCCTCACGCACCGATCCATCGATTCTCACCGACGTTGGGCGATCATCTCCTGGTTGAAATCGAGCGAGAACACCGCCTAGAGTTGGCTGAAGCGGCGCTACGACTTAGTATGCTGGCGACGCTCGGTCCAGACGCTATCAACGAGGCGAAGTTCTCGACGTGGTCCACCAAGCTCGTGGTGCTCGGCCTGCTTTGGGACACCAAGTCAAGAACAGTGTCTATGCCTAGCGGCAAGGTTGCCAAGGCGCTATCGCGTCTCCGGGAGGTCATTGTGGCAGCTCGGGCTACTCGCCACCAGCTTGAAAAACTCTTGGGCTCCCTGCGTCACATCAGCCTGTGCTACCGGTCGGCTCGGGCTTTCTTCCAGCGTCTTCATGCTATCTGGCCTCGTTTTGGGCCGGTTCGTATATCTACCAGTGTTCTCCAAGACCTGCTGTGGGTTGAATCCCTCCTACAGCACGACGCCATGAACGGAATTTCAACGAGCCTCCTTGCTGGAACGTCGGAGCCCTGTGTGCACCTGTTCATGGACGCGAGCGACTCCGGCCTTGCGGTGCTCTATCCAGCGATTCGCGAGTACATTCGGGTGCAGTTTGACTCCGCCGAAACTCAAGTTCTCCGCGCGACCACAGAGTTCAGCATCAACACGCGCGAGCTGATCAGCGCCGTGCTCGCCGTCCTGGTGTGGGGGCCTATGTGGAAGCGTGTGCCGGCCGATATCAAGCGCCCTATTCACGTTCGGTGCTGGATCGACAATTTATCTGCTACGGCGTGGATCGCCCGTCATCGAGCATGCCACCCGGCGGGACAGGAACTACTCCGTGTACTCTCCTGCGCAGAGGTTGAATTTGGGCTGCACGTTTCCGCTGTTCACATCCCCGGGGCGCAGAACACGCTTGCCGACATGGGGTCTCGAGCTTGGTCCGGCACAGGACTTCGTGATTGGTCTAACAAGATGTCGTCGTGGTGCGAACAGGTCGTACCCCCGCGTTTTCGCAAGATTTACAACGGGACTTGGTCTTCCTACAATGGAGGTCACTCGCCGACACATCACGACGACACTACCTGGCCACGTGGCGCCGCTGGATCGCCTTCTGCGCGCGGGCCCGACTTCCCCGCTGGCTTTCCCCCGACGACCTCAACGGATAATCCCTACAACTTGTTGTTTTCGCAATTAGCTGCTGGCACAAGCGCAACGCGGCAGCCCCTCTCCGTTTTGGTACCATTCGGGCTCTCATCAGCCATATCCAATGGTGTCATCAGCTCGCCGTCGGCTTCCGTCCACGTCTCCAGCCACAACACGAGCTCGTCTTACAAGGGACTGCGTCGGCTCAGCCCGCCTCGCAACCACCACGGAGCCGTCTCCGTCGACATGCTTCGGACCATCGCCTCTTCCGCGAACATGTCCAGCGCCCAGCACCGCGTCATTTGTGGGGCTGCGGTGCAGGGCTTCTACTTCTGTCTACGCGGAGCAGAAGACCTATCTTCGCGAGGAAAAAGACACGGCTACTGCCTGCAAGTCCAAGATGTAATCGTCGGTGACGCTCATGGTGCAAGTACAACGAGCTTCGTGGCCGCTGCATCGGTGTGTATCACGCTGAGGGGTAGCAAAACAGACCAATCAGGACAATCAACAAGACGGATGCTGCTCAAGAACGACCAGGCCCCGGTTTGCCCAGTATTCGCGGCATTGCTGCTGCTACGAAATGCTGCCACTCTCAACCTGCCCAAGGACGCACCTCTCTGTTCAACGAGCCGCAGCAAGACCCTGTCAGCCGAAACTATGACAGTCGTGCTCCGAAGAGCAGCTACACGGTGCCACGTGGACCCGCAGCACATATCGGCGCACTCGCTACGAGCAGGAGGTGCCACCGCGCGTCACGGTGTTGGGGTTGACACGGACACCATCCGAATGCACGGAAGATGGGCTTCAGACGCGTATCGAACCTACATTCACGAAGCACCCGCCGATCAGCTTCAACTTTCACGACGCATGGGGTCTCAGCGCTACTCGTAGCCGCATCAGCTCGGTCTACCAGAATACTAGGACAGCAATGGTGCAAGCACCAGTGCGGTCGACCGATAATGAATGCAGCTACGTGCGATGACGAGATGTGAAGGAAAAGTCGATTTGTCGTTGCATATCATCCTTCATTTGGTGAAGCTGACTCGATATTGCTGCATTTGAAGCAGCCGGCCCTGCAATTAAAGCGTTGATGTTCTAAGTCAACGCATCATGAGCGTTTGAAAGCACGGCGCCCATCTGCTGCTCGATCTGCTGGGCTCTTATGGCTTGCGTCTCAATCATTTGCTTCACTTCGAGAGCTTCTTGCCTCGCTTGCTCTCGAACTTGTTGTAGTTCTCGTTGGACGAACTGGTGCGCAGCCTCACTCCCAACAGCCTGTGCGTTCGCTACCACACGCAGGTCTTGTTGCAGGGATTCTCTGGTGTCTTCAAGGGCTTTCTGAATTTGAACTTCGACCCACTGCTGATGCGCGGCAAGCTCAGCGGTGCTGCTTTGAGCGTGATTCTGGACGGCTACCAGTGCTGCCCGATACTCATTCGCTTGCTTCACTTGGTTACTTTGTAGCAGAGTATTCTCAGCCGCCAGTCGCTGAGTCTCGTTCCAGAAGTTGTCCACAATTCTTGACACCTGGGCTTCTAAGCGAGCCTGCTCTGCTTCAGCTCGAATATGCGTGACTGCAAGCCGGTCTTCATCTTCTACTTCCGTCACAATTCCCTCGACCACCTCAAGGTGATGCCCCTCGGCTTGCGCGATCCGAGCTCAGCACCATGGCGTCGAGCGTGGCAGATCCTCCGCTCTGTAATTGACGCATTAGTAACCTGCCCTATGGCATCCCACCATCATCCCGACTGGCTTATCTTTGCCCGATATTACAAAAATAGCCGTGCGTGACAAAAATGATTAGCCTTATGCCCTTACCAATGCCATATGAAATCATAAGGATCCCCGATTTAGTACCAGTCAAATCTCTCATGAACGCTGCTTTATCAGCTAATCCGCTGGGGCAATCTAATCGGTTTCCACAATACATGTAGTAGAATTAAACTTTGGCATGAGCTACATGTCGTGGTGGGGTAGGTCAATACGGTGTTGCTATCTACAGTGTGCTCACGTTGAAGTCTGTATACCTGTTATTTCATCATGTTATCGCATAACTTTAGTTTGTTTCTCTATACGGTTTGTAGGCTATAGCATTTACATTCTGTGATCAGGCGATAAGGGGGAGTAATTATTATCTGTTGCTAATTTACTGGTTCATCTGTTGCGGGCAAATCAGCCGAAAATCTGTCGCCCGAGTCGGTTTATCTGTTGCGTGGTGTAGGGGACGAAAGCAACAGGTTTTCAGTACGGAAATCGTGCAACAGATTCCATGTCGAGTTGACTCAGTATATCTGTTGCCTAGGTGATTACTTGTTGTGCTCATGCATCGAGTAAGAGCACCCCTGCTATTGCTCCGAAGGCGGTCGATGCTTGATAGGATTCTTTTAAAGGGCTCGCATGAATTTCGCGAAGGCTATGTGAAAGTAGGATGGCCATAGCAGTAGATGGATCACTTGAAGGTCATTACACTGTCCTCCAGCTCCAAAAGATGCTACGCTGCACATTTTCCGCGTCTGGCGTCGGCTCCTGTACAGTCCCGCATCACCTCAACGTCTTCAGGCATCGGATCTATTGCGCCTTGCTCTACATGGGTGCAGGCAACGCCTCTTCGGGCGTGGACTTGTGATCCGCCTCGGACTAGGGCAAGTTTGGATTGCGCTGGACCTTGATTTAGATAGTTGGGCCACGTTCATCTGTACACTTGCTTACCTGTGCATATGTCTAAGAAAAAAAATAGTTGCGTGGTCTCCAATAGCTCTTCTTCGCTCGTTGTTATGTAGCCGCCAAGGCATTTGCCGCCCCTGTGCGAGCTTGTACACGTCGCGGATACATAGTACTGAAGGACTCACTGTCTAGTGCCCACGGTCTTCCCACGAGGGGGTAGCTTTGCACTCTACTACCTCAGGAAGCACCCGGGGGGAACCCAGTCAGCTGTTGTCGGCGTGGCCGACAGATGCTCGTGTTAATGCATTGTTCCGTTAATGTCACTCTCAGTGGCCACGTGACGTGACCACTGAGAGTGACCCACGTGCACTACATCGTACTACCCAGCGGACGTGAGTCGACACCTCCGTCCGATGACTTCTCGCATACTTAAGTACGCGCGCGATCGGGGCTACCACGGACACAAAGGCTCTCATTACTACAATTGGGGCTATGGCTATGACAAATTCGACCCTCAGGGCTACCGCTCTTACGGCCAAGGCCGTTGTTCCTGTGATGATGGCTATGGGGGTCGTTATGACCGCTCTGATCGTAATGACTCACACAATGACTAGGAGGACAACGTGACGCTCACCGCAGTGATCCTTCACCTCGTGGATCGACCCGTAAGCGCGTGGTCTGCTGGTAAATCCTTGGAAACACTGAAGAAGCTGTAACTCATCCCTGGCACCAATTAGTCCAGTAGCACCTCGTGCGCTTTATTAGAATAGGTCACACACTCTTCGCAATAGGCGTGGACGTCAAGAGCGCACCTATGGCGACGTTGACTTGCCATACCTGTGCTGCTGATGTCGTAGCACGCCTGCGTCAGAAGTCACAGGCCTCGTTGGCCTCTAAGGGGAACGGCAAGTTATCATCTACATGCAGCAATAACTCAAGCTGCTTGAAAAGTTAAGGAATGACTAGCGCAGAATAAATCTGTATCAGACCGCTGAGCTCGCCATAGTCCCCGAAACGGAATACCACAAGTTCATGCATCACCTTCCTGAGCAATAGCGGGGGTGCTCTTACTCGATGCATGGGCACAACAAGTAATCACCTAGGCAACAGATAACCGAGTCAACTCGACGTGTAATCTGTTGCAGGATTTCGGTACTGAAAACCTGTTGTTTTCGTCCCCTACACCACGCAACAGATAAATCGACTCGGGCAACAGATTTTCCGCTGATTTGCCCGCAACAGATGAACCAGTAAATTAGCAACAGATAAAAATATTCTCCCGGCGATAAGCCCAAAGTGATGGCTTCGCTATTCATGTTCTCAGTATTACGTTTCGAGCTAGTTTTCTTTAAAAAAAACGTGTATATATCGTGCTGCATCGTTTCATCATTTTGTACGGCCCTAAGAATGTAATGAGCTGTGGGCTGCGTTAATTTCGACGTATCCCGCTTCAAATCTCATTTTTAATGAGCTAAGACGTGCGTATCAGTAAATTATTCTATTACGTAATGTACATTAACACTTTTGCGTACTACCTATAGTTGAGTAGCGAAAGTATCGCCGTCGCGTTCAAAATTCATATAGCGTGCAATGCTAATTCGTTAATATACAGGTATTGTACGGCTCATCAGTATTGCTAGAGTGTGGGGAAACGCGTCAATGGAATGCCAGTATGAACTACAATAAAATCTCCACTCCAATGCATGTCTAGGCATCTACTATCCCCAGAACCCATTATCTTACCGCTAAATACTATACGTTACACACGTTTAAGCCAATGTAGCTATATGCCATTATAGATGAGCACTCAGCACCGCTGCAGCTATAATATATCCCTCCCTAAAGTATTACACAAAAACTAACCTGAAACTTTTATTCAATCGTCTTGTACCTCTACTCGCACTGCTATCGCTTATTACGTCGGTGCTATCGCCTTCTATGCGCTTCTATCGCTTACTATACGCTGCTATCATTTACAATCATTTACTATGCGCTGCTATCGCTAAGCATCCGTTGCAATCGTTTTCTACGTGCTGCTATCGGTAACTATACGTTCATATCGCTGACTACGCGCTGCTATAGCTAACTATGCGCTGCTATGGCTTACAATGTGCTTATATTTAACCAAGTTCGCTCAATTAAAATTATACTATGTAGTAGGGCAAGCCCAGCTATCGCTGCCACTATGCACTACTCGCAGTGCAATTATATGTTTAAGCGGACTCTGCTATCGCTGCTACTACGCGGTGGGCCCATTTTAATTAATAGCAGGTGTTCCGAAAAGTATTATATTCGGCGAAGCGTCACGGCGGGGGTGACGTAATCGCCCCCGTTCCGCTCGCCTAGTCGGCTCGCTGCACTACTCGCCGTGTTATTAGTACATAGTTGTAGGGCGGGCCCTGCGGCCCGCTAGAACGCACGCGGGTGCCGCCTTCGCTGTAATGGGGCGTCCAAGGCTGTCTATGTACGATATGTGGACCACCCTAATTTTGTCGCCATCGGCTTCACACGGACTTACACACGCACTGGACGGTCTCTCTATTAGTTGTTGTTAGAATACTAGCCGAGCGCCGCCCGCTTCGCGGGCGGTAGTTATGTGGTTAGGCGTAGTAGTAAGGGCCGCCCAGTCAAATGTCGTTAGTTTAGATTGTATGCATGTAAAAAGGTGTTTGTATCTTAGTATGGTATCAGCTTCACGTCAGAGTTACTGTAAGTAGATGCACGTTGCAATATAAAGCATTCTCTATCGCACGGTCCTGTGTCGTAAACCCTGTCCACATCGTAGCGGTTATTCAACCCAACCTTCAACGTATCTGCAAAGTACATATCTAAAACAACCCGTGTTTAGTGTGCTCACGTAAGTCTCTATACGTGTTATTTTACCAAGTGTATCGCTCTGCCATGGTTTCTGTTAGTTGGTTCCAAGCGTATAGCCTGTATAAGCCTAAATAACCGTTCACGCTTCGCTATGCCTCTCCTTAGCATATACTTAGTGCTTCCGTTCAAAAGCACCGTGTACATATACATATCGGGTAACATCACTTCGGAATTTTCAATGATCCATACCGGTGAAGTGCGGCCTGCGATAATGTGGCCTCTTCAAAACTTATTTCATTTTATGAAGCGTTCCTATCCGTTTATTAGTCTAAGCGGCACTTTACTGCACCACCTGCACCACAGTCGCTAAGACATTGAACGTAACAGCTTCGCACTTTGTCTCTATGAAGTACACGTTGCACTATGCAAGTTCCGCCATACAGGTATATACAACCCATTAAATTGGATGGTTAGTGTGGGAGTGCGCGTCCAAGGTAATCGTCCAAGGTAATCTATCATAGAGCTCCAGCTAATTGAATATCAGTATCTACTATTCAGATCTCATTATACTACCGACATGTAACATAAACTATCGATGCCTTTTAGCAAAGTTGCAGATACTTCGAAGGATGTTTATCACATGTGATTGAGAGCCAAGCGCTGCCGCTACGCGGTAGTTGTAATCCGGCAGTTTTATTATAGTAAAAGTAAGCTGGGCACGCTGTTAATACTGTATCCACCTTCAGCTTACCTTGCGCAATATGTACTCGCGCTGCTGTCATTAACTACGGGCTCCTACCTGTTGACGCTTACCGTGTGCTTCACTATCACTGACTACGTGTTGCTATAACTATCTGTGCGTTGATATGGCTTACAATGTGTGTATATTGAAACAACCTCCCTCCATTATTAATATAGTATGTAGTGGGGCAGGCCAAGCTACATGTACACTGGAAACGGTATTGGTCTCACTCATACTATTTTCGGTTAGGATGTCTCACATAGAGACTAAATTACGTGAGAAACATTTATATGAGTTTCAGTATACCTGGTGTTTTGTTCGGAAGTAGTCTCACTAAGACTGTTTCCGAGCTCATACTATTTTTTCACACACACTACACAATGTTTCCAGTGTAGCTATCGCTGCGCGGTTACCCGATTCATATGGTAGCAGGTGCAACACATAGTATTGATCAAAGCGGGGGTGATCTTATCGACCCCGTTCCGCTCGCCTCGTCGGCTCGCTGCACTACTCGCAGTATTAGCAACTTTGTAGTTGGGCGGGCCGGGCGGCCCGCTATAACGCACGCGGGTGCCGCCTTCGGCAGCTAGTCGGACTTAGTTGAATTCGTACTCCCGAAACCGACACTTCTATTACAGTTAGGAAACTATGTAGCTAAGCGTACCTCTGTCCGTGTGCGGCGCTCGCGTCCTGTGGGGCTCGCAGCGCTTGCTTGCTCCGCCGCGCGCGGAATTCAAAAACGGAAATGTGAAATCAGCCGGTTTGTGTGTGCCACATCAAGGCGGCACATAAAATCGGTGTAAGGTTAATAAAATGGGGGTTGCGCCAGAAATACGACGAGCGACCACTTACCGCCACGAGCTGAGTGATTCGCGTACCTACTAACGAGAAATAGCATCACGTGCATTAAATACGCTTCTGTGAGCTTCGATGTGTACTGCTATCTATTTATCAAGTTCTGAAGTCATGTATTTGCGCTGTCATTTCTCGTCAGCATTAGCGTTTGTCGGTTTTACGTTAAATCGGCCACCGAATGCCGTGTGGGTGTCGGACATTCGGGCTGATTAGCATGCAAATCAGCCGTCCCGGGCTTTGTAAGCCGTGGAGCAGCTAAATCAGCTTGCCACATGACGTTGCAGGCACAACTGACCGCTCTGTCAAATCAGAGTACAAATCTTAGTGTGTCGATCTAATTAGGAGGTCGGATTTAGCTAATCAGACCCGATTAAGCTTAATCATCTGCTTAATCAACCGATTTATATCCCAATTAGACAATCTAATCGGTTTTCACAATACAACACACAGACTACTTAAGGTATGTACTCCGCGGGGACTTTGTAATCGGGTTAAGTAGTTGCACCTGTTTGGACCCGGTTTACAACAGGGTACCGTACGATAGATCGAATGTTTTACCTTACTACATTCATCTACTCTGACGTAGGGATATGTATTAAGCTGATTTCAGTCACGTCACACTACTGATAGTACCTCAACGTAAATAAACATTTTTACATGCACACAAGCAAAATTTAATAACCTTTGAACTAAATAAAAGCCCACCGAAGCGAAGCGGAGGTGGGCGGCCCTTACTACTACGACTAACCACAAAACTACCGCCGCGTAGCGGCCAGTGTCAAGCCCGTGTCCACATAATAGAGGTGGTCCACACATCGTACATAGACAGCCTTGGACGCCGAAGGCGACGAAGGCGGCACCCGCGCGCGTTATAGGGGGCCGCAGGGCCCGCCTGTTACATATTAACTAATAGCACTGCGAGTAGTGCAGAGAGCCGGCGAGGCGAGCGGAACGGAGGCGATGAGTAGCACCCCCGCCGCGGTGCGTAACTAAATATTATTCTAACAACATTTACGGTGTTAGTTGGGTCACCGCGTAATAGCAGTGATGGCTGGGCCTGCCCAACTATATAATGGCCCCGGCCTCTGTAATACTAACCTGACCTTGAGAGTAGTGCAGCGAGCCGACGAGGCGAGCGGAACGGGTCCACTACTGCCGTAGCGAAGCGTAGGCAGCCTGCTCTTATAGCGCAGCGAGCATTGCGAGCGAAGCGTCAACTAACAAAAAAAATTACCGCCGCGTAGCGGCGGCGCTCGGCTGGTGTAAATACAATAAAAATAAATTCCTGTGACAGGAATTTATGGATACTTCGGCGCCAAAAAACGTGGGGTTTGGCTTCAATGAGAAACTTGAAAGGGCTTTAATACAAGTGGAACGATAGATCGACGATTAGACTGAAATTGAGTCAGTGCCATGGATTGAGACTTCGGATACCCCTACTTCTAACACCTAAGTCACTTAAAAGTCGAAGAGTTCCTTGTGAATGTCAAAGCTGATGTCCATCTCCTTCGAGAGCGTCAAGCTGGCCGTCACGACGCCGTCCACCAGTGGCTTAGGCCCGCAAACTAGAACCGCCACTCGCGAGTTGCCCGCTGCCTTCGCCTTTTCCCCCATGGCTCGGAGGATGTTAGCCGTGTGAGGACGAGAGCCATACCTGAGACAGCTACGGAGTTGGTGATCCAGCTGGGCCTCCACATCCCTCTCGCCTCGCGTCAGGTAGAACTCGCTGAAGAACGTGCTAGTAGGGTCATTCTGCGTAGCTGCGTCTTGGATTCGCTCAGGGATGTAGGATGTCGTACCGCCCACATCGTAATGAAGGTCCGTGTCGTCCGTCAGCACTTGAATGAGGTCGCGGTCCCGCACAGACCAGACAAAGTGGACGTTCTTGATGTCGGGGCGGTAGCCCTCGTGGTGCTCTTTGTACAGCCAGTTAGTTGACAATGGATCGCATGGGGGTCACGCCAATGCCACCGGAGAAGAGAGCGTAGTGCGAGTAGACCAAAGAGCTTTCGATCTCCATGGAGACGTTGCCGTACGATCCGTCGAGAAGGATGTCAAACGGAGACGTATCTGTCGCGTCGGATGCAGCGGTCATGAGTTTATTCGTCCAGTCTCCGAGGCCCTTGATGTGGAAGGTAACCATCGCCTCACTGGGGGACGACGAGATCGTGAATGGGTGCCACTCGAGAGACGAAATCGTCGGGATCCACAGGAACGCGTACTGACCCGCTTCGTACTCGAACGACTCGCCTGTGTCTTTGCGGACTCGTGGGAACTGGATGCGCGTGATACCCCCACGTAGAACGTGCACTGACACTTGATCACGAGCAACAATTCCAGCAGTTTTCGCCTTTGTAGAGCCACGCGAGTAGGTGCGAGCACGGAATACGAGTCGGTAGAGCATGTCGATGAACCACGGTAGAATGCCAAACAGCGCGAAGAACGCGCCGTGGGCTACAGCTAGCAGCTTTAGCGCGCCATGGGGAGTGTCGACTTGGTCGCTAAGAAGCAGCACGGTGTTATCGAAGGTACACACAGCGAGATGAGAAGACACTTGAGCAGTAGGGTTCCGGTTTCAAAGTAATTCATTATAATATACGCACTGCACGAGGAGGAAAGTCCCAGACGAAAAACCCCTTTGACCCGTTGACTACATCCACCAGATGAGCAACGGTTCGATCTCAACCTGTCCACGAGACAGATCGAGCTTTGCAAAGAACTTGAGTTCAACTTTCTTGGATGTTCCTCCGGAAATCCTCATACTCCCCCTGAACTCAAGTTCCGTTGCACAACACAATCGCCATCTTCACTAAGACGATCTTTCATCGTATAGGCGACGATCTTTCGTCACACAGTCGCGATCAAAGCCTCGAGTTCATCATTTTCGAAAATGTTCCTTTCAACTTGGAAGGTTCCGTTCACTCCCCCTGAACTCGGGCTGTGTCGCGCTGGCATCGCTACCGTTGTGATTGTTTACCAACGTATCAGTGCGGGAGTTCGAGCTGACCCACAAGCAAGATGTTACCACTAGGGCTCCCCATCTTCCGCTTCGTGTTCCGCCGCTCTATATTTGTGAATTTTGCATCACTTCCGACTCACCATTCCTGACCAACCCGTCAATTCTCTTTGCGGACGAGCCGACGTCGGGCCTGGACAGCTTCATGGCGGAGACGGTGATCCGGCAGCTCCAGCAGATCGCGCGCGACGGCCGCACGGTCCTCGCGACGATCCATCAGCCGTCGTCGGAAGTATTCGCCATCTTCGACCAGCTTTATCTGTTGTCGGACGGGTCACCTGTGTACCAGGCCAAGGCGAGCGAGTCGGTGGACTACTTCGCATCCCTTGGGTACCCCTGTCCTCCGCAGATCAACCCGTCCGACTACTTTATGCGTCAACTGGTTGTCATTGACAAGGCTACCGATGAGGCTGGCGTGGCGAGGGTGGAGGGGCTGAAGGAGGAGTGGAGGAAGCACCAACGGCTGCCCCATTCGGAGTCGGTATCTATGCTCCAGGGCGAACAGCACGTCGAGAGCTCGAGGGTCGATCTGTTCACCCAAGTGGGTGTTCTCGCCCACCGCAACATCCTCCGCTTCCTGCGCGACGGCTTTGCGCTCCGAGTCCCCTTCATCCAGAACCTGTTCCTCGCTGTGATCGTTGGTTTGATCTACTTGCAGCTGGATCTGGACCAGAAGGGCATCCAGAACTTCAGCGGTGCCTTCTTCTTCCTCGTGACCAACCAGATCGTGGTGACGGCGAACCCCGTGTTCGTCTCGGTGCCCATGGAGCTGGCACTGATCTCCCGAGAGTACAAGGCTGGACTGTACCACTTGATGTCGTGATACCTGTCCAAGAACGTGAGCGAGTTCCCGATGCAGATCCTCCTCCCGATTGTCTTCTTCGTGCCCATCTACTTCCTCATGGGCATCGGCCACGGCTTCGACGTGTTCATCTACCTGCAACTGGTCATGATCCTCACCAATAGCTGCGCCATCGGTCTGGCCTACGTGGTGTCGTGTCTTGTGCCGCGCGTCGACATTGCTCCGCTGATCGGTGGTCTGCTCATCAACTCGGACGACTGCCCCGACTACTTCGTCTGGATCCAGTACATCTCACCGGTCAAGTACGGCTACGAGGCCATCATGAAGATCTTCTGGAACGCTGTTTCGTCCATCGATTGTAGTACGACGAACTGCACTGCGCGCACGGGTGTTGAGGTACTGACCAGCTACAGTATGACCTCCCGCTCGGCTTTGGGTGACGCACTTCTGCTGCTGCTGTTGAACGTCGTCTTCCGCGTGATTGCGTTCATCGCGATCTGGCTCCGCTTGCACCAAAAGAAGTAAGCTGCCAGCAGTGCTGGAGCAGCACGGAACGATGCACCTAGCAAGTAAGCTCGGTATGATACACTTTCCCTCTTTTTCAAGCTACCAGTCTGCTGCTCAATACGTTTTCTTTAAAAGAAAATGAACACAGAACGAAACACGTAGGGGGGTGTATAACAAGGTTGCTGCGCTTTGGCTGGGAGACCAATTTTCTACTTAGTATTTTTTATCGTGGAAGTGAAAGTTCTGCATGGTTGTTCACAGACAGATAGTTTACACTAAAGATGTTCAGATGCAGCCCTCCGCAATCTAAAACTCTTTGAAAGTCGACGCGTTTACTTGTAATTCGCATTTGTTTGTACATTCTTTAGAGGTCGATGCAGTAGTTGGTGAACTGCCTGTGGAACTACGCATACTGCAGCTTTCGCGAACCCTAGCACTCGGAGGCAGGCAGATGCTGCGGCTGCGAAACAGGCGCAGGAGACGCCTGTGGATGGCGGTTTTGTAGCACAAAATCTAACCTAGGACAAAATTTGAGTCAAGAAGCACGGTTAGTTGATGATAACTACGGCCATCTACTGCGCCTGCTTCGCAGCCGCAGCATCTGGCCGGTAATGTGCAACTGGAGAAGTACGAAATGATGTTCTAGTCAAATTGAAACGAACAAATGTCTGCCTACTTTCTTAAAACTTGTGAAGAGCGAAAAACTTCCAAAGACGTGTTTTGGTTTTGAGAAGCTTTTGTACCATCGCTAATTGCGATTTCGATGTCCCCTGAACGTTACCTGTAACTGGGAATACATTCGTGACGAATTAAAGTTTGTGAGGCCGGTAAACCATCTCCCAGGATATTCCACATTTTGCCCTCCCACCGCCAGTTACTAGAACTCCGTTGTAGTATCATGCCAATTGCGAAAAGAAATCAAGACCAACATGTCCAGACACGAAAATGCGCGACATAGCACTACACAGGGGTTAGTAGTATGTGGGTAGTAATTAGTTACCGGTACACTGGGCTGTCAACGATATAGACATACTGCTATTAGGAGTAATATTAAAAATATGCAGTAATATATGTTATTATGACTAATAATAACAATACATAAATACTACTTTCGACGGCACGCCCTGCTTCATTATCATCCATCCTTTCGTCTCTAAGAATTACGGAATAATTGGGATACGGTCGCTTTCCGAATACCGGAACGACAGCATGTGTGTAGAGAAGTATTTCTACTAGTACCGCCAAAAACTGAAGATGACTTTTGAAGCAAATACTACTGTAGTAGTATGCTACTACATGTACAGTAATGTGCGTCAATAAGGGACGTGTGGCAACTAATATCCTTACATACATTATATACAGCTGTCAGTCAAGAACACAGCTAACATTGATTTAAGTTAACTTTCGACAGGATCCTGGCGCTATTGGCTGGTTTCGCAACGAGCGCGACTACGTGATTGGCTAGTGAGGTCAGATCTAGCCAATCAGTGATTGAAGCTACCATGCGCGAACATAACTCCTTCCCTCCAACCCGCTCAGCGCGATCTCCAAGCACAACGGAATCTACCACATGGTAGCAACACCAGCGCCCTACCCACCCACCCACCTATTGCTCCTCGTCGACAACGCCTCGTCCCATGATGAGACGGGTCTCTGCTTGACGCACGTCCGCGTCGAGAAACTTCCGCCTAATACAACAGCGAAGATTCAGCCCATGGACCAGGGCATCATTTACTGCGTCAGTGCTGACACAGAAAATGATGCATGCACTTGGCTACATTGGAGAATCCTGCGATGATGCTTATACAGTCGACTTACTAACTGCCATGAAGTGGTGCGAGTCTGCGTGGGATAATGTGTCAGCTTCTACGATTCAGAAGTGCTGGTTGCACTCCGCGCTCATTAGTAAAAGCAGTGTGTCATTTATTCTTAACTAAATCTATACATTGTTCTTTCTTTTTCCACTTGTTCGCCTTAATAGCCTTTACACTCCTATTCATATCAGAGGTCCCTTATTGACGCACTTTACTGTACAAACCTTGAGCAACATTGCGTTTACTGTTCAGGAGCGCGTGTACCACCTAGAATGAATGTCATCAAGTAACTCGAAGTAACATTCATATTACGAATCCGCTTATAATCAAGTCTGTCCTAAGGATGTTGACCAGCACAAGCCGCATCAACTTAGCACGTAGATTAGCATCTACCTATGTGAACAGAAATGCGGGTGAGCAAGAGAGGATCATACAATGCTCCGGATGAGATCAGCCTTCCTCCAGGGAAGGCCCAACTCTCTTTTCAAAACAACCAGCAACAAGCCAAGTCAACAACCACCCCCAGTTCCCGAGCTTCATACTCCCATGACTCTCGCTACCCTGTCGAAGCTCTTCACGGCCGCAACGCTCGGCGGCAAGAAATCCCCCATCGAACTCAAGCATCGCGTCGTGATGTCGCCCATGACTCGTCTCCGCATGGGTGACGACGGCGTCCCCGGCCCTGTGGTCGTCGAGTTTTACACGCAGCGCGCCAGTGACGGCGGTCTTCTCATCACGGAGGGCACGAACATCAGCGCCACGGCTCGTGGATACTACGGAGCCCCTGGCATCTTCAACGAAGCCCAAGTCGAGGGCTGGAAGGCAGTCATGGAGAAGGTCCTCGCCAAGGGCGGCAAAATCTTCGTGCAGCTGTGGCACACTGGACGTGTGGGCCACCCGCTCGACCAGCCAAACGGGGAGCTGCCCGTTTGCTCCAGTGCGGTCAGCATGGAAGGCGTCCACAGTCTCGCCCCGACACGTGAGGGCCGTCTGCCGCACCCGGTGCCGCGTGCCCTGGAGACGGACGAGATCGCCGGTATCGTTGCGGACTACAAGTCGGCAGCTCTGAAGGCACTGGAAGCTGGCTTTGACGGGGTGGAGCTTCACTGCGCCAACAGCTACCTGATGGAGCAGTTCCTGTGTGACTCGATCAACAAGCGCACTGATCAGTACGGAGCCAGTGTTGAGAACCGTGCCCGTATCCTCTTCGAGGCACTTGAAGCTGTTCTGTCTGGTGTGGACTCGAGCAAGGTTGGTATCCGTATCTCGCCCTACGGAACCGCTTTCGGCTGCACGGACTCCGCCCCGGGCGAGCTGTTCGGCTACGTCATCGAGAAGCTGAACGACTATGACCTGGCCTACCTCCACTTGGTCGAGCCTCGCGGAATCCAGGCGCCCGCGCCTGATGCACCTGAAGGCGGCGTGCTTCCGATCTTCCGCAAGATCTACAAGGGCTTCATCATCACAGCGTCGGGATACGACCGTGAGGAGGCCATTAAGGTCGTCGAGGAAGGGGCTGCGGGCTGCGTGGCTTTCGCGCGCGACTTCATCTCGAACCCTGACCTCGTGGAACGCCTCAAGATTGGTGCCGAGCTGAACACGCGCAACAATCAGACGGCTTACCTGCCGCTCGGTGTCCCCTTCGAGACGGGCTACACGGACTACCCGTTCCTGGCGGACAGCAAGAAAGAGTAGACGAGCACTGGTACGTGGTACGAGAAATTTCGGTGTTTCCCTGCCCTGGTCGAGTAGTCCAGACTCATATGCAAGCGGTATGAGGATATATGGAGCTATCGGATAGAAATGTACAGCGGTGAGGGATGCATCGAGCAAGCTCCACGTATCGTAACGGAATTTTCAGACTGCCGATCCGGCACATCATGTTACGAGTCTTTTATTGGGTTTATGCACTCTTCAATTGACTGTAAGTTGTACGCGTTTACATGTGCTCACTCTGTTTGGCACCGCGGTCGCGTGGGAAATAGCAGCGTTTGGAAAGAGCGGAAGCGCGAGGTTCTACTGTAGAACGTTGTGTGCCGTTTACTCGGATACAAATATGAACCTATGGGATCGCAGAGATTCCGTTTGTTCAGTCACAGTGACCTGCGACCTATTAGTTTGTCCCACAAAACTCGTTGACGATAACGAAGGTTGTGGACATAAAGGAGCTGGCCTCGTTCAAGCACTTTGTACTCAGCGATAGCGATGCTACAGGCGGGGAATGCAGTTTGTTGAGAATAAGGGTAATTTGAAGAAGCTGAACAAGACGTGCGTTGAGAACGAGGCGCCACTGAACTGGAAGACGCCGGATGCCTACTACAACACCTACTTTGGCACAGACGATGGTGTGGCGCTCGAATAAGCGGAAGAAATGTGGTGAACCACTGGACCCAGGATTTCATGGAGTTATGAATAGAGAGGACTGAAGCCGTTCAGTGCATAATCATTTATTCTTCACATTAGTAGATTTGTGTAGATGCTAATTATTGTGGTAAGGTCTTCCTTGCCTTGTTTAGGCCTTGCTACGAAGGTTCAACCACAATACAATGAATCCGATGGCGCGGAAGCCAAAGTTGATCGCCAGAAGAATGAGCCCATCGCCGAGTGCACTCCGTGACACCAAACTGAAATTCTTCAGCACGTCAGCTCCCGTTTTTGCTGTGCAGTTTTCGACCGCAGCATCGCACGCAATGTGTGGCACTTGCTCCCAGAAAATCTTCATCATGGCCTCGAAGCCGTACTTGATGGGAGACACGTACTGGATCCAGACGAAGTACTTGGGGCAGTCGTCCGAGTTGATGAGCAATCCGCCGAACAGCAAGAACGGCAGGATCATGACCGTGCCGATGATGGGGGCGATATCAACTCTGCGCACCAAGCAGGAGACCATGTAGCCCAGTCCAACGGCGCAACTGTTAACCAGGATCATGATAATCTGCTGGTAGATGAAGACGTCGAATCCGTGGCCAATACCAATGAGGAAGTAGGCCGGCACGAAGAAGATAATGGGCAAGATAATCTGCATCGGGATCTCGCTCACGTTCTTCGAGAGGTACCACGAGAAGAGGTGGTACAGTCCGCCCTTGTACTCCCGAATAATAATTGGCAGCTCTATCGGCACCGAAATGAAGACGGGATTGGCGGAGCCGAAGGTCTGGTTGACGATCAGGAAGAAGAAGCCGCCCGTGAAGTTCTGGATTCCCTTCTGGTCCAGTTCGAGCTGCAGGTAGATGAGACCGACGATGAGAGCGATGAACAGCGTCTGGAAGATGGCAGCTCGGAATCCAAGACGATCACGAACGAATCGGACCACGTTCCGGTGTGCGAGCACACCAAATTGCCCGATGACGTTCAATCGAGAGTCGTGATACTCCTCGAGGGGGGCATTCTCACTTGCGTATTCGATCTGGGGCAGCGTCTGGCGCTGAGCCCACTCTTTCTTCAGCTTTTCGACGCGAGCCACGCCCTCAGCGTCCGTGGCCTTGTCCATGACAACCAATTGGCGCATGAAGTAGTCCGTCGGGTTCATCAGCGACGGGCACGGGTACCCTAGCGAGGCGAAATAGTCCACGGACTCAGTCGCTTTGCCCTGGTACACAGGTGACCCGTCCGACAGCAGATAAAGCTGGTCGAAGATGGCGAATACTTCCGATGACGGCTGGTGGATCGTCGCGAGGACCGTGCGTCCGTCGAGTGCGATCTGCTGGAGCTGCCGGATCACCGTCTCCGCCATGAAGCTGTCCAGACCCGACGTCGGCTCGTCCACGAACAGAATCGACGGGTTCGTCAGGATCTCAGTAGCAAAGGACAGTCGCTTCCGCTCACCGCCGGAGATACCACGCAGCGAGACGCCACCGATCAGCGTGTCGCGGCACTTCATGAGTCCCAGCTCCTCCATGACTTCGTCCACGCGCTTCATGTACTGCTGCTCCGTGAACGTCCTGCCCATGCGCAGCTTGGCCTGGAACACGAGGTGCTCCTTGACAGTGATGGTCTCGTAGAAGAGGTCGTCCTGCATGACGTAGGAGGCGAGTCGCTTGGTGGCGTCGCTCCACGGCTGCCCATTGAGCACGATCTCTCCTTCGACGGCGGAGTTGCGGCCGGAGATGCAGTCGAGGAGCGAGCTCTTGCCGGCTCCAGAGGGCCCCATGATGACGAGCAGCTCGCCTGGTCGAGCTGTACCATTGACGTTCTGTAGGATGACCTTCTCCTCCTTCTGCTTGGTTCGAGGGTTGATAGTGGCGGCCTTGAGGCTCAAGTTGCGCCACTGAAGGGTAAACTTGGGCGCTGCAGGCGACGTGAGCTCGGGCTTGGGCGTCTCCACTTGAATGAAGTGGTGGTCGATCGAGGTCGGGGAGACTGGAGCGTCCGACGTCATCGTGCTGATCAGTCGATGATGAGCTGTGTGTGCGTGTGCTCGAGACCGGAAGTTGTGATGTGAGACCAGTCCAAGTTGGGCGATGGAGGTGCCGGTGGTTTCGGACTCGGACGCCACGTGCGACTCGACTCGACGCACTTCGGTCCAGCGGATCTCGACCAGACCCGAACTCTACCGCTGAACCCTCCCGTGGTTGTGTGCGCAATGATGTCGTGGTCCGTGTAGGCTGGTATGAATAGCAACAGCATCAGGCTTTCGGCAATCGCGCTCTATTTTTTAGTCGCAACTAACCGTCCAGAGCTCTCGTCCAATCGTAGCGCGGCGTTTAACATGTTGAAGTGGGCATTATCATTAGAGGGGTAGGGAAGCTTACGCCTCAGAGCAATCATACAGATACGAATGTAGCCATGTGGCATGTTAAACTGTGGGACTGGTGAGCAACGTCACGCAATACTATGCAAAGCTTTACTTCTGCCGGCGCAGGTTGAGCCATAGGCCGAGGAAGCCGACGGCTCGGAAGGCCAGGTTGATGGCGATCAAGATGGCGCCGTCAGCGACCGCCGAGCGCGACTCCATGCTGTAGTTCTGGAGCACGTCGTCGCCCGTCAATGCCGTGCAGTTGTCCACGTCGCAGGAGATGGACGGCACTTGGCGCCAGAAGATCTTCATCAGCGCCTCGAAGCCGTACTTGATCGGCGAGACGTACTGCACCCAGATGAAGTAGTCCGGGCAGTCGTCCGAGTTGATGAGCAGCCCCCCGAAGAGCAGGAAGGGTAGAATAATCACCACGCCGATGATGGGGGCGATGTCGACGCGGCGGCTGAGGCAGGACACCATGTAGCCCAGTCCTACCGCACAACTGTTGACCAGAATCATGACGATCTGCTGGTAGATGAACACGTCGAAGCCGTGGCCGATCCCCATCAGGAAGTACACGGGCACGAAGAACACAATGGGCAGCAGCACTTGCATGGGGAACTCGCTCACGTTCTTGGAGAAGTACCACGAGAAGAGGTGGTACAGTCCACCCTTGTACTCTCGGATGATGATCGGCAGCTCCATAGGCACCGAGATGAAGACCGGGTTGGCCGACGCGAACGTCTGGTTGACCACGAGGAAGAAGAAGCCGCCCGTGAAGTTCTGGATGCCGTCTTGGTCCAGATCGAGCTGCAGGAAGATCAGACTCACGACGAGCGACACGAAGAGCGTCTGGAAGATGGCGGCGTGGAACGCGAACTTGTCCCGGACGAAGCGGATCACGTTGCGCTGGACGAGCACTGCGATCTGGCCGATCCACTCGAGTCGAGAGTCTTCGAAGTGGCACTCGCTCTCCCGTCCTTCGCCATGGAAGTCCTCGTGGTCGATCTGTGGCAGCGACTGGTGCTTCAGCCACTCCTGCTTCAAACCTTCAACGCGAGCTACGCCAGCTTCATCAGTGGCTTTGTCCATGACCACCAGCTGACGCATGAAGTAGTCCGTCGGATTCATCAGCGGAGGACACGGATACCCGAGCGAAGCGAAGTAGTCGACCGATTCGGAGGCCTTACCGTGGTAGACAGCAGCTCCATCGGACAGCAAGTACAGCTGATCGAACAGCGCGAACAGCTCGGACGAAGGTTGGTGGATCGTGGCGATCACTGTGCGCCCGTCCCGAGCGATCTGCTGTAGTTGCATTGTCACCGTCTCCGCCATGAAGCTGTCCAAGCCCGATGTCGGCTCGTCCACGAACAGAATCGACGGGTTCGTCAGGATCTCCGTCGCAAACGACAGTCGCTTGCGTTCACCACCGGAGATGCCGCGCAGCGAGACGCCACCGATCAGTGTGTCGCGGCACTTCATGAGTCCCAGCTCCTCCATGACTTCGTCCACGCGCTTCATGTACTGCTGCTCCGTGAACGTCCTCCCCATACGCAGCTTGGCCTGGAACACCAGGTGCTCCTTGACGGTAATGGTCTGGTAGAAGAGGTCGTCTTGCATGACGTAGGAGGCGAGTCGCTTGGTGGCGTCACTCCATGGCTGCCCATTGAGCACGATCTCTCCTTCGACGGCGGAGTTGCGGCCGGAGATGCAGTCGAGGAGCGAGCTCTTGCCGGCTCCAGAGGGCCCCATGATGACGAGCAGCTCGCCTGGTCGAGCAGAGCCGCTGACGTTGCTGAGGATGATTTTGTCTTCAAGCTGCTTGGACTGGGGGTTCTCGACGGTGGCCTTGAGGTTGAGGTTGCGCCATTGCAGCGTGAACTTGGGCGCTTCGTGCGACTGGAGCTTACGGTTACCCCGTGTTGGGAGCACCTTTGGGGTCTCCACTTGGATGAATTGGTGGTCGGGAGCCTCCTGCTCCAGGTTGAGCGGCGTGGAAACACCCGAGGGCATGGCTGGCTAGTAGGTTGGAAGCTTGGTGCTGACTGAGGTGTGCGCGCGAGTCAGCAAATTAGAGAATGAGGTCGAGGTCGAGGTGTCTGGTAGTAGATGGCCGATGGCCGTTGGGCAATGATCATCTGTCACAGGAGGCGTGTTGACGCGAAGATCGCGGAAGATTGAAGTCGAATGTATCCATTTGGAGTGGAGGCTGCGACTGCGACGAAACACTAGCAGTGGAGGTGCACAGGGAACAGGGGGCAGGTAAGAGAAGGCGATGCCACACTTCGCTTATGGACATGCATTCCAGTCCGGAATAGCTCAAGCCTCAAGCCAATTAGCAGTGAAAGAGGGCAGACCGACCATGACCAACCATTGCTGAACCAAGTTGAAGTGAGCGTCAACAGTCGCCGATTAGGGCTAGATAATAATCCACACAGAGTGGTGGTCACACACATTCTGGTGCAATTTCAACATCAACATTTGTATGCTTAGGACCTCACTTGTACACATTGCTGTTCGCGTGTGGCACTGTTTAACCACATGAAGCAGAGGAAGATCACATGGTCAAACTTTTTGGTGCAGGCTTTGCGCTAAGGATCGAACCCCCCCCCCGAAAAGCGTTATAGTCTTGCTTTTGCGCAACTGTATCAAAAATTAGACCCACATGTCAAATTAGCTCCAATTTGTATCATACCCGAAAATGTCCGCGGAGCTGGATCGTCGCTGGGGCTTCTTAGCTCCCTGGTGCGCCGCGCTGAAGGGCCTGCTACACTACAAGTACCCAACGCATGATGAGGCGCTCTGGGACATCCGGAAGCGCCGCCTCCAAGTGCGATTCCCGACACGTTACGACGATACGGAGCTGGGGGGAGACTTCTACTGGGACGGAGACGACGAGATTGAGTTCTCGGATAAATTCCAAAAAATCCGCGAGGCGCTGGCTTTGTTTTCCGCTGTGGCTCATGTGGACCAATCAGCGTGGAGATATCTGCTGGATAATTACTGCAAAGTGGATCTTGGCCAAGAGAGAGAAGATATTCCAGCTAGATTTTTGGCGTTCCTGGACCTCGAAACACAAGAAGACTTGGCCTACGAAGGCTCATTTGACCTCGACCCAGTCCAGCTCTGTGATACTCACCAACGGAAACACCCTACAGACGCCTATGTGGCTGCATTGCGGAAAATCTCAGCGCTGGATAAAAGGCTAAAATCCGATAAACCGGGCGTGGATATTGAAATCCCCGTTCGGTTGTATTTTCCAGGTATGGACATCATTTCGGTGGATGGCCCCCAGAAAGTGTTCAATGATATGCAACTGGCGGAGAGGATGATCCGGCGCAAGTGGGCGAGGTACGAAGAAGGTCCGAAGTGCAGGCCGGTTGATCCAGGGCAATTGAGGTGCACTTTTGTGCTCGAGCCGATGATCGCGAGCTTCAACGACTGCTGGATCACCCCCACAATGGCGGAAATGCTAGAGCATCATGTTCGAGCCAACGTCTGGTTCTCGCAGTTGTCGCTGTGGGTGAAGCTAGACCCTGACCTCAAGACGGACTTGCCCAGATTAAGGCTGACCTTCGCGAAGATCATGGCTGCGGTTTTCGATAGCGCTCACCGCTCTCCTGAGCTAGCGAATACCGCTTACCACACCAAGATTGAGCCTTCTAGCATGGTATCGAAGAGGCTGCAGTTGGGGACCGTCCATTTGAAATATAACTGTTGGCTGCGGCCGAAAGACGTGGAGGCGATGTTCTCAGCCATTGCTGTCAGCCAGACGACCTCAAAGCTCTCGATGCGCCTACAGATGAGGGAAGACCAAGACAGCGTCAAGTGGTGGAAATGGCTGGTGTAACTTTTCTCGAAACGATCTCGCGCTCGCGCTTCGATTGAGTCACCCGCGTTTATTTCAATTGGAAGCATGACTGTCGAAGATGTGGAGGCTTTTGCGCCGGTGCTGAATTCTGAGCACCCTGAGGAAGAAGTTTGCGTCTGCCCTCGAGGTCAAGTGGAAGAGAGCTATGCTACTCTGGAAAGTGAAGCTCCGATACGCTGGCAGTTTGATGAAGAGGATGAATATCCCGCTCTCAGTTTTGAGTCGCCAATACGTTACGTTCGCACGTGTAGTGATTACGGAGAGAGCGAGTGGGTGGATGCACTGGTGCCTGGGCTTGGAAGGTGTCAGGTTCAGAGAGATGATCTGGTCTTTGATGACACTGAGGACGATGTCAGGTCAACAGCATTGACTTCTCTTACGCTTCAATTTGCCGACTTTGATGATCCAGACTTTGACAGCCTCCCCATCTTCTTAGCCGCTGTTGGTTCGTCGCTGAAGTTCCTGACACTAGGAGTCGCGTGCATGGAGTTGGACGACATTTTACGTTGCTGCCCGAACCTCCATGAACTCGTCATCCGCGATCAACTGGTGGAGGAGGCACGGTTCAACTTCGCTGAATACCGCTTAGTAAATGGGTCTTTGCCTTCGCTGAACTTCAACTGCAACGATGTAGCAGAACTTTCCAGAGCCCTCAGTGACACCAAGAACCCCCTGTCGAAGTGTGCGCGTCGGATACGGATTCGACTAAATCAGCTCGTGGCTGGATTTTCGACTCGATAAACGTTTTGCCAATCGCGGATTGAAACGGATTTGAAGGCACTTTTAGAGATGTTGGAGGTGAACCGAACACTCGAGTATATCAATATTATGAAGCTTTCGCGAAGGACTTCCAACACTGCCACCTCCAACCCATTGATCGGACACTGAATCTCCCGCTGGAGACCCAAGAGCGCCTTCCTCAGCATTTTTGATCGCCAAGCGGATGAAAGTAAGAAGTCCAGGGCTCGTTCATCCAGGCCACCTCATGCATTATGTCAGCACGTGCTGGAAAATATCTTCACGCTGGCATCGCCGCCAATTCTTCGACGGGTGCAATTCGACGTAAAAGGCGATAAAGATGCGAGTTGGGAACTTAATGAAGCCCCCATTTGAATGTGATGGCCATTCTGGTTCATTCAGTAGCCAAGTAGGTTACAAATTACTTCGAAGTAGAATGAGATGAACTCAGTAGTATTAATAAGTGTAGTGCGAACACACCACATTGAACGTCGTGGTTGTTATGGTAGAAGGAATGATTTTATGAATCGAGGTCAGGTGCAGACCCGGGACGTTGGAGTGCAGTCCCTCAAAGATTGAGGGCACTAGGTGCGATCAAAGAAAATGTCTTCGGCTCATCTTGTATTACGGTGTGCAACTCATCCGATTACTACTTCAACAATAGTAGTGTCGATATCTACAGGCAGCATCAACCTGTCCTTAATGGTGGTGCCGTAAGTCATTAGCGAAGGTTCTCTCGTAACTCTCATAAAATCGCTAGCGTGGCGTCAGCTTTGCGGCCTCGTCCATCGCGTCGGCCAACTCGTCGAGCTTCAAGCTCTTGAAGACTTTCGAAGGTGCTATCCGGCCCGTTAGCAGGATTTGGATCATCTCGGTTTCCTTCTCCCCCATTTTGGCTGCGTTCGCGGCTATATGCGCTTCGGTCCATTCGTCCAGGCTTTTCAGCATCGCGTGCGCCACCTTGAAACACGTCACTCCCGTTATACGATCACTTCACATCTCTCAGTCACACAATGCGGCAACTTCGAAGCTTCTTGCGTCGAGTTTTCAAGTTCTTCGTCAGCCTACAGGTGGAATTACGCGGCCACTACTCGGCTGATCGGATGCGCAACTTCAACGAGTACCGCAACACCGCCTCGGCATGTCGAGCGCTATTCCTCTGCCTTTTACTTCCCTTTCCGTGTCTTACTATTCTCACGATGGTTGACGCTCTACCGTTGGCCCCACCGACCGACGGCCCCGACAAGAATTACATGTTCTGGATACGAGACAGCATCCTCGTAATCTTCATCACTCGCTCCGTGTTCGAGCAGCTGCAGATCAACGTCCCTGACCTCGATGCATAAACTCATCCCGTCGATCGTCGCCACTGCAGCAGCCACGTCGTTCAAAATTGCCTGTGCAAAGCCCGTTGGATTCCCGCTCCCTTTCCAGTTAGTTTTTGAAATTCCTGTTTGGTTTCCCACCCTCATCTCGTGCTTTTTGGTCTTCTTCGGTCAAGATCTGTGGCGCGATCGCACGTTGCTCAAGGAAGTGGTGACGACTGTGGTTGTCATGCACTGCCAGATATTGTTGACGGTGGTCTACCCCGTCTATTTGTACGGATATACCAGCATCGGTCCGTCGCAGCAGAAATACTACGTGATTCTACTTCCGATCATTAAAATACTCGCCAAGAACCTGATCAGCTCCGCGTTGGGCACCAGATACGATTTACTCCCGCAGATTATGATCTTCAACGTGGATGTCTTCAACGCGTTGTATGTTTCGAACTCCATGGAGAATTCAAACAGTGTCACGACCACGCTACTGATGGTCCTAATTGATCTTGTGCAGGCCTTGATCTCACTGTCGGATATAACGCATTTGATCACACCAGTGAACCAGCTTCGACATAAACTGCCTCGAGACCACCCATTGAAGGAGGCCTGCTTTGTGGATATTGCGCTTCAGATTGTTAAAGAGAATCCCAAAGTCCAAACGCAGCTAAGCAAGCGACGGTATACTACCGCGCTTGGGGTCCTCACAGCGCAGCACGCCAGCAGAGACAGCATCCTTCTCGCAAGTGCGACGAATATGGCAGAGAACACAGCTAACAAGATCCGATCGTGGAGGAGGACCAGTTCTGCGCGGGTCTTTGCAAGTGGGGGGTCACCACGCGTTGAAACTTTCCCGTCACCCCGTCCAGAAAAACTGGAATCATTCATTATTCCGGATGCTGCATTATCTCCAAAAGAGCGCCAGGTGTTCGTGGAAAGGACCGCTCGAGTGCTTTTCACGACTGAGTTTGTCATTCTGGTGGAGTATACAGAGGTCATCGTGCCTATCATCTACTGTGCGTACCCTGAAATGTTGGCTGCTTGTTCAGAATAATGCACATTTCCTCACAGATTCACCTTTTAATTCTTGCAGGCATCTACACTGCTGCCATGTTTTACCTGCCCAATCGGGAATACTATCCGCTGCTGAAGGACATCGACGAAGCGGGACTCCGAAGCAAAATAATGGACGTGCTTATTTACGTGATGGTGGAACTGGTGTCGCTCCTGGTTATCGGCTACGTGATCCAACACAAGTTGCGGATTTCGATGCTGCAAGTGCTCTCGTTCGGGCTCGACAAGAGCTGGCGAATGGTGCAGTCCAACCTGCATCTGTGGATCTTCTTCACTGTCGAGAGCTCGATCGAGCACAGTGGTAAGTGCATGCATGTACTGCGACAGATTCCTGTTGAACAACGAAGATAATTGGCTGGAATGTGCCTCACAGGAACCGACTACAGCTTCGCAATGCAAGTGCAAGCTTAAACAAAACTTGATTAACTATCTATTTTCCTTCCAACCAGCTGAATGCGAAGTTCGCATTCATGTGAAGTTCGCATTCATGCGAACTTCGCATTCAGCTGGTTGGAAGGAAAATAGATAGCCAATCAAGTTTTGTTTAAACTTGCACTTTCGAAGTCGGGTTTGCTGTGGTGAATTAATTGCATCTTTTTGTAGAGGCCTAAATATAAAACTCGTGCGATTATTTCAACTCGATTCACTAAGTACGAAATACACAAAACAAGGGCTAAACTGGTCAAACACACCTAAAATGGAGCGACGCTGGGGCTTCCTGGCGCCCTGGTGCACTGCTATGAAGGAGCGCATCGTGTACCGCATTCTCTCGTGCGAGAACATCGCGTGGGACGTCAATCGGCGCCACCTGCAGGTCTACGTGCCCGGACGTCTGGACAAGTGGACCACGGGGAGGAGGAGTCCCCCCGTCAGTATCTCACTGAGGCCGCGTACAAGGCCCATTTCCTCAAGGTCCAGGAAGCTCTTTTGCTGCTAACAGCAGTGAATCATGTGGACCACACGGCGTTTCGGTATTTACTGAAAAATTCTGGCGTGAATTTCGGACAAGAAGGAGAAGAAAAATTCGAAGAGGAAGTTCCCGCGCGGTTCGTGCTGCACATTGATCTGGAAGAGGCGAAGACTGAAGATGGCTCTTTTGACTTGGGCCTGGTGCAATTTTGTGTGTTGGAGCACCCAAGCGACGAATTTGTGAAGGCGTTGCAGAAAATTGCGGCAAAATTGGACGAAAATGTCCAGCAAGCTGCAGCGTCAGTGGAGATTCAAGTGCCCGTCCGAGTGTACGGGTCGGAAGGGTTTCACATCCCCTGGCAGCTATGGTGGCTACTCATAAAGCAGAACAAATCATCCAAGAACGTCTCAAGCAGCAGAAACAGCGCGCTTTTGGTGGACTGCTGCAGCCTAGATATACGCCGGAGCCGATGGTCGCAGACTTGGAATGCGTGCCGATCACGCTGGAGATGGCTGATACAATGGAGACGCTGATACGAGACAATATGCGGTTCTCACAGTTGGTGCTGAGCACCGACGCGGATGGCGATGCTGCTCTAACTGAAGGCCAAACGTGGCAACTGGCATTTGCCAAGCTTATCACGCGTCTTTTTGACAGTACGCGACGCGATCCCACACCGGAAAGCTATCCGTATTGTCTACCGGAAACTGTAGCACAACGGACTCCAATTCAATCGATGATGTTGTCCTGCGAGGGCTGGAACAGTGTTTTCCCCGGGTTCGCGTCGATGTGCTCAGCACTTGCGGTGAATCAGACCGTCTCGAAGCTCACATTAGAGCTGAGCGTAAGCCTGGACGACACGGCTGCCAGTGCCCGTGCCTGGAAATGGATGGCGTATGCATTTTTTTCCAAGCAAGCACGGCAGTTTTCAGTGCTGCAGTCGCTGGGGATTTCTCCGACCGTAACGTGCAGCATGAGCCGAGCTGATATTGAAGCTTTTCGAAGTGTGATGCTGTCCGATTACCCTGAAGAAGAACTTTTTGGGTCTCCTCGTGGGTCTGTCGAGTCGGGGGATGCCACACTGACAAAAGGAGCTAGCTTTCGATGGTATTACGACGATGTCGCTCGACCGACTGAGTTCAGCCTGCTGTCGATGGATTCGCCTGTGCGGTTTGTACGGACCTTCAGCGATGACGGCGAAAGTGAGTGGGTGGATGTGGTGATTCCCGGCTACGGAAGATGCCAAGCTCAACGCAAAGATTTAAACTTTGTTCAGGACTGCTGCCCGGACTCTATGTCGCCGACATTGATGTCACTAAAGCTGCCGTCTAACCCTGGGTTTGGTGATGGAGTGCCGCTGCTTTTATCCACTGTTGGTCCGATGCTGAAATCTCTATCATTCGATGGACCGGTGATGAACACTAGCGATAGCTTGTTCCTGGACAATCACCCACACATGGAGGAATTATCTCTGCGCTCACCCAACCTCGACGTCCGTCTTGACTTTAAAGACTTCGATTCCAGTCGTGAGCAACTTTCCACTCTGCGCTATGACTGCACTGACGTTCCAGGCTTCGTACGAGCCTTAACTGACGCTAGCAACCCGTTGGGAAGCTGTGTCAGGTGGTTGCGCGTCAAGTTCGCAGACATTTTCTTCTCGCATGGAGAAGCCGCAGTGGATGATACCGTTGAGGCTCTGCTCGACGTGTTGGAGTGTAACCAAGCCATCGAGTTTGTCGATGTTGTGGCGCCTCCCGAATTCCACGTTCTCTCCGCCGCTTTCCGAGCCTTCCACCTCAAGACGCTCCCAAAGTCGCTTCACCCACTGCCGATCGAGTGCAAAGTCGCGTTCCTGAGTGTGATGGCGACCACGAAACCATCTCGGAAGAGAGCGTGCAACTCGCAGACGTCGGGAAAGCCCCCTTGCCAGCTAAACGAGCATGTTCTGTCCAAGATTTTCGCGTTTGCTGCTCCGCCGGTGATCCGCAAAGTTTACTTCCGCAAACTGCTGGACGATGACTGGAACGACGACGAAGACGATGACCCTCTGTAAGCCTTCATTGCCAGGCTGCAGTACCAGCACCAGTGTATCTTGGTAATGAAAGACCAGTACGACGCTCTCATGGTACGATTAGTTCTTATAGTCAATGTTTCATACTGCTGATATTTCTACCAATAACGCTGTCGTTGTTCTCTACGCCGCCACAGTGAACGTGTCGGAGGTGCTTACGTAGGGCGTCAGCTTGCCTGTCAAGCTCTTGGAGTAGCCGCGGTGGACGAAGCGGTACTTACCAGGGACACTCGTACGTCCTCCCGAGCGGATGTTCCACTCACACGTGTTCTTGCTCTGAGCGACGAGGTGGCGCTCCCAGTAGTAGCGAACGACCCAGTGCGCGTCGGTCATGACGGTGGTGAACGCTCCGTTAGAGCCGAGCTTCTCGACATCGCAGAAGGACGAGACCTTCGTCAGACCGTTCCTCGGGTGCGCACCGGCAAACTCAGCCGACGCCACACTTCCGACTGTGTAGGAGCTCGAAGGCTGCGTGTGGACGTAGGTGAAGCTGTGGAAAAGTGGCGGCGTGTCCATCACCACGCCCGTGTCGAGTGTGTCGAGGTCGTCACGGTCGATCTGCAGCGGAGTCGGCCCGACGTCCAGCGGCACAGAAGGGTCGACAACGGACGCTGCTACGCGAGCTAGCTCCTGCTGCACTGCGGCCAGTTGATTCGGGCCAAAGATGGTGGAGGCGCCTTCGTAGTGCTGCGTGACGTACTCCTCCCTCGTCGTCATGTATCCCGCGTAGCCATTGCTGACTGAAGCCAACTCAACCTCCGTCACACCGGCAGGCTTTAACGCTGCCTTCACCGTCTTGAGGATGCGTCGGCCAGCCATGGTTGTAGTCTCGAAGTTGGTGACTGCAAGGCCGAATTGGCCGATCTTGACGATCTGCACCGGCAGAATGGTCGGCACCCAGGGCTTCGGCTCCATGAGCCCGACCGCCAACATGGGGATCTTGTCCGAGTTCTGGCAGCTCTGCACCCACTTGGGGGTCTTCTTGATGATAGCGCCGAGCGTCTTGAAGAACGGGTTGGCCTTCAGGTTGCCCTCCGTGAACATGCTGAGGCCACGCCCGTCTTCTGTGCCAGCACCGAAGTTCTGACCCACAACGGCGGGACACGTTCTACCTGCGTACGGATCGGCGGAGGTAGAATCGACCCCCTTCAGCGTGACGTTGGAGAAGTCAACATACGACAGGTTGGCCACGACGGAGCCCTTGATGAGCTCCGAGTCTCCGTTGATCAGCGCCTTGAGCGTGTCGTACTGCCGCTTGCCCATGATCTCAGCCGACTCAATGGTAGTGTTACCCTCTCCACGGTACGTGCCGTCGCCGTTGTCGATCAGGTTCGGACTCACGTCACCGGCATTCGCGATACCAATTCCAACCACGACGTCATCCAGCTCGTCCTCAAGAAGGAACTCGGCGTATCCCTTATTGTCGCCACTGATAAGGTGGTTCTTGCCCTTGAGACTATTCGGGTGCACAGGGTAGAACGCCAACACTCCGCGTAGTTTGCCCGCATCATTGAAGAAATGGAGCGCGCGCATCGTCGTGTCGATGTTGCTGGGGTACAGCGCTCGCTCGGACTCCGGGTTGGCCAGGTAGGCCTTGAGCGAGCGGTTGTTGCCGCCCTTGGTCACCTCGCCCTTGTTCCAGCGGATGGAGCCGCTCTCAACCGAGTTGTGCGCGGCGTCGATGGCAGCCACGATACCGCTCACGATCTTGTCGAAGTTCTCGGTAACGAACCCGAAGATGGAGATATCATAGAGCGTGTATCCTGCGGTGCCACCGGGACCAGCGTGCGTGTGTGTTGCGTGGAGGATGACGTTCTGCTCGGTGTATAGTCCGTGGTACTTGGTGGCGAGATGAGCGAGGACCTCTTGGTGGACGAGCTGCATGACCGCCATGAGGTCGCAGTGGACGAACATGATTCGGCTGTTGGAGTCGGGGTCTTCGATCAGGAAGGCGCGCGCGTACTGCCGGTTCAGAATGCCCGAGGTGGTCTCAGTTGAGTCAGCGAACCCCATCATTACGATCTTAGCGGCTGGCCCAGTGATGTCGCTCTTGCCGATGCCGATGTTGTACGCGTTGGTGAGCTGGAGGTGGCCCAGCATGAACACCAAGAAGCAGAGGAGGAACGTCCTCAACGCCTTCATCTCGGCCGACGCTGACTCGGATGTTTGGAAATGAGAGCGCCGTGTGACGACTACTTAGACCTAGTGGTTGGCACGAACACTTCTCTGTACTGTATAGCAGTACCTGGCCCAGAAAAATATTCTGGAAGGATGAGGAAGCTTCATTCCTTGCGCTTCTCTGTCATTGCATCTATCCAATCAGGACAAGTTCTTCAATGAATTTAGCCAATCACGATCGATTCGTGTGTATCCCAACATTTTCCCAATTATTTTGGGAATTTACAGTCTTGCTAGAATAATGTCCAATACAAAAGTTTAGTGTAATTGTTGCATTACTCATATTTGACCGCAAGTTCCCAATACAAATCATGATTGTATCGTTGGTGGCTGTGACTCGTCTGCTTTCTCTCCTCTCCCATTTGAAGAGATGCAGCGGGCGCCGAGAGGGCTTGACATCCCGCAAGGGACAGCAGGGCAGGAGGCAGCGGCGATGAAGTGCTTCAGCGAATTCTTAGCTCTTGCTAACATGAATGAGGAGTCAATTGCTAGTATTGCGAAGTCGCTGTCTATTCCTGATGCTCTACCAAGTCAAAACTTTTACTCTTTGCTAACCGCCTTCTCCATATTCTTGCAAACTAAGCCACGTGCTCGAGGAGGCCGTCTTGCTAAGGCTACTGCTGGGGCTATATGTTCCAAGTTGTGAACCTGCTCCGAGAGCGGTACCCTCTGTACTTGTCAGACAGCAAGCGAATTGCGAAAATACGCGACAAAATGGGTTCAACTATTGAGGAGCGAAATTTGCTAGCTGGCGTTCAGACTGGTGAAGCTCCAGGCTGCACGCTCAGCGACTTGCGTGTTCTGGTGCAGGAAACTGCGATTGAGGGGGTTGGCTCAGGTTATAAGAGTTTGCATGACGCTGCTGTACTAGCGTTAATGTGGCAGCGTTTGGTCGAGCGATCGATACCTGTTTTGCTAGGAAGAGCCAGCTATCTATGGCGGCATCGGGGGAGCTCTTTCTGCATCTAGCTCGAATCAAGACTTCGGTGGTTCAAGGCATCTCAATTTACAAGGCCGCGACTCACTGGGAGCAGTGTATGCTGCACGGCCTCCGAATGCTGTTCGTCGGAGCGTCGGAGCCTTCCAGCTATGTGTTCCCGCTAGTACCGCACGCGGCGGCATCGGATTTACCAGGGGAGAAGACCTACAGCCAAGACGAAGCTATACTCTACTGGGGGAACCTTGAAGAGAAAGCTGAACCAAGGAACGAGCCACCAACAAAGCGCGTGAGAGGAAGGCCCAACGTGTCCAAGTATATTAACGACGTCATCACCACGGTCTGCGAGCGCCAAGCCCAGGCCTTCTGCCCCGCTGCCCCCGACGCTCACCGCAAGGCTGAGCAGCCACTCCTTGCGCCGCGGCTCCGCAGCGTATGCAAACGCCTCACCGCAGCTTGCGATCCAGTGGATCTCGAACCGGGGAGCTTGGCTGCTGGACTCGCTCACGAAGGCGTTCGCGTACGTGGGTACCACGACACGCGAGGACCAGAGTGTCGGCAAAGTCCTCGCTGGATACCGAGACCCGCACCTGCCATGCGTCACGCCCACGATTGCCACCTTGAGCGAGCTTCTTCCTGCGCTCGAGTACGCCCAGCTGCTAACCCTGCGCGGCCAGCTCTTCAAGAACGTCAGCGGCTTCACGGACACCACGCTCAACGTTGACGCCTTAGTCCTGGATGCGGCGCTCGCGTCCCTGCTCATCCATCTTGACGACGTCGCGACGGCAGTCCAGCAGGAGCAGGCTGCCACAGGCTTCACATCGCATTACCTGTACCGCTTCCACGAAGCTCTGGACGCAACCAACGTAGCGCTGGGAGCTCGGCTCTCGCTGGACACGTGCATTGGTTGGGGTCGGCAGCTTCGCACGGCTTGGCAAACGGAGAACTTCGGACAGCTGGGTGAACGCAGCAATGGAAACACCACCATACTTGCCGCAGCCGTCACCCAGATGCTATCGTCCATCGCAGCAATGCAGCGCACACTTCAGAAGCTCGTCGCGGTCCACGAGAGCAAGTCCACCAGCGCTGACGGTCCTGCTCCTTGTCGCTGTGCTGGCCAGGCCCCGCAGGCGAGCACTGACACTGTCGTTGAAGCGCACTCTCTTGCTAGCTGCTTCTACAACTGGTACACACTGGAGCTGTGGCACACGGCGGCAACCCAAGAGAAACAACAGTTTGTTCGCGCTGACCTCAAGGCAGGCGTCAACATCATGATCATAGCAGGGCGAGAGGTAGACGTACCAACGGCGCCACTGGACCGGGACGGCGTCGCGTATCGGCTGTGGAAGCAGCGTGTCTGGACGCTAGCGGAAGACTTGGACAAGAAGGTCAACGCTGCGCTTGGGAGTATCGACGGTAAAGGCCTATCCAAAACCGCGGGGTCGCTACGGAAGCGCTGGAGAAAGCTGCGCGTTGACCACTGCTCTGCGTACGACGCGCTCTGGTCAGCATTTATCACCCGCAAAGCGAACGGTGGCATCGTCGACCGCTGCACACCAGCAAGTCACCAATGGAAGCAAAAAGAATTGGAGTCGTAGGATCACGCAGCTTGTATTAACGCTGAATACATCCCTATTCATACAACATGGATAATCGAATTCAAGGCGCAAATGCACCCGTCATCGCCATCCCCACAACTTAAGCACAGCGCATGGATTCCCGTCAGTCCCGATACAAAGTCATACACAATAGAAAAACGCTCACATACCGTCAGCGAGCGCGCACGACCTCGTGCTTGGCCGACAGCTACCAAAACCGGCAGCATAACACCCGCCCTGCCGGGTTTTGTAGCTCCTTTCGACGGGTCCTTGCGTGGGGCGCGTGGGGGCGCCTGGGGGCACTCGGGTCTGGGGTGGTCGGCGGGGGAGGCGTGCGGCACGCTCGGAGCGCGCTGTCGTGTTGGAGGTTCGGGGCGGAAAGTGTGAAGGCGGAGAAGGCTGCGCAGCCGGCCAAAAATAAAGCCTTAAGGTTTTTTCTTGGCTTTGGAGCCGATAAACCAGTCCATACTTTGTTGAAGTCATTTGGAATCTCACTTATGATTGGCTCTCCTCATTGGGAGCGGCGTTTGGGACCTGGTTGATTAATGTCAACTTGACTTGACAGTGTCAAGTATTGTGCGTTTCATGTATTTTGGCGGAGAGGCTTAAATATTGACGATTTAGAGGACGACTTATGCGGGATCACGGTTCAGTGATTTGAAGGACGAATAGCCATCGATGAAAAACAACGAATGGCGGTTGAACCATCCGCCAATCGTTTTTGCAACTCGCCAAGCTGCAACTTGCGTGTTAGTTAGCTTTTCAATGGAGTATTTGTATGCAGCAACGAGAAAATCCTGCGCTATGCGCTGCACTATGGGGAATAGTTTTTACTCTCGAAGCGTGAAGTACTTCAGCATTCAGCAGTTTGGCTAAGTAAGTTGGTCGTGGCAGCTAATTCGCGCTTTGAGCAACGATTTGATCGCAATGAACAACGATTTGTGACACCGCGAAGACGAGTTATAAGACGAATAGAGTGCGCAAAATCCTTGAAAGCGACAATACCCATGTCTCCGGTTTAACGCTAGGACTGGTCTCGGAAGGTCTGGTCGTATCGAACGACGTGTTCAGCTTGGGGATAACGCAAATGAGGATGACATGCGATAACATCTGTATATTGCGAAGGGCATACATAGTATACAGTACAGAGAGGCAACAAATCTTGCTTGGGCTTCGTTGTGACTGGGATGAGTTGACGAGAGAAGAATGAGAGCGGTTGGAAACCACAGATAAACATACCGTTTCTACAGAAGGTGCTCCAAAAATACAGAGCGTGGTGCAAATCTACAGAGGGGAGCGACAACCAACAGAAGACACTACCAGTCCTACAGAGAGGTCGTGCAGGAATACAGAACTGCGCCACTAAATACAGAAGTGCCAACTTGACGACTTTTGATTGGTTTAGACCCACAATATTCCCAATAGCACCGGCTAATACTTCACAATACGGCTATCCCAAGTTTGTCTTTGACGGATGCGCACATTCACTTACTGGCGGAACTTTGCGCTCGTCAGCCACACCAACGAGCAGCCCGACATACGTTCGTGGCTGGGCAGAGCTGCAGGGAATGTATAAAAGCCAGCCTCAGGTTCGCCAGCTAAACCTCGACATCTTTGTGCTAGTGAATACTTCGGAGACGTGTAAGAACACAGGGCGCAAGAGTCCGTGGCAGCTAGCATGGAAGATTCATGAGATAGTGGTTGGTTTAATGTACTCGAATCGCTGGCAGCGACAACTTATCTCTTTTGTGTGTTTTTAGGCTGCGTGGCGATAAGAAACATCTTAGTCATTTTGGCCTCCGCCTTCTTCGCTTAGCTTTGTGCTTAGGCCGGGGTTAAACTGGGCCTTGGTCTGCTTCGAGTTGACGGCCCTGGAGTTAGGTATCTGTTGAACATTGGGCTTCGTTGTAATGGCCTTAGTCGAGGTCATAACACTGGTAAATTGTTTATTATCCGTCACGTTTGCGCGGGTTGTCTTCGCGATATCCATGGATACAGAGTGGGCACTACACAATCTTGAGCGCTGAACCTCAGCTCGCCGGGGAAGAGCAGAACTCACTAGTCCCCAGCAGCATCTACTATCTATCGTTGTTATGACTATGGAGGAAGACGAGGTTGAGTGTGGTCGGCACGCAGGACATTGTGGCAAACACCTCCTGGTTCAGTAAGCTGGTCAGCCAGCACCAACGTGCTTGAGCTGCTGCTTAAGACTTTTAGCGTCAACGATACCAGTAGATACAAACTATAAGCAGTGCGAGATGCAGGGCTGGACCGTTTCGGTGGCCAGCTTCAGCAGGTTCGCGATCGTGCCCGACAGCACTGCCTATTCGCATAGTATCTATCGATCAAAAAGCACGATCGCTGCCTACAAGTGACGTGAAACAGTCGTGAATAGTTCAGGGCAACCAACCGTAGTTGAACGTTGAGCTGAATCGTCCGAGGTGCCGCCGCTGGGCTCACACACGATGTTGTAGGTATCCGGTCTACACCAAATTGAGCATGTAGGAAATGATGAAGCCCATGCGCGGCGCTATTAGCACTGGGGGCACACAGTAATAGATTCTCGCATATCTTAGCTGGGTCGTACGCTCAGTAGGGTAATTAATATCTGGACCCCGTGTGCATCGGGGAGGCCGCGCTGGGGCCAAGGCCTTTGTAGGCCCAATGGACGGACGTGAAGGGGATCCCCAGTTGGGCAATTTGAATTTCCTAGCAGTCACACACTCGTCCTTTCCAACGCCGAAGGTCGATTTCTCGAAGTTTCAAATCTTATTATCAGAGGGTACCCCCAGCAACCAATTCGAGACTGCAACATGCATACGCGGTCCTACTCTGCGTTTGTGTTGGCAGTGGCTAGCAGGGTTCTCAGCGCCGCTCGTCTGTCTGCAGACTCTGTAAGGTAGCTGGTTTAGCTTCCGAGGTATTGAGACGCATAGCAAAAGCTTTGCCGTGTTATGGTAACACGGCCGCCTTACTGAGTTATGGTAACACGGTCGACTAACCGAGTTACGGTAACACGGTAAAAAGGAAACAGCAGACATTACACCAAACAGGTCGACAGCCTGTAGTGGAGTCTCCATTATAGGCCGACGTCCCCGACCTCTAAGTAGATCCAATAAATTCATCAATAGCCACGATCATGTTTTGTAGTTAAGGATATAGAAGCAAAATCAGAGCCTCAGTTTATAACCCTCCATCGAATCAATAAACAAATAGTGTAGCTAGTTCCCGAACCACCACGCCAATTCCATTGCACGTCGGCTGGTTCAGCAGCCAGAGAGAGAGTAGTGCGTCCACCTAGGTAGCCCGGTGGACGTAGCGAGAGAGATCAAAGTGCGAGGCAGACACGTCAACACTACCAGACAGCTACTGGCCGTCGGACCAGACGTCCTTCGGATAGGAACGGTGGGAAGGACACATTATCGGCGACCGTCACCCCCGGATAGGGTCTTTGGGCTGTGTCCCGCAGGTAATCCGTATTTCACTATCTACTTCGAGTTCAGGAGCTCAAGCCCGAGTGCGGCGAGCGAACTCCTTCGCCCTTACGATCATGGCAGGCTTCGCACTTCCGGCCACGACCCCTGTGGTCTCTAACCACAGTCCCCACCACCCTACTGTGTTACGCCATCATCGTGCACCAATCGTCCTATTCTCTGACTCACCTTAGCTTTACTGGAACCCGCGTACGGCGCCACTCTCTTGCTGTATTTAGTCTTAACTGTTCACCAACCGGGAACAATCTTAACTGAGGGTCGAGCGGCCAGCCGCGCGCTCGTTGCCCCCACCTACGAGGCCTCCTATCCTCTACCTACGAGAGGGCCCTACCTAACCTATCTGCTCTCGCTGTCTCTCAGCCGCACGCCACTCGCTCTGTCGTCGCCTCTCCTCTCTGCATACTACTTGTCCTTCACTCTTCTCCGTGTCCGCCCTCCTGCGATCTTTTGCATGGCCGACGTCTGGCCTTGAAGTTGTAGGATACCGCCCGTAGCCGGTGTCTCCAGCCCACTGGCTCACCTCCGCCACCATCCAACTGCCGCCCCGACTGGCTGATCGTCCTCTTCGTCACTCGTTCGTCAAGTCGATGACGACTCGAGTGCGCGGCTGCCGCCGTCTGTCGGCCACGTGACAGGCCGCACTACTACAATAGCAATAATAGTTGGGCTGCATAATGGATTCTTCACTATCAGCAACGACTTCATCGCTAGCTTCATTCTGGGGGATGCACCAGACCCCGCAATACAACAAATAGTTTATAGTTGCTGCAACGGGTTCGTTCGCTGGAATATTCCTCAAATACCGCGCGGCCCTGCTTCGAGGGCACCCCGCGTCGCTCACTACCGACCGATAGCAAGACCGACCTGCGTCACTGGCATGCTCTTCTGGCAAAGGAGCTTGCTAAGCGAGCTTCACAGTGCATACACTAGTAGTGAAGCAGGGTATTGAAGATGGTGCTCTGCAAAGCCTGCGTGGCACGCATATCCATGCAGGCAAGTTGAAGTAAACTCTCATCTAGCAATTTTACTCTTGCATGCACTAACTCACTCCTAGTATCGGATCCAAGAACTGATTTGACGCTCTAAATCAGAGTGATGCCAAAGGCTAGGTGGCGGTTTATTCGCCCTCGGGGAGACCTAATACTTCTCACTTCAAAATGACAATAGGGATTTTTCATGTGGAGCACATCCGTCAGAATACCAGTTGTGATTGGTTGAAAGTAGGTTTCACGTGTTATTTAACTGCAAATCGATATAACACAGAGTAGACCTCGTTTTTGCTGTTTCGCCTATTTGCGCTTTTTACAACGTGCCCAACTGTTCCCGATCAATCAATTTTTAGCGATATTACACCGGATTTGAACTGCGAAAAAAAACTATACACCCAAAATCGACGAGTTTGAAGACGAGTTATGAAGTGAAAACGTAGGCGTTCTAGCTTAATAAAAATACGTGCATATGTGGGCTTTTACATGCTACCTTCACATTTTCGAGATGATGCTTCGTTCACGATATTTTGCCGAAAGGGAACGGAAGGTGGTGAACGTCCTCTCACAAAGTATCAAATTGATCCTGTGCAGTGCGGGCTATAAGTTGTGAAGTCTAGTTGATGCATATTGTTGCGTTTGTTCACGCAAGAAATACGTTTAGTATCAAACTGGCGGTCTACTAAATAGTATTTTGGGAGAACATCTCTTTCTATCCCTGATTGTGAGCGCTAATGAAACCAGTCACCAACGGGTACGGCTTTGGTTTGGTACATGATAGTGAGGTGACTGGCACTACAACATATATGCAGGGGCGGACGGTGAGCATTATATAAAAAACTTAGTATTCTTAGGTTTTGCACTCATGATCTATTCTTGACCAGACAGCAATCGGCGATTTAAGTGCTACTAGTGCTGTGAGGCTAAAGATCTCGCCATGCTATGTATTGGTGGTGACAGTATCGATACCCTAGAGCGTGACGATGAACGCACTTGATGGGCCTTCGTACGCCACCCTCCGAACCCTTAGCGTATCCACGGTGAACAAAACGGTAGGTGCCGGGCTGACTCGTGTGTCCTCCAGCGCGGATGTTCCACTCGCACGTGTTCTTGCTCTCAGCATCCAAGTAGCGCTCCCAGCGGTAGCGAACATCCCAGTGCGCGTCAGTCATTAGGGTGGTGAACGCTCCGTCCAGGCCACGTTGCTGGATATCACAGAACGACGAGACCAGCGCCACGCCGTTCATCGGGTGCGCACCAGCAAACACAGCCGACGCCAGGCCGCCAACGGCGTAGGAGGAGGAGGGTTGGGACCGCACGTAGCTGAAGTTTTGGTTCTTCGGCGCCACGTCAAGCCCCGCAGTCGTCTCAACCGCAGCGAGGGTGCTACGGTTGATCTGCAGCGGAGTCGGCCCGCACCGCAGCGTCGACCACCGAAGCCGCCACTCGAGCTAATTCCTGCTGCACCGCGGCCAATTGATTCGGACCGAACAGCGTCGAGGCGCCTTCGTAATGCTGCGTCATGTACTCCTCCCTCGTCGTCATGTATCCCGCGTACGCGTTGCTGATAGCCGCCAGCTCCACCTCCGTCACTCCAGCAGGCTCCAACGCTGCCTTCACACTCTTACGAATGCGTCGGCCGGCCATAGTCGTAGTCTCAAAGTTAGTTACGGCAAGACCGAACTGACCGATCTTGACGATCTGCACCGGCAGAATGGTCGGCACCCAGGGAACAGGCTCAATGAGACCGACAGCAAGCATCGCGATCTTGTTCTCGTTCTGACAGTCCTTCACCCACTGCGGAGTCTCCTGGATAGCGGCGCCCAAGGCGTCGTATTCCGGGTTCGGTCGGAGATCGCCCTCCGTGATGTTGGCCACGCCTCGTCCATCCTCAGTGCCGGCACCAAAGTTCTGGCCCAAAATGGCAGAACAAGTTCGGTTTGCGTACGCGTCGGCGGCGGTCGAGTTGACTCCCTGGATCGTCATGTTGGAGAAGTCGACGTACGACAGGTTGGCTACGACAGAGCCCTTGAGGATCTCCGAGTCTCCGTCGATCAGCGCCTTGAGCGTGTCGTACTACCGCTTGCCCATGATCTCAGCCGACTCGATGGTGGTGTTACCCTCACCACGGTAGGTTCCGTCGCCGTTGTCGATCAAGTTCGGACTCACGTCGCCGGCATTCGCGATACCAATTCCAACCACGACGTCATCCAGCTCGTCCTCAAGTAGGAACTCGGCGTATCCCTTATTGTCGCTACTGATGAGGTGGTTCTCGCCCTTGAGACTATTCGGGTGCACAGGGTAGAACGCCAACACTCCGCGTAGTTTGCCTGCATCGTTGAAGAAGTGGAGCGCGCGCATCGTTGTGTCGATGTTGCTGGGGTACTGAGCTCGCTCGGACTCCGGGTTGGCCAGGTAGGCCTTGAGCGAGCGGTTGTTGCCGCCCTTGGTCACCTCGCCCTTGTTCCAGCGGATGGAGCCGCTCTCAACCGAGTTGTGCGCGGCGTCGATGGCAGCCACGATACCGCTCACGATCTTGTCGAAGTTCTCGGTAACGAACCCGAAGATGGAGATATCATAGAGCGTGTATCCTGCGGTGCCACCGGGACCAGCGTGCGTGTGTGTTGCGTGGAGGATGACGTTCTGCTCGGTGTATAGTCCGTGGTACTTGGTGGCGAGATGAGCGAGGACCTCTTGGTGGACGAGCTGCATGACCGCCATGAGGTCGCAGTGGACGAACATGATTCGGCTGTTGGAGTCGGGGTCTTCGATCAGGAAGGCGCGCGCGTACTGCCGGTTCAGAATGCCCGAGGTGGTCTCAGTTGAGTCAGCGAACCCCATCATGACGATCTCGGCGGCGGGCCCGGTGATGTCGCTCTTGCCGATGCCGATGTTGTACGCATCGGTGAGTTGTCCCAGCATGATTGCCAAGAGGCAGAGTGCGAACGCCCTCCAGGACTTCATCTCACTCGATTCTCTTGAAGACGAAGACTCTTGATCGGGAGAAGGGAAGTTGGGAAATGCCAGCTAGAAGCTCCGGTGTCCGTAGCTGTACATGTATTGTTGTCGCAGGTACGTTAGGGGCATCTGTCAATGCAGCAACAAGCTCTACACGTACAATACTACAAGAGTTACTGTATTCTACCGTACATCGCTCGCATCATAGGTGTGTACGACCGATCAAGGTTATGCACTTCGCACATCGCACAAATCAAACCCGTAGCTTCGGCAATAAATACAGTCCGTTCCTCCTACTTAGTACACGAAGAACGAACTACTTTAGAGTGTACCCCATCACAGTGATCTATAGCAAAAGAAGGGTATTGCTTTTGGTAGACAGAAGAAGGCTGCATCATCGCTCTGACAGTTCACTATGCATGGAGTAGGGATATTTGGCGTGGCTGAGCCGGGATCAGTCATGGTCAGGCTTACCACAACAATACCAAAACTCAATACACGTATCGGCGTTTCACAGTGCAACATTGTTGTCGACTGATGTATTCATTAATATTTACGTCGCGATGTGCAAATTCATGCGGTGCTGACGGTACATGTACATGTAGTTCGAGATTACTGCTGCCAAAGTAATCGCGTTAGCTGACTTTCCAATCCCTAGCTCTTCCTTCCAAACTCCCTTCTGTCTTCCGCCATCCTCTGTTTTACTTCGACAATCTAGCGATGCGTGGGTTCGGGAAGGCAACTGCCACAGTAATTGCCGTGTAGTATCACAATGATTATGACAGCAATGCTTGAAGCGACATACTTCTAGTACTCTAATGCAAAATGCGTTTGTCAAAGCCAATGTTGGCACATAAAGAAGTTTCCATGATTTCTAAATGCACACAATGACAAATTCTTGACTCGATATGCATCGATCTGCGTCTACCGAGCCAAACTGTGCCAGCTCTTTGAGATGGAGAATGTGGCACATCGTGAACGCTTTGCTCGAGATGCACACACAATGACGATAACGGAGCTGGTTTATGCTAATTACAGCTACAGATGACGCTCGGCAACTATAGACACAGTACTGTCCAAGTTTTTGAAGTGTGAACATGTGAGTCAGGTTCGAACAACTTTGTTTTTGACTTCTTTTTGTTACGGTGCACGCTTCATAAGGAGATCGTGTTTACAGTTTTGTTCGCTCTCAATTCGTAGTCCCGTAGTACTAGAGTCCATTAGCACCAAAGACCTGGAAATTACGGGCGAGTGCGTCTGGAGCTGCACGCCTCATATCCCTCTTCCTTGCGAGGCTGACCCGCCACAGCTCCGTCCTTCTCATACGCAGCCATCGTGTGGTGCGCGGGCACTTGCATCGACAAGAAGATGTAGGCAACCAGCTGCAGGACGATGGCAATCAGTGCGAGCGCCGCAATGTCGTAGTAGCGGTTGGTGTAGTCCATGCCGAGCGTCTTGAGATACACTTCACCGTACACGGGCACGGCCGGGTATCCAGGCGCATCGAACGACAGGATGAGTCCCTCGAGCTCGTTGCACATGAGGATCTCGAACGCGTAGTTGAAGATGGACAGGTGCTTGATCCATCCAACCGAGCTCGGCATGGTCTGCGAGTTGAGCAGGAAGCCGCCGAACAACAGCATGATCAGCAGCACCACAGTCGCGCAGAGGTTGGCCGAGCCGACACGCTTGGAGAGGACTCCCACGAGCAGGCAGATCGATCCAGCCGCCACGTTGAACAGCACAAGCGTCAGCAGGAACAGCAGGAAGCACTCGGCCGTGGCCTGAAGACCCATGATCCAGTAGAAGATACAAGCGAACAGAGTCGCGGGTAGCACGCGCAGCAGCAGCGCGTCCAGCGTGGCCTTGGCCATGAAGTAGCTGAAGGAGCCGTAGTACATGGCACCAGTCTCGCGCAGGAAAATCGGGCGCTCGCCGATGAACAGGTCCATGGAGCTCATGCTGGCAAAGCCGAAGAAGGTCAGGATGAAGTAGAAGGCGCCCGTGCGGTTCTGGAAGCCCGCGAGGTCGTCCGTGACGTTGTTGAAGATGAGGCCGCCGAACAGAGCGAGCACCAGGCTCAGCACCACGTGCTGCACCAACAGCGAGCGGTGACGTAGGATGTTCTGCGCTGTGCGACCGAAGAGCACGCGGGTCTCGACCAGCAGCGAAGACAGCACTCCTCTCGGCTTGGAGTCCTCCTCCATCACGAACGGCGAGGACTCTGCTTCATACACAGGACTGGCAACTGCGGGCTTGACGTGCTCATTGTCCTGGTGAGAGCGGATCACGGGGATGTTGCTGGCGTCCGTCGCGATGTCCAGGATGAAGTCGGCGATGTTCTCGTTGTCGGGGCACTTGTGGCCGAGGTTCTGGAAGTACGGCTTGGAGTCCGCCGGCGCGCCGCTGTACAGCAGCTCGCCCTTTCCGAGCAGCATGATCTTGTCGAGCAGCAGGAACGAGCGCGCGCTGGGCTGGTGGATGCTCAGGATCACGATACGGTCGTGGCTCGCCAGCTCCTTCACCAGCTGCACGACCGAGTGGGCCGACGAACTGTCAAGACCGGACGTGGGCTCGTCCAGGATGAGGATCTGCGGGGACGTGACGAGCTCCATGCCGATGCTCACGCGACGTCTCTCGCCTCCAGACACGCCACGCTCCGTGCTGCTGCCACCCACCGCGCCGATCCTGGAGCCAGCGATGTGGCCGAGGTTGAGCTCCGCAATGACACGGTCCACCATGGCGCTCTTAGCAGAGTCCGACATGGACGCAGGGAGACGGAGTTGAGCCGAGTACGTGATGCACTCACGCACAGTCAGCGTCGAGTACAGCGAGTCGTCCTGCTGCACGTAGGCCGCAGTGCGACGGTAACCCTTGGCCAGCTTCTTGCCGTCGAGCAGCAGCTCACCAGCGAACTTGGCGTCGCCGTTCTTCACGGCCGCTAGGGCGTTCAACAGCGTCGTCTTACCGGATCCACTGGGGCCCAGCAGACCAAGAACTTGGCCACGCTCCGCAGTCCCCGAGATCCTGTTGAGGATGCACTTCTGCTCGCCCGACGTCTTGTCCGCGACAGCAAAGCAGTTGAGGTTCCGGAACTCCAACGTGTTGGCCGTGCGCGCGTTGGCCTTGAGCAGCTCCATCTCGAGGTCGTCCTTCTGGCCACGACGCGCGCCAAAGGGGCAGCAGCAGCACGCGCAGAAGCTGAACAGCAGCATTGCCGCCAACACCGCACACGTCACGATAGCGAGCCCAACACCACCGGTATCACTCGAGTCATCTCCCGAGCCCGTAGCGGCCAACACAGTGCTGCCGCTGCTCGCGTCTGCGCTACCTCCAGTGCGTTCACACGCCGACGCGTTGCACGTAGCGGACAGAGGGAGCGGGGACCCCTCGATCACGATGGACATCTCCTGCGTCGCCGCCTTCACCTGGATCTTGGCCGGCACGCCGCTCAGCGATCCCTCCACCAGAGTCTTGGTCACGGTCGAGCACTCGGGTCCGCACCTGCAGTCAATGTTGCCACACTCTCCGTCCGTCGATCCGGTCGCGAACGAGCACTGGGTCATGTTGCAGTTGATCACGTGGACGCCGTTGACCGTGTCCTTGGCCTTGTACACGGCGGCGGCGCAGTTGGCCTCGCCGTCTGCGTCACGCTCACAGCTCACGTCCAGCGCACCACCGGGGAACAGAGCTTGAAGCGCGCTTGAGAGCGTACACGTGTAGGTTTTGCCTAGCGAGGTGGAGTCGTAGGAGAGGCCAGTGACGCACGAGTACCCCGAGCCGAGGTTGGCACTGCAGACGTCCGACTCGGCCGAGTCGTCGCACATTCGGCAGCCCAAGCCGCTGAAGCCCTCGAGGCACTCGCACTCGCCAGTCGAGGCGTTGAGCTGCTCATAGTCCGCGTCACAGTCAACCGAAGAGGAGGAGGAGGAAGCGCCCCACGCCAGAGGCAGCAGCGCCACCGCTACCAACAACGAAGTTGTCTTCATGCTGCGTCGAGAGGGACAATGAGGAATGAGTCTAGTGAAGACGCGGAAACCATACGATCGACTTGTTGATGAGCGCGCAGGCGTAACGAACGATAGGGAGATTGTACGGAGGAAGAGAGGAATGGCTGGGGGATTGGAAGTCACCGTCTGGATTATCGGTGAACCCGCTCAGTTTCAGCGCAGATTACTTAGGAAGGCCCACGGGATGACAGAGGATACTTGCACCGGGTCAGCTCCAGTCGGTGCAGCGTGGTGCACCGGGCCACACCGACTGGCCCGGTGCACGGTAAAAGAATAGGCTGACACTCTGTTTTTTGTCGAGAACATTTCCGTATGTTGGTTGGAGTTCCAACCAAGTTGGCAGCAAGTTGCTGCCAGCAACCAACCAACCGAGCGAGCACCAGCACGAGCATGGGCCAAGTGGCCAAGTCTGGTCAATTTGGCCACCGAGTTGGAGGACTTGATCGCCAAGTCCTTGGGTCTAAGTGTCCTCACAGTAACACTACATATCACTTCGGTTCGAGAGCAAGCGGCTGAGCTGCACTAAATGCTGTATTCTGTATGTTACTGTACCATTGCGTGTAGTCTGAAGTAGCTACAGTACTGACAAAAGTGCTTCGAGGCGCTAAGCAACACACGCTGGATCTACTTTGATGTTTAGTGCCAACTACTTGTTACCACAACATGTTGCCTGCCGGGCTGCGCTTGGCTGGACGCCCCCGCGCCAAGCAGTCTAGCGTGCCGAGTAGTGTGGCAACGCGAAAACGTAATACATTACATTACATTACTTAGGAAGGCGGTAAACCTGTGCAATTCGAGCTGATCCTGCTTGCTTGGGTGCTGCCTACAGCGCAGAGCCGTGGCTGGACGAGAACGCTGGCTGTTCCAACATGTTAATGGATCCGGCTCGCTGCGACAGATAACGCGCAACGCACTCGAGGTAACCTTACCGTAGTAAGCTTAGCTTACACACTTCCTGTTGGGCTTGCAACTCAAGCGTACTGTAGCAATTCCAGCTAAGCCTTCGAGGGAAGAGGTTTACCTCATGTAAGCTTACCAGTACAAGCCCCCCCCTATCTACAGCTGTACGACCTTAGGAGCCATAGAAATTTTCATCACATTTTTCTATTTCAATGAAAATATGGTGTAGCCGTTGTCGAATGTACAGTAGTCCTCAAAAGTTCTATACGTACTTCAATGCCTCTATGCGTGAACTCACTGCAAGCATACTGTACTGTTGGTGGGTTAGCATAGTGTTGTATTGTGCTTTGCAGATAAAATGTCGCCCCGTTTTATGGCCTAGATCGGGTCCACAAATCAGGGTACAAAACAGAGGCGGTAGCTCGATTTACTTAGATCGACCTCGAATTGCGCTTTTGAAAACGCAAAAGGGATCGATTTACCGTAGATCGACCTCGTTCTGCCCAGATCCACCAGTCGAGCCCTGATTTGGATTGTCGTAGTTCGAGTTATTAGCCGGCCTGAATAGATCGATCTGTCCCTTTCTTCGACCTCGTTTTATTAAATCGACCTCGACTTAATGATAAATCGATGAGAGCTCCAAGTCAAAACGACAAAACGTTTGCAAAGCACAATACATGTATTGTGCTTTTCACTTATTCTGCCGTGATATTGTCAATTCTGCCCAAATTTTCCAAAAGGGTGCGGTTTGGCTCCGGTCTTGAAATCGAGCGGCGAATCGAACTTCGTCGCTAATTGGCCAATATTCCCTGAAGTGCCCGAGTGCGCACTCCGCACAGTCAATGCAAGATGGAGGAAGCGGTTACGCGGCAGCACGCGCACCCTAGCACTGTCTATCACTGCCTCTATGCGCACATCAAGCTCGGCTATACTAGAAGCCATCTTGCCCACGTCTTCAATAAGACCGAACACACGATCGGCAATTGGCTGCAAGCCTACTACGAGACCGGAGTGTTCCAGCGTGTTCGGACCACTCGAGAGAGGAAGTACACGAAGCAGCAACGGGTGTGATTTTTTAACTACTACCAACATCATCCACTCTCCTACTTAGATGAAGCCCAGGACGCCTTCAAACGAACTCACGGCACCGAGATCTCCAAGACATCAGTGTGGCGCATCATTCACTCGTTTGGTCTGGCGTGGAAGGTGTTGGAGCGGAGGGCGATTCACATCAAGGAGCAGGACGTCTTCCGTTTCGTGGAAGAGCTTAGTCACCTCGACTGGAGCCACCACAACCTCGTTTTCCTCGATGGGGTCTCATTTGACAACAGAGGGATGGTTCGCAAGCGAGGCTACGCCGTCCGAGGGAAAAAGTTGTCATCCGCGGCGACTTCGAGAGAAAACCTCGTGTGTCGATCCTGGCCTTTATTGGTGTCAACGGCATTATCGACTACTTCAGTACTGAAGGCACTTTCGATCGGCTAGAGTTCACCAAGTGCTGTCAAGACCTGGTGCACATGGAGAGGGGGCCGATACGCCAGTATCCTGGACCAAACTCAATCTGGATCATGGATGGGGCTACAATCCACCGACACCCGGAAATAATTCAATATCTACGAAGCGTCGGTGTAGTGGTGATCTTCTTGCCAGCGTATTGTCCGTTTTTTAATCCTATCGAGTTTCCTCTTCGGATACGTCAAGCACTCCTTTCAACGACACTACTCGGAAGCTAGCGGGCGAGATTTGACTCCATTCGTCGTTCAGACGTTTCAACGCTTCAGAGATTTCGACATGAGCAAGGTGTTCGAGCACTGCGGTTGGAAGAAACAAGGCTACTTCAATCCTGTTGGACCTCTTTCAAGTGAGAACAAAGCCGAATTCGCTGCTAGTGAACGCAACCAAGATGAATTAGAGTTTACGGAACTTGAATCGTAAGAGTAGCTTAAACTCATCAACATGCAATCCTTTTTCTTTCGTCACTCGGCGTGCTCTGTGTCTTCGACGTTCTCCATTTGAAGGAGAGGGTCGATCACTTCGTCGCGAGCAGGAGGGGTGATGTCGCGCAGAAACCCCATGATAACACTCTTGCGCACCTCAAAACGGCGCTCATTTTTATCGAGATACTGTCCGAGAAATTCCCACCTTTGGCGCAGCTAGCAATTGTGGCCTCCACAACATCTAGCGCCACATTTGCCGTTCGAGTAACTTCGGCCACGTGTTGCTCCATCTGTGTATCCACGAGTCGAAGCAAATTCGCGATATACTCTGGTGGTGGTTGTTGAATAGCGGCGTCCCACGTTGACCTGTTGAGATTCCGCGTGAGCTGGTTGGCCCACAGACGCCAAACAACACCTTCACCTTCGAATGTAGCCTCCCCAGTGCTCTCGAAGTCTCTCCACAACCTCTCGCAACGAGGTCTCAGCGGTTGCGCCCGCACGGTCGGTCTCCTCAGGCTGTATGCAGGCTGCGACGAATTCATTTCGATCTTGAGCTTGCGATCGACAAACCATACTCGTAGATAACGAGCGTCACTGTATGCCCTCGCATTTTTTGCAGCCACTGCTTCCACGCTTGTGCTGACTTGGTAGACTCCACTACCTTCTTTTTGGCCCTGAACTGCATGACACGGTCCCACTCGCCCACCTTGAGGGTCTCGACAGACAACTCGCCGTCCGTCCGCACCGCTCTGCACTTGACATGGCCGCTGAACAAGATCCAGATCTTCTGCAGGATCTCGTCGAACGATCCGCCGTTGTCGAGAGTCTCGGCCGACGTATCGCGTTGGGCGATGGTCGCCTTCACGATTGGCCGCAATAGCAACTGGTACAGATGACTTGGAGCTGCTTGGTCTGCTTCTGTTGTTGCTTCGTACATGCTCTCAGGCCGTGGCAGCGACGTGACTACTCGCGATGTAGCTGGTGCTGCTGGAGGTGCCGCCAACAGACCAACGGATCGTGCAGGAGAAGCAGTAGCGGGTGCTGCCGGTGCTCGTGCTGCTGGAAGCTGCTGAGGCCGAAGCGCTGCTGGGGTCGCTTGTAGTGGTCGTGTTCCTTGACCACTGGCGTCTGTTTGCGATGGAGATGCGCGTGGAGCCACTGTGGGCTGCGAGGTCGACGGAAAGCTGCCTGGCGTCGGGGTGCGGCTGCGCTAGGGGTACGGCGAGACACGCGTAAGACTGGACTGGCGTGGCGACCTCCGTGGCGTGGCCACCATGGTGCAATTCCAGAACTGCAAAGCTGCAGCTTCCGGCTCCCAAAGGAAAGCCTCTTATCACGCATATATTTCCTTCCTTATGTTAGGTTGGGCGATTGGCAGGTCGGTTTCGCTAGATCGATTCAACCAATCGCTCTCGGAAATTTTGAATCGAACGCACAGTAATTCTGGCATAACGCTAATCCCTTATCGACCTTAATTATGTCCCGAGTTAGCTAATTCCCATGTTAATTCCGGGTCGTCCCTCCGTGGCCGAATTAGGAGCGGGGATGGTGAGGCCGAGTTAAGGCGGAATAAGCTAATCCAGCCTGCGTTAGGCGGAAACAGAGCGATTGGCGGTTTCCTACCCGCCAATCCATACCATATCTCCGTCGATTGGATCTCAAATGCTGATTGCGGGTGTTAGGGGAAGCGCTCCCAATTTTAGGCAGAATTAGCTGTAAATAAGCGTTGATCGCCCTTTTATGACTCTAATTACAGTACGCCCGAATCTACAGCTCACCCGTGAAAGGCACAATATTATATATGCGCGGTAATTCCATTGGTGGGGTGGTCCACCCGGTGGATGCACTCACGATTGAGGGGGATCGCTTTCGTTGAAGCCCCCCCCCCCCCCCCCCCTCCCTCAAAGCTTGGACCAAATATGTACCAATCCATGACCAGATTCAGGCAACGGTTGGTGCACCGCCCACCAATCGTCCACATGTGGTCGCGCGATCACTGGCAGCGTGCGGGTACGGAGCAAGTAATGGCACCTTGAGTTATCATGGGATTTGCGCACAGCTGGCATAGTCCGCTTCGTGGTGATTGCACGTGATAACTTCAGGGCGTTCGTGAATCACCATTCATAGTGTCACGGTGACACTGTCACCATTCAACGCTGTTACTTGCAGGGGAGCGCTTTGGTTTGAGATGGTGGGCGCTGGACTACGCCAGGCTTGACTGGCGGAAGGATACGCAGGTCGGTAGTGCACTGGTAATCCTGTATACCGCGAGAGCAGTCTTCAAACGCTGCAGAACGCGCTTATAAGCAGCGCAAGTACACATATAATACAAAGCAGTGGTATCTATTGGCAAGCAATGCTGCTTCTTTATTAGGGACCTTTAGATAGGATAATAATTGATGTTTTGATCCACAGTAACAGCGTTGGTCCAATTTGAAGCTTACGCAAAACACTTTTTGTAGGCTCAAGAGCGTGAAACCGCGGTACCTGTACGCATCACTGGACCAGATACTACGGCTGAGTGCCCAGAAACTTGCTACTGTACAGTGCCATAACTCAACGTTGAGTTTATCCGAACGATCCACCCCACGGTGGATGTACATGTAGACCGGCTTCTTATTGTTTCCCACCAGAAAAGATAAAAGTTACTTAAGTACTCAGGCATCTTCTGATCTTGCCGGCAAAAAGCCAAAGTCTTGCCTTCCTTCCGAACGCGAGAACCGAATGAATCATTCTTCTCGAGGAAAGGTGAAATCTACAGACAGAAGTAGGCAAACTACAGACTGTCGGACAAAATACAGAAGGGGTAGGTTGCCTTGCCGATTTGCCATCCCTGTCTACACTGAATTTAGCTTAATATCGGTATTTGCAGGATCGATATCCCTAAGCAACTCAACGGAGCAATGCGGCCATAACTATTTAGTACTATTTTACAGACAACGACGGATAAATCCGGCATAACTGAATGACATCCTCCATAGTAAATTTGCCAGAATTCTCTGTCGGGAACGATAGAGATTGTACAAGGCAATGACATAAATTACACGTAACGGAGCATAAAGTACACACCAATTTAGAGAAAGTACTTAAAACCATATGGAATACAAATGTCAAGTGCAACGCTCGAAGCTGATTGGCTATCTGAATTACTTATTGTAAAAAGTACAACATATGTGTGCCGGGTTTTGCGTTGCCGTATTTATCCGTCGTTGTCTGTACTATATTTTACTATCGCAATCTGCAACTGGGTTTGGATTTTCGCATAGCGATGGGCAATCTGCAACTGGGTTTGGATTTTCGCATAACGATGGGCTACCATAGGCTTTGCCAACAGCCATGCCGGCTACATCTACTGGACTGGTCTGCCATGCGCCCCCCACAGTGACGAACAACTCAAGACAAACAAGGTATCACAACAATGCGCCAGTACTGTTTGCTGCTGATTGTGTTGGCCCTCGCTGCTGCTTTGAGTGATAATGCCGTGGCCAGCACCCTGGCTGTCGCGCGTTCAGAGATCGGTGCCCCGAGCGCGGTTTACTCCGAGCGTCTCCTGCGTTCCGAGCCTCAAGATGAAGATACGTTTGAAGACAGAGCCTTTGGGCTCAACTGGCTCCGGTTGAGGTGGCTCAGGCTTGGAGCGGCCAAGGCGAAGACGACGGACGTCATTTCTGCCAGGGAGAGCAAGTGGATCGAGGCGTGGGCGAACAAGAACCTGAGTCCGAACTACGTCTACAAGCAGCTGGGACTCGCCAAGCAGGGCGACAAGGCGATGCAGAGTCAGAACTACCGTATCTTTGAGGCCTACACTGAGCGCTTGTTCGCCAAGGATCAGGCACTTTACACCAAGTGGCTGGACGCCAAGATGACGCCGGAAGATGTCTACAAAGCGCTCAAGCTCGACAAGTTGCTCGGCGCCAAGGCGGCCAACAGCCCGGACTTCCGTCGCTACGAGGTGTACATGTTCAAGTGGCACGAGCTGAACTAAGCGAGTCGGATAGCGATGGTCTACCAGGTAGCCGACTTTAAGCTAGTATTTTTACCAATCCAATCACCCTTGCAGTTCCTTACTAATAGCGCTAACGCTACAATGGACCAGCGCTGGGGCTTCCTCGTTCCTTGGTGTGAGGCCTTAAACAGGCGCTTCGACTTTAACGGTACCGAGTACGAAGATACCGACAGAGACGCTCAGACGCGGCGACTTCGAGTGACGCTCCCCTCGAGAAGGTTTTGTGCCGACCAAGAGAGTTTCAAGACCAAGTTCCAACAAGTTCGAGAGGCGCTGGCGTTGTTATCCGCGGTGGCTCGTGTGGACCACGCGGCTTGGAAGTTTTTACTATCGAGCTATTGTGGGGTGGATCTCGGGAAAGAAGGAAGCGAAATATTTGAAGAAGAAATCCCGGCTAGATTTCTGCTGATTCTTGACTTGGAAGAACGGCAGGCAAGTGAAAATGCCGATAGCGTCGATTCGGATCTCGTGGCGTTCTGTGGGGTCCGTCAGCGAGATAATCAAGCCCACGAGTATTTGGAGGCGCTGGAAAAGATTGCTGCTGTACGAGGTGGGAAGGAGAAGGTATTGGATATCCAGATTCCTGTGCGAGTGTTGTTCCGAGCTAGGAACTTGTTCTCTGCTATCGTGGATCGACCAGTGGGAGAGCTGGCAATGGCTGCACGAGCTGAACGAGCGATTAAATCAGAGTGGGAAACCTATGGGCAAGGATTGGAGTTGCAAAGTGGAACGCTGGGGTCCATCCGCTGCACGTTCGTGCTTGAGCCGATGGTCGCCGACTTCAGCAACCGTCCAATTCGACCCGATATGGTGGGAATAGTCACGACGCTGATAGCGGAGAACGTGTGGTTCTCGAGAGCGACGATTTCTCTCTCGAAGTTACTGGGAGTTCCCTTCGAAGCCGATCTTTTGGGGCAGTTGGTTGCAAGTGTATTTGACTCGACGCGCCGCTCCTCAGGTCTTGCAACCACAAAATACGTTTCACAGCTCGATCCTTGCAGCCCCCTCCAGCTTGGTACAGTCGTCGTGCACTGTGAACCAGCACTGAGAGCCTCTGAGTTTCAAGCGTTGTGCTCGGGGATTGTGGTCAGCCAGACGACCAAGAGACTATCGTTAAGTTTATGGCTGAGTTCTAATGATGCAAGCAGTAGTGCGGCTCGCTGGAGATGGCTGGCTTATTCGCTGTTCTCTAAACGGGCTCGTTGCTATTCCGCAGTAGAGTCTCTGACTCTAACTTCTATCGGCACCATGAGCATCACGGATATGATGGCATTCTCTGCAATTTTAGCGTCGGAGAATCCGGAAGCAGAACTATTTGGTTGTGCTCCTGGTCGAATTGAAGCTAGAGATGCCACACTTGCGGCGGGGGCTGAGGTTCAGTATCCTGATGACGAAGAGACCATCCAGGCGGCAATGTGTTGGTGTTCGAATCACTGATACCGTTTGTTCGGTCTTTTTGCGACGATGGCGAGAGTGAGTGGGTGAATATTATTGTCCCTGGATACGGCCGATGTCGAGCTCGTTGTGATGACCTCTCGTTTGACGAAGCGACCGTACCGCAAGAAAGCCCAGGTGGAATTACGTCGCTTACTATTGGTTTCGGTGACTTCAAAGCTCAGATTATGGATGGCCTACCGCATTTCTTAGCCCAACGTGAAGTTTCTAGCCTTGGACGCTATGAACGTGGAGCTCGGCATTGAGTCGATTTTAAGAAACTGCCCCAACCTAGAAGAGCTGTCACTTCGATCGGCTATAGTTGACTTGCGACTCAGTTTTACTGGTGACCAAGTTAATCATTATCGAAGTGCCCTTGGCCTCAACTGGAAGGATGCGACCAGTGTTGCTACCGAGCTTCAAGACTCGCACAGCCCGTTTAGCATGTGCGTCCGCCGATTGCGGCTGCATTTGGATGCCGTGCGGAATACGAGAGGAGAACTCGACGAAGATCGGATCAACACAATTTTAGCCAAGCTGCTGTTGGTACTGGAAGCGAATCAGAGTCTGGAGCATCTCGATGTCATTGCACCTACTCAATACCATCATGAATTCTTCGAGAAGTTCCGAGCGCACCACCTTACACCAATTAGAAAGACCATGCCGCTGTCACTGAAGTCAAAGATCGCATTTTTGAGCATTATATCGTGCTCACGGGCGCAAACGGGAGATGAACGTGCTTTAGAACCTGAAATCAGCTGCTTCGCGCTAGATCAGCATTTTGTGCGAAAGATATTCAAGTTTGCCGCTCCCCCAATTCTCCGTGGAGTTTACTTCCATGCGTTGGTTTGGGGGGACAAGTATGACGTACCTCTGTAAGACTTCGCTCTACGTCACTCTTTTATCAGCGGCAGTACATGTTAGGACTCGTCTCGACGTTTCCTCCTTATGGCATTGAAATGGCTGCTAATATAGTAGACGCCATCGCCTGGTAAGGACATGGCTGCTCGTATCAAGTCGAAGAGTGAATTCTTTTTCACTCGTCATGCCGGCTGGAGTAGCTGAAGCAGTTTAAACAAAAGGATCCGAAGAGAAAGTCTCCGGCAAATGACGTAGTACGCCAAGAAGAGAGATGTACTTCTCTGTCCCAGTAAAAATGTAATCGTCGATATCTTGAGAAGTAGTCGTCATATTAAAAAGCTGCAAAGAGCATTGTATAGCTCGCTACGATTGCTTTGTCCTATTTTTTTCAGATCGCCAGCACCAATGTTGATGGAGATACAATGAAATTACTGCCGCCCTCTGTTAGCGGTGATCACATTTTCCTCCGTAATTCATCGAGGACGCCTGTCCAATATCATAGGTCTGGCTACTATTGGCTAAAATTGAGGAGTATTTGGCCAATCCCATCAAGTTCACCTCTTGTGCAAAGTGTTGAGGCGAAGAGCTCACACAGGTCGGCTTATCGTAGTAGTTGTACACAAGACCAGTGCGCCATAAACATTCGCAGTTCACCTCTAGAGCTACCAGGGCTCGCGCTTCGATAGCAACGCACTCTTGTGTGGGACTCTATCGTACGGAAATTGCGTAAGTCACCACTAACTACTGAACACTATCGGGGACTACAGGCGCAACAGAGATGATGCTGCATCATCTCTGTTACTGAAATCACCTTCTACCGTGTGTGTACCAGGAGGGATGCTACCAATACCAACCGCAAATGCCCGCAGCTTCGAGTATTGCTTACCGCCGTCCACTTCGTTCCACGCTTGATCCAAAGGCTTCTGTGACGCACTGTCCACAATACTGCGTAGGTTGGTGTCGACCTCACATCGTTCACGCAGGTCTTTGCGCTGGTTCCACATCTCCATCAATATAGTATGGCCGAAGTGTTCGCGTAGTCTTCTGCGATGTACATCAACTAAACCTCTGAAAGCGGAATCACTGCAATCGATGACTTGTGCCGGTGTCGTGAACCGCTGAGTAGCGGCTTCATTGAGAACTTCTACTTGAATGTCTTGGATACCATCGATCAGTACTCGGACGGCGCCCATCACAGCGAGAACGAGTTGATGGCGATCCAGTACACTCAATCTTTTGTATACCACCTTGGAAAACGGCGACGAAGCGCATGTCACGAGTTCGGTTTTGACTTCGTCAACCGCAGGCGCGCTCCCGTTGCGCGTGTCTTCAAACTTGTTGGCCAGGATTTGTTTCAACTCGTTCAATGCTCGGGTTTGGTCCGTTAGGGTGACTGTTTTTCCTTGCAGCTGAGCAAAGCAAGTTTTGATGGAGCGGGTAACGTCAGCTACCACAAAACAACATAACCACCACGTGTTGCTGGAGCTCGGTCGACCCTTTTCAGACTGCAACTTCAATAGATCTTCGTAGCGCTCCGTTAGAAAATGACAGGTGTCGTGTATCGAATTCCATCTTGTAGTCACGTACTCAGGGCAGCTTCCGATGGCATTTTGAACCGATACGTGCGTGTGCGTGAAGGTGATCTCAAAAGCGAGAGTAGAACGAAAATTCGCGAACTCGTCGAAAACAGATAAGAAATCACGAACAACCAAATTAAGCTGGTGGCTTCCGCACCAATTCGCTGCAATACCAGTTTCTCCTATTTCAGCACAAGCACTTCGAACCCGTTTCACGAATCCTTGATGGCACCCTAGCATCGTAGCTGCTCCATCAGTGGCAATACCAATTATTTTAGGCAATGACCAGCCGCCCAAAACGTTTTTGAGTGCATCTAGAACCAATTATGCGTAGGTGGCGGCTGTGTGAGGACGTTCGCCAGTAGGAATGGCTAAGAAGTGCACATTGTGGAGTTTTCGGCTGCACTCAAATGAAAGCCGCACGTCGAGTTAAGCTTCAGCTGCATGTGACGCTCCGTCCACCAGAATCGACAACGCCTAAACATGCTCCAGAATCACACGCAACGCGGTCAAATTGATCGCGACGACATAGCGGACCGTCCTCGCGACAATCTCTTGAGTGACAAGGCCTAGTTTGGCATTTGCGTAAGCCTCCCTAAAAATTCCGAAAACTCCCGAGACCGCTCTAAAGCTTGGAATGTTTACAATGCAGCGAATGATCGTCTCGAACTGTTGTTTGGGGCCCACGTGCAGTACGAAACTTCCGTCGCTGCTCTCCACAAGTCCATTAAACACCGATAACTCCAACATGATCGTGTTACCGCTGCTATCAGAAACCTCGATATGATTCTCCCGAATCAGACGCTGAATGACTGAAATTATACTGCCTGGGACAACAACACAGAAACCACTCTGGTCGGGCACGTACGAGAGAATACTTGCTCCAAAATCTTTGGCTGAGAAAAAGCGGTCCCTGATCAGTGGATTGTTGGGCAGCTTCTGGTACTCGGCCCATTTTGTCTTGTGTTGCGATTTAAGGTGGCGCACTATATTATCTCGTCGAAACTTCACGAATATTGCGGTGGTTTGCAGGGGTCGCGCGTGTCTCCGTTGAGAATAAGGCTCAGCTCTTCTGCTTGAACAATCTTTCCTTCTCGTTTGAAGTTCTCGCAAAATCGGCTCACAGCTTGCTCCACTTTTCCTGTGTCTGCAGCCACAACCGGACGAAGCCCAAGTGTCGTCGGATAATGACCGACCCAGTTGTCCCTTGTTTCTGCCTTCTTCTTCTTCTTGCGAGGGTATCCGAGAGCTTCGTTGACACTTCGAGTCTCACCGGACAACTGCACATCGTCAGCATCAGCCATCTTTACGAAGAACAGTGCGAGAAGAGAGGAAGACAATAAGGTGGTTGCTGCACGAGGTGCTTAATCAATCTAAGGCGTCCAGGGAACAGGCGTGCGATGGTTTCTAAGTTTGTATTCGCCTTTGTGAAACCAACCGCATGTAGATTCTATGAGAATGTATCCATGTATAATTTGAGGCACTCCCTGAAATTCCAAATGAGGCACTCCGAACTATTTATACACCGAATGCCACATCTAGAGCACCCTGATGATGCTGCTATAGTCCCCTCCCACCCACCCCTACAGCGTCTGCCAGACGCCGCCACGGCGGCGGTGGTCTAGCGCTGTGATCTCCCCTCCTCGTAATACTGTAAAGTAGTGTAGCCCTGAACTCCTAAACGACATGCATTCTAATGACTACCACTAATCACTGCTACCAGGGTTGCCGAGATCCAGCCGCTACCGAGGTCGCCGCGACTGCGGTTCGGCACCTGCGCCCGCCGCGAGCCGCCATCATGATGCTGCCGCTTTGTAGCGCAGCTTCCCACAGGCAGGAACTCCCTAGTAGCAAGAGTGTTGTACAGGCAGCAATGACTGCTTCTCACCCGTATTTATAATAATCTAGCCTTACAATGTTGCCGTACTCATATTAGTATGTAGTGGACAACTCATTAGGACAATTTCACGAAGAGTGAGAAGGCCCCCGGCACTCCCACTGCCAGGCCTCCGGCACTACCATCACGGGCCAAACGGCCATTGCAATATACACATTACCTAGCAACCAACCGAGGGAATTCCTACATATTCGCAACACAGCTACCTTCAGCCCTTGCTGCTGCTCCTGGGGCACATCGGGGCTTGTGTCGTCGGGCGCGGCAGAAGCCCGAAACTGCTGATGCCTTTTGACGTGATCAGGACCCAGCACTGTGGTGCCTTTGAAGCTACTGAGTTACTAGGAGCAGTTGGAAGGCCCAGGTAGACTGGGCCAGGTCTAGCTGTACATATAGGTGATTAACACTGTTGCACTATTAGGCCAATAATAGCGTGCGCTGTTTTATCGTAGGAATCGCTCGCTACGAAAGTCAATTCATTGTGCATTTTCAGGTATTAAGCAGTGACCAGCTGAGCGTGCCATTAATATTTTTGACGAAAACACCGCCGATTTTCCTACGAGTCCATACAAAGTGCGAGATATCGCCTACGATTCGACGACAATCAAAAAAGAAAAGATCTCCACCAAAAGGAAAGGAAAGGGAAAAACGCCCTCCTTCGAGTCGATGGACTCGCAGTGGCGCTTCCTTGGCCCCTGGCTGACTAGGCTGAGGGTGGAGTACAAGGCTCTGGACGCTGAGTGCGACGCGCGCGACCCTCCGCAGCGGATCCTCAAGGTGTCGCTGCGACGGGTGCAGCTGTCGGGGTCGTTCCAGGCCAAGTTTCAGGAAACATACGAGGCCCTGGCCCTTCTCGCGGCTGTGGAGCGCGTGGATTACGAGTCGTGGAGATACTGCCTCACAGCGCTGTGCGGATTGCACCTGGGAGAGCGTGGAGAAGCAACTTTCGAGGAGAAAATCCCCGTGCTGTTTCTGCTCGACTTGGATCTGGAAGAAGACGAGGACGAGGGCTACAATTTGGTAAAAATTTGCGGTACGGGCCATCGTGAACGCCCCAGTGACGAGTATTTGCAGGCGCTGAAGAAGATCGCGGCGATGGATAAGAGGCTGAAAGATGATAAAGCTGGGAGGGACATTGAGATCCCCGTGAAGATTTATTTTTCAGCGCGGCAGGGGAGAACGATGGCGCAGTTGGAGAATGTTGCAAAGGCTGAAAAGATCACTAAGCAGCAGTGGGAGGGGTACTATGATTCTGGTGGAGGTGAGCAGCCAGTGGAGTCCAAGATGTTTCGGTGCACTTTCGTGCTGGAGCCGATGATTGCAGACTTCCATGGATATGAGATCACACAAGAAATGGTTGATACTATGGAAAAGCTGCTGGATGCTAATGTCTGGTTCTCACAGGTGAAACTGGACTTGCACCTGATCCGCCATATTGGCTTTGACGAGAACAGGGCGAGGGAGGCACTCTGGAAGCTTTTTCCACGTCTTTTCAATGGTACAAGGCACTCACTGGACCAAGCGAATCCTCGCTATCGCCCTCGGTCCACCTTTCTAAGCCAAGAAGAAGAGTGTTTGCCGATCGGTGCTATCCAACTCGAGTGTGACTCCGCTGTGATCGGCGTTCGTGATTTCGAAAGGACGTGCTCAGCGCTGACTGTTTGCCAGACCACCAGAAACCTTTCGTTGCGTTTGGCTATCAGCCCGACAGCTCATTTGACGAAAAAGGTGTGGTGGAAGTGGGTCGCGTACTCTTTGTTCTCCTGTCGCGCACGCGAGTATTCGTCCATTGACGCACTCGATCTCACATTGAACGACAAAGTTATTCCGGCAGATATCATCGAATTCGCCACCGTAGTAGCATCTGACCACCCCGAAGAAGCATTGTTTTCCTCTCCACGCGGCCAAGTTGAGGAAAGGGAAGCTACTCTGAAACCTGGCGCTCGAATTCGATGGCAAATTACAAAACAGGGCACAGCGCGCCTTGTTTCCAAGGAACTGACTTTCCCGTACGCTATTCCACGCATTCGGACTTTCAGCGACGATGGAACTAGCGAGTGGACCAATGTGGTGATCCCCGGGTTGAGCTGGTGCCAAGTTCGCCGAGCCTGCTTACAATTTCCCGAGCATCAAGCTAGCAGTGCCGCTTCGTGTAACGTGACTTCGCTCACATTATTTATCCAGAGAAGTGTTGCTTCAAATGCCGAAAGCCTGCAGCGCCTGTTAGCAGTAGTTGGCGGTCCATTGAAGCACTTAACGCTGGGTGGACCTGGCCTTGGGGTGGTGGATGAGAACGCCGTCCATCGTAGCTGTCCCAACTTGTCAACGCTGTCCGTTCGTGGCAAACAGTTTGACGTGCAGCTTGATTTCAGCTACTATCGTGGATTGGGCGCGCCAGTTCCTTCAATTAAGTGCTCTGGTCTTCGTTTGACAACGCTGGCACACGCGTTAAGTGATAACGACAGCGCTACCGCGAAGTGCGTATACAAGTTACGAGTCCACAAGGAAGGCGATTGGCTACGGACTACGCCGGACACCCGCCTGGAGGCACTTTTGCAGATGTTGAGAGTGAATGAAACCTTGGAATTGCTCGAGATCGATGGTTCGCCGCAGCTGCCCAAGTTCGCCGACTTCAGACAGCACAACCGGAAGCCGATTCGCAGAACACGAAACATATCGATCGGCGGGAAACTGGCGTTTCTGAGTGTTTTATCGTCTCGACAGAGGTCGGATGAAGTGGATCACAAGCGAAGCTGCGGCAGTGAAAGAGAGGTGCACGCTCGCCAACACCTGGACCAGTACGTTCTATCGAGGATTTTTGCGTTTGCAGGCCCTCCTGTTCTTCGACAAGTATTCACCCGAGCTGTCGCCCAAGTTGTTGAACGGCCTAGGGCATTGCGAAACATTGTCCACTTTCCCTGGGGCATGGCTGACGGCTACAGCAGCAGCAGTAGCGATAGCAGCAGCAGCAGCAGCGAGGGAGGTGGGTGGTATTTCTGGCCTGGCTCGAGTGACTATTTCACGGAGTCCGATGAGGAGTAGCCCCCTCCCTCACTGCCACCGACGACGAGCCCACCCGATTCAAGCGGTTTCTGCATATTCGACTCGTCGGCTCTCACGTAGTCTCACAGATCTACCGAGTTCATATTTAAGTACGTTATTTCCTTCCACTAACTTAACTTGAAGTGGTTATGTTGCAAGTTCAGGTGTACCACACAGTAGACAACATAAATAACCTTACGTTGCACACCTTCATCTCCAGCGCAACATAATCCATTTCCCGCCATAATAAAAGCTCACTTGGAGCGGCTGGTTGGCGCCGTGGTGCGCGCTCCTGAAGAAGCGCTTCTCGTACACGTGGCCAGAGCGCGAGGAGGATCTTTGGGACGCGCAGAAGCGCGTGCTGGGCGTGTCTCTGCCCACGCACTACGAGAACAGCGACGGCGAAGAAGAAGAAGGAGGAGGAGGAGGAAGAGGACGAGGAAGAATTTCACCAAAAGTTTCAAAATGTTCGGGAAGCTCTCGCACTTTTAGCAGCTGTGGCTCACGTGGACCAATCAGCGTGGAAGTTCCTCCTGACCCAATATTGTGGTGTCGAGCTGGGAAGAGAAGCTCAAGAGCAAGATCTCCCGGCGGAGTTTGTACTGTATTTGAACTTGGAGGGCAGGGCGAGCATGCAGTGGGAAGACACGCTCAATTTCGACCTGGCCAGGTTTTGTGGGACACACCAGCGGAAACACCCCTCTCGACCATATCAGGACGCACTGAGCTGCTGGATCGAAATTTGCAGGATGACGAGTGGGTATCTTCATCCCTGTGAGACCGTACTTTAGAGGAATGCGCATAGCGTCAGTGGATGGACCGATGGAGGTGTTCATGGACATCTGGAGGGCCGAGGAGAAGATCTGCAACAAGTGGCACAAGTACGAGCAGCGTGTTGGTCAAGACGAGGTTGGGCTCGGCCAGTTGCTCTGCACGTTTGTTCTCAAGCCGATGATGGCGGACTTCAATGACTGCATGATATGTCCTGAGATGACCGAGACCGCTGGTGAGCAACAACCAGTGGTTCTCGCAGTTTTCGCTCTGGTTACGAGTAGATCGGGATCTGGAAAACGATGCACGGGGGAAGAAGAAGGTCCTTGGCCAGCTGATGAAGGCAGTGTTTGATACGAGCCGTCGTCAACGTGCAATCACGAGCGGCTGCAGGTAATACGAGATACAGCGAGGTGACCAAGGAAATACTGCTACCCCGCTTCAGCTTGGAATGCACTTGGAGTGTGATTATTCGCTGAAATCTTCCGGATACGAGGTGGTGTGCTCAGCGATGGTAGTCAATCGTACGACAAGGAAAGTATCCATGCGTCTGGAGGTGTCACCGGATGATCAGACGACCAGCAACCACATGTGGAAGTGGTTGGCGTACGCGTTATTTTCGAAGCGAGCGCAGACACATTCGAGCTTGGAATCTTTGTCGTTCATCGCAATGGGAAGCTTAAGCGTCCGAGACATGAATGAATTTTCAGCAATTCTAGCTTCTGAGCATCCAGAAGAGAAACTCTTCAGCTGTCCCCGCGGCGCCGTCGAGGAGAGGGATGCTACCCTCAAATGTGGCGCTCCGAATCGGTGGCAATTTGATGAACGACGAAGGAGCTGATTTGCTCGGTTTTGCAGCACCAATTCAGTTTGTTCGCTCATTAAGCGACGATGGGAAGAGCAATTGGGTGAACGTGTTGATTTCAGGTTACGGGCGCTGCCAAGTACTGCGTAACGATCTGGTATTCCGCTCTGGTGACGAAGTGGCAGCTCCCTGTCGTAGGCTGAAGTCGCTGAACATCGGGGTTTGCAACTATGATGCCTACGTTTCGGATGGGTTGCCCCAGTTTCTCTCTGCGATTGGATCTTCGTTGCAGATTCTGTCGCTTGAACACCTCGAAGGTGTTGAAGTGTCCGATATTTGCCGCTTCTGCCCGAATCTGAAGGAATTGGCGTTTTGTGCGGGGGCTGTCAGCGCGCGTTTCAATTTTGACGAGTACCATGCAGTGGGCGAGCCGATCCCGCTACTAAGTTGTGATTGGGGCAACGTCAGAGCCCTGAAGAAAGAGCTCAGTGACGTGAACAGTGCACTCGGGAAGACTTTACGTCGACTGCGCGTCCGCTTTACAAGCATGTTTATGGGCGGGGAGGGACAGCATGTCTGGGCCTCACTATCTACCGCGCATTGAAGGCATTTGACGGAGTTCCTCCGCATGCTGAGCACCAACAGGACTCTGGAGTACGTCGACATTGTCGTCCCGTCCAAGTACGAGCAATTTGCCGGTGACGCTCTGAAGCACCATCTCGCACCAACCAGGCACGAACTTCAGCTGTCAACGGATCGCATGGTGGCATTCCTCAGTGTGATGTATCGACCGAAGGCAACGGAGACCAAGAGGATGAGAACTCGCTCGTATCGCCCTCCTCCTACACTCGGCCACCTGGATGAAAACGTTCTGACCAAGATCTTCGCCTTTGCGGCTCCATCAGTTCTTCGGCAAGTTTACTTCCACGTAAAACGCAATGAATGGAGCGAGCGTACGGGCACGCCGATTTAGGATACGCGTGATCTGCATTGGTGGCCGTGCACACATATTTCTTTATTTTCGTACATGTAGAACACTTTTGCTTGCCGCAAGTCAACATTGTTATCAGTTATAAGATCTACCGGAAATCAAATTGAAGCTATCCATTTCATCCAACCCCATTCTTTCTATCATTCAATTGGTCAAAGTTATTTTTCGAATCCTTCACTTCACTGCCATTCCAGAATCTGATAACCAGCTCGCAAACCTCAAACATGGGGGTGCCCCCCGACGCCGCCATGCTGGAGCAGCGCTGGGGCTTCCTGGCGCCCTGGTGCTCCGTGCTGCAGTACCGCGTCAACTTCCGCGCGCTGGAGGACGCGCCCCCGGACGTCTGGGGCGCGCAGAGCCGCGCGCTGCACGTGCTGCTGCCCCGCCGCGCGGGCCTCTACGGCGAGCTCAAGGACGAGCAGTCGTTCCAGATCGAGTTCCAGAACACGCGCGAGGCGCTGTCCCTATTGGCTGCAGTGGCGCGTGTGGACCACGCCGCCTGGAAGTTTTTGCTACTGCGATATTGTGGCGTGGATCTGGGCAGTCCCGGAGACGAAATATTCGAAACGGAAATTCCGGTTAGGTTCTGTGTGGTTATCGAGCCCCAGGGTGAGACGGACCTGATCCAGCTCTGCGGCGTGAACCAGCGACGGTATCTGAGTGAAGGATACGTGAACACACTGGCGAGGATCGCGGAGCTGGGGGGCATTGCGCAGAATGCGGAGGGCGTGGACCTGGAAATTCCCGTTCGGGTGAATTTTAACACTTCGACGACGAATATGACGAACAAAATGACAATTGAACCGATCCAGAATTTGGTGAATATTCAGGCGGCCGAGAAGATTATTCGCGAGGAGTGGGAGAGCTACAACTGGAGTCTGGAGAACCAGCCAGTGGACGCTGGGATGATGAGGTGCACGTTGGTGCTCGAGCCGATGATTGCAGATCTTCGAGGGTTCGGATGTGGCAACGAGATTGCAGAGACGATGGCCAGATTTGTGGGCGAGAACGTGTGGCTCTCGCAGTTGTCGTTGAAGGCGGAGTTGACGTATGAGGGGAACCAAGATGTAGCGTTGATGTCGTTCCGCCAGATGATGGCGGTGGTGTTTGATGCGACGCGGCGGAGTCGTGAACTGGCAAATACGAGGTACTGCTCTCAGACGTTGGCGTGCAGCGACCCGCTTCAGATGGGAACGGTATCGTTGCACTGGGAATCTGCACTTGATCCATCGGAAGTGGGGGCAATGTTTTCAGCGCTGGTACTCAACCAGACTGCAAGACATCTCACAATACGAATGCGGATGGAGTCGAACAACCGAGGCAACTACAAATACTGGTGGAAGTGGGTGGCGTATGCGTTTTTCTCGAAGCGAGCACAGAGGTGTTCTGCGCTGGAATCGCTGGAGCTGGCTGGGATTGATGACGTGGATATCGAAGACGTGAAAGTTTTTTCCGCTGTGCTTGCGGCCCAACATCCAGAAGAAGTTATCTGTGGCTGCCGACGTGGGCGTGTGGCTGAGAGAGATGCGGAATTGAAGCAAGGATCTCCAGTGCAGTGGCTGCTCTCCAGGAATGACCAGCCCCAGTCCGAACCTAGTATTGTAAAGTTCGGGTCGACTATTCCTCATGTTTTAACGTTTGGAGATGACGGCGAGAGCACGTGGGTCAACGTGCTGATTCCTGGTTTTGGTCATTGCCTGGTTCAGCGCTCAGATCTGGTGTTTCACCCCGCTCGCAAATCTGGTGCTATTCCAACCTCGTTGACGTCTCTCACAATTCGATTTGGAGAAGTTGCCCACCCAAGGTTGAACGGACTTCCTCTACTTCTATCGGCTTGCGGAACTTCGTTGCGATCCCTGACAATTCAGGGGTCTGCTGGAGAAGTCGATGCCAACATGATTCTTCAGTGCTGCCCGAAGCTACGAAATCTAACGCTACAGAAAGGATGGGTTATCGTGGAGCTTGACCTTACAGAGGCTCGTACAAGCAAGCAGCAAATTACGATGCAGTCGTTCAAGTGGGAAGATGTGGCCGCACTGGCGAGCGAATTGAGAAACTCAAATAGTTCGCTCGCCCGCTGTGTTCGCCGATTGAGCGTCCGGCTGACAGGCATGAATCAAGCAGACAACACGAGATGGGCGAACTACGGCCCCGTGCTGGCTTCCTACCTTAATGCCCTGCTGGAGATGCTGATGGCGAACGACTACTTGGAGTACTTCAAGATAACTGTGCCACCCCAGTGTCACGAGTACGCCGACTACTTCAGGAAGCACCACAACAAAAGGATTCGTCAAGGTGGTAACCTTTCCATTGAGACCAAGGTTGCTCTCTTGAGTGTGATGTTGGCTCGAACGAAGACACTGCCGTCATTGAAGAAGGGCAGGAAAACGAGAAGGAAAAAACCCGTGCGGCAGTTTACAGCATTAACGACACACCATCAGACATTCGCGAGCATCTGCGCGTTTGCTGCACCTGCCCCTCTGCGCCAAGTCTACTTCCAACAGGAGTATAGTGAAAACACGCCACCTGAATTGTGCTAAGCGTATAGCATGCGTGTGAAGGCTCAACAAGCTTGTTGCCTTGATTTCTCGATCGTTTATTTTTCTGCGTTGCACATGCGTGTGTCTGGATCTAGTGACGTCGCGTGGGGTCGCTTTATCCGGCGGGCGACTGGAAAACGGAGCGCATGGTGTGATGCATTATACAGTGAATACGGTCGGACGTGGTTCACTCACTTGGAGCCGATGATGAACGGTAATTTGTGCTTGGTAAGGTTTGCTTGTTGGCAACGACAAACCACTTAACACGTCTCAATGAGTCCTTTTAGCCCAAATACTGGCCAGCCGCACAGCTACGAGTTGATCTCGCGCGCGTTTTCTTTATTGCGCCTGGCTTCAGGTGTACGTATCGATTTATGGTGTTGCGTCTGGTTGGGCTCTTGCTGCAGTTTTCCCCCGATCAACGATGGCTCCAGTCACCGCTATTCAAAGTGCTACTACGCCTCTCTCCGGTTTGATCAGCGCCCCATGCGCTTTTGACGTTTTGTGCGAGACCCGTTGTATCCACCGACAATACCAGTATGTATTCGCCACAGCAGTTTGACCGCTATCATTTAAGTCAACAAAGCGGTTCGCCTGTCATGATCGTGGACGGCGCGGGATACTTGGCGGCTTCCTTCGGAAACGAGATCACCTCGGCTGCTAGCCAAACAGTTGAGTGACTCTCGTCCGTCTCACCGTTCGACCCCATTTCTACCAGCACTCAACAATACCACCGTAACATTGTATTTCGAGGAGAGTCTACTAGCTGTCCGAGCGGGTTTTGGCGGGCTGGAATTTATGCTGTGCGCATTTGGTGCATCTCGACAACTGCGCTAGAAGCCACTGGATTGAGCGAGAAGGGGCAGCATGAGCGCTCCGATGAGCGGGAGTATGGTGGCGACTTCAGCCAGGACCTGCGTAACGGTGAGAACAGTTCATTCGTGACGGGCTTGGCGGAATTCGATGGTCAGTGCCCGACCTCCACCGTTCGCAAGTCCGTTTCCTACCGGAACGACAAGTACAGCAAGCCCGAACCTAACGCGGCGTATGTCGCTGCTCAAGAAGCGTATCGAGGCAATGTTGAAGCGGCAATGTGCAGGAAAAGCTACTACGGCGTACTATCAAAGTACTATCCACTGTCCATCGTTGGGGACAAGGTCCGTTTCCTCACAAGCCGTGTCATTACGACCGACTCGTGGAGTTCGAGAGTTGCTCGGGAAGACTGTTGTTCGGCGACAGCTACCTCGACCGGTTCTTCGCACGGAAACTAACCCACGCAGACACAGCTTTCCTCACTACTTAAGTACTTCAAAGACTTCAAAGACTCGGAAAAGCCCCTCAAGTGGTCCGAGTGTCTGCCAACCGGAAATGTTGCTTGATTCAAAACAAAGTTTGTACGTTGCTTAATCCATGTGTTGACCACATGGGTCTCTTCACGTTGTGTTGCTGGTAAACTATACGCTATACACTATACTTTTCGGTCATGTATACTTTATTTTGCGATCTTTCAAAAAGCATGGAGCAGCGCTGGGGATTCCTCGCCACGTGGTGTTCGGCTCTCCGCGGCCGGATCCTGTACAAGAAAGTGGAGCGCGCGGACGAAGCGTAGGTCGAGCACAAATTCCGCCTGGAGGTGGAGCTGCCCAAGCGCTACGAGAGCAGCAGCTACAGACAAGGATTCGTACTTAACGAGGATGATGAGGCCGAGTTCAGGCTGAAGGTGCAGGAGACGCGCGAGGCACTGGCGTTGCTGGCTGCAGTGGCGCTCGTAGACCCAGACGGCTGGAAATACCTGCTGAGAGTGAAATGTTACGTGAAAATGGGCAAGAAAGGCGAGGAAAAGTACGAAAAGGAGGTCCCAGTCCAGTTTGCGTTGAAATTTGACCTCAACGAGAACAAGAAGACAAAGGACGACGAGTCGTTGGGCCTGGACTCCCTGTTGTTCTTCGATACCAGCCATCGTACCAAACCTAGTAAGGAATATCTGAGGGCGCTGGCCAAAATCGCCAAGATGGACGAGAGCTTGAAGCCAAGACAACCTGGAGCGGACATCGAGATTCCCGTGCTGTTGCACTACACGCAGCAACATGAGGCCAAGAAGGAAGCGGCCAAGTTGGAGAATATCGCAAGGGCGGAAAAGGTAATTTTCGAGCGATGGAGCAGTCTGGAGCAGGAACCTTTAAAGGCAAAGTCGCTGCGATGCACATTTGTATTGCAACCGATGATTGCTTTTTTCGAGTACGGGGGTTTTGACGCCAAGACCGTGAAGACGACGCAAGCGCTGCTGGCCGATAACGTGTGGTTCTCGCAAATGAGTTTACGGCTCGATCGCGCAGACGATGCGGCTGCGATGAAGAGGTTGGCTCAACTCATGACGCGCGTGTTCAAGGGAGCTCCGAGTTCTGGCACAGTGAGGAACCCCACGTATGATATTGAGATTGCAGCGTCTGACGGAGAATTTCGCCCAAACCAGTTGCAGATCCTGAATCTTCTGTGTGAGAACGAGATGGGTGAGTGGGAGTTTGCGTCTGTCTTATCTTCTGTCGCTCTCAATGAGACAACGAAGAATCTTTGGATACAGTTCTACAGCAATGAGAAAATCGGTCTTGGCACATGGAAGTGGCTCGCATACAGCATTTTCTCGAAACGCGCACGCGGCGTGGAATCTCTTACGATCATGGATATTGACACCATGAGTGTAGCTGAAGTCGAAGCGTTTTCGTCGGTACTGCTGTCCGACCACCCTGAAGAAATCGTTGCTGATTTCTCCGGCGACCATGGTGTCGAGAGGAAGGCTACGTTGAAGAGTGGAGCTCAGGTCCGGTGGGACATGGACGAAGAAGGCCAAATGCGCAAAGGTTCTCGACCGCTGACGCTTCCCTTTGAGATGCACGGTGTCTGCACTTTTGCGGATGATGGTCAAACGGAATGGGTGATCGTAGTAATCCCGGGATTTGGGTACTGTCAAGTCCGGCGGAGTGATTTAGTGTTCTACGAAGAATCGGAGTTGCACAGTCCTGCGAGCAAGCTTACATCGCTTACGATATGCTTCGACAAATTCAAAGACGAACGCGAAGAAGCTGGGAATGGTGATGGCGCCAACGAGCGTGATGGCGGGGAGGAGGAAGGTGCTATTGCAGCTGAAGGCGAGAATGGCGAGGCTGATCCTACCGAGGCGCCATCTCCGACGGAAGGTCTTGCTCATTTCCTAGAGAGGGTTGGCTCTTCTTTGAAGGTTTTGGCGCTGGATGGCCCCAGGGGTGAGATCGATGAGAATCTGATTCTTCAACATTACCCCAACTTGGAGAAACTATCCCTCTGTGGAGGCTTGGTAGACGTGCAGCTGTGCTTTAGTTGGTATCGAGCTCGAAACCAACCAGTTCCGCAGCTCAACTGTCACTGGCACGATGTTTCGCCTCTCTCGGCAGATCTTAGTGACCCAGCCAGCCCCTTCACTTGTGCGTACGCCAGCTGCGTGTGCGGCTTAAAGATGACTGGGAAAGCTGGAAAATTACTCAGAACTCTTACAACCCGCCCGAGTTCCAATCAAATGCGAAGGAACTGCTGAAGATGCTCGAGAAAAACGAGCGCTTGGAATACTTGGAGGTGATCGGCCCTATTGAGCACGAAGACTACGCTGAAAAGTTTAGTGAGTACCACCTCCGGCCAGTTAAGCGATCTCTCCCGCAATTCCGCTTGCGCATGATGGGGTTTCTGAGCGTAATTTCATCGCTTCGCGGGCCAAGTCAGGAGAAAAAAAAGCGCAAGGGGACAGCTTAAGGGACCTGACAAGCTCTCTGCATGTTTTGACTCATATGTTCGAGTTTGCAGCTGATCGTGTACTTCGGCAGGTGTATTTCCACTCCCAGGACGGCTCTAGTTGGGATTCGGAAGACGAGGATTTCTTGATTGTGTAGGCGATATGCTGAAAGAACACAGCCAAATGCTCCTGTCGCAACGCAATATACTTCGTAGTTAAAGCATGTGTTTGGTGCTGTCCGTATCTGGATAAGTTGGACGAGGGGATCAAGCGCGTTTTCATTCACAACATTTTGTTCGCTCGGAAAGGAACCAGAAAACTCATTTCCGAATTAGCAAGAGCCCGGCAGCAACTCAGTCACCACTGTACGTGTTTGTTGTTAGTTCACGCCGAGATTAGTGGTGACGACATGTCGGTCCGCGGGGAAGCCACCTTCGACATTTTTGCGAGAACGATTTTATCTGCCACACACACTATTTGTATTCGCTACGATGGCCTCAGCACCATGATAAGTGATTCATCTGCATGGTCACGGACGGCACGGGATACTTATCCACTACCTTCTGCAATGATAACATCTCGACCGCTAGGCAAACGGAACAGTTAAATCGATTGCTATCTCAGGAATACATGGCGTTACTACCCACACCACTCCAACAGCTTGTTTTTTTTTATTTTTCATGACAAACAACACTAAAATGAAATGTACTGTGGGAGCTCGGCGGGATTCACATTGGGTGGCTTGTATAAACTGGACTTGAGCCATTTACTCGTAGTCTTCACCGAAGTCTTCATCGTCTGGCATCCCAAGAGGAGCGCCATCCTTGATGAGGAGGGCGTACACTTCTCGGACCGCAAAGACTGAGCAAACGAGAAGATCGTGCAGATCATACTGTGACTCAACTTGCAAATTGCGCGGGCAGCGACGAATTGGGCGTCGAATTCCTGCTTCTTGTTGGTGTTCGTAGGTGCTGAATCCGAGAACACGACGCTGAGAAACGCGATCTTGCGCGCCGTGGGGAATTTGACCACACGATCGATTGGCTCCAAGTGGTGCTTTCTCAAAGCCGGGAGGAAGTGGTGGAACGGGGTCGACAGCGACACTGCTAAAACTTCGATAGTCTTGTTGATGTCCAGCATCTTCAAGTACGCTCTGATCTCGTCTTTGATTCTTGGATCGTACGCAACAGTTCCAAAATCACTTGGATTCAAGCGGTGAGCCAGAACTCGACGGATAGGCCATATTTGAGGATTGCTTGGGTCACTCAAGTCGCCCGTAAGCGCGTTGTAGGTCCACCCATCGAAATTGAACGCTGATAGCGGCTGGTTTTGTTCATGGAGCTCCCGAAAATCGTACACGACGTTGCAGTGGCCTGTCCATAACTCCATTGCCTGCAAATTGGGGCACCGTTGAACAATCAAATTCGCGTCCATTGAGTCCGCCGGGCACACAATCTTCAAAAACGTCAGCTGTGGCCCCATCGATTTTAGAAGTTCCTGAAGACGATCAGGGCGTCGCCACATCATAAATCCGTGGAAGCGAATCGTGAACGCTTTGACTTTGCTCGGAGGTAACTTCTTGCGCGAGTTTTGTTGCGAAAACACCAGGTCACTTCGCTGAACGAAACCACGACCCAGACCTGGAATGAGAACGTTCACCCATTTCGTCCTCCCACTGTCACCGAACGTGCGCACGAAACGAATAGGGGAATCGAACGCCGTTGTCTCCGAGTTTGGTAGCACGTGCCCCTGCGTGTCGAACTGCCATTTGATTGGCACACCTGCGTTCAAAGTCGCTTCCTTCCCAGACGCTTTGCCCGGCTTCACACCAAATAATTCTTCTTCGGGGTGCTTGGAGGTCATAACGGTGGTAAATCCTTCGACCTCCGCCGGAGAGAGCAGTCCAACATCCGTCACTGTAAGGGATTCAATGGACGATCGAACGCTTGCTCGTCTCGAAAAGAATGCGTACGCCACCCACTTCCAGAATTGCACACCCTCGGGCTCTTGATAAACCTTTGACATGATTTGGATCGAAAAGTCCGTGGTCGTCTGGGTGACTGCGATGGCGGAGAACAGCGCTGGCATATCGAGTTCAAACAGCTTGATGTCGCATTCCAGGTGAATCATCCCAAACTGGAACGAGTTTGCCACGTCCGAAACCTTCTTGAACCCAGAATGGTACTTTGTATTCTCGTAAGAACGGCGCCTACTGTCGAAAGCACTTGACATGAGCTGGCAGAACACTTGCCTCGACTCCCCCGGCCGATTTTCCAGTGTGTCGCTCATTGTCAGTCTATCGACACGTCGGAAGCACGGACATTTGCGCGCGCCAACGTCTCCATCGCCTCCGCAGAATTGTGCAGCCACTAAAGTCAACAATCATCGGCTCCAGCACAAACGTGCAACGTATCAGACCCGCAGTCACTGGTGCCGTCCCCACCTGCTGCTCGTACTCTGCCCACTGCTCCTTGACCATCTTCTCTTCTCTCTGAATCTGAGCGAGCGCTGTCGCCAAGCCCGACTCCGACTTGTTCAAGCAGCTCGAAGCATGGACCTTGACCGGAATAAACCTTCAGCCCCTCTCAGCTGTACCAAGAGGTTATCACCAACAGCTGCAGTCATCACCAAAGCGTTCACATATTCCACACTTGGACTCGTCCTCTGGTGAACTCCGCAGAAGTGGACGAGGTCAAACTCCTCCTCTTTAACGTGCTCTCCCTCCATATCCAGGAAGAGAACGAACGCTGCTGGGAGCTTCCTCTCCATGACTTCTTCCCCCTCGACCCCCAACGTCACACCGCAATAAGTGATGAGTAAATATTTCCAGCCTTTGAGCCACCGCGGCCAGCAACGCGAGGGCCTCCCGGACTCTCTGAAGCTTCAACTGGAAGTTATATTCACTGGGAATTGGGAAAGCATTGTCGTTGCCCGGTTCGTTCTCATCCCCTCCCTCTTCAGTAGCTTCAGTGCGACAGGGGAGAGTGACTTGGAGGTAGCGCTTGACGGTGTCGATGTAGTTCTCTTCGCACTCGAGGGAGCTGTACTCGATGCGGCCCTTGAGAGCGGCGCACCACGGGCCCAGGAAGTCCCAGCGTTGCACCGCTCGAGGCCACGGAACCGTCATCGCTGTCGACTTGAGGCTTGGGGGTCGTATTCACGAATGCCGCTTGTTTATCATGCTGCGTTGAGTATGAGCGCTTCAACCAATGGGCTGAGGCCGACCAGATCAAGCAGTTCATCGCGGCCAAGGGAAATGCGCTGCTCGCTCAAGACGCAAGGAGATGGCAGTGGTGGGTGGCATTCACAATTGAAATGTTCTACATTAGTTTAGGCTAAGAGGAGGATTCATGGACTTGTATTTATCGTTAACAGGGGGCGCCATCAGGTGCGAAGAAGCGACGAACGTCCAGCGATTAAGACTGCGTTCGTGCAGGACTGGGGTCTGGCCCTGCATTTGCTGAAGCTGCGACTACCTGAACGAAAAAAGCTCTGTATCGAGTATGAACAGTGGCTCAAGTAGTTGGTTCGTTGTAGGGAGAGGAATAACAAACACGAGCGTTTTGTGGTCACACCAGCAATTTTGATTTAACGAATCGGAACTTGAATAATTCCTGGTGTGGCTTTGTCCAAAAGAGGACTCGATCACTTACCACGGTTGCTCAAACGTTCCGAACGGGTACTCGCCCGTGCCCAACGTGAACGTGGCGCACAGCGGGTTGACCGCCGTCGTTTCGTGTACACGTCGCAGTTGACGACGTAGTCGCAGTCCTCCGCCACCTTCTTGAGGCCGTGGGTAGTACACGCTCCGGTCGTCCGACGTGAGCGTGAAGTTGACGGTCTGGGTCTGGCCGGGCTCGAGGCTGATCTTGTTGAACTTCTTGAGCTGCTTCACCTCGGGAACATTCAGCGAGCGGTACGGCTGGATGAGGAACAGCACCACCGTCTCCTTGCCGGCCATGCTACCAGAGTTGGTCACGTCAACCGTAGCGACGACCTCCTCCGTCGAAGTCTCCACCACCGAGCGGCTCAGACGAACCTCCGAGTACGTGAAGTCCGTGTAGCTCAGACCAGCGCCGAACTCCCACTGCATGGGGCAGTCGTACGTCTTCTTGTCCGAGCCCTCGCACAGCGTCGTCACGGGGCGGTTGTACGGCATCTCGATGTTGGCGGTACGTGGTGGGCATACGGCCGCTCGGGTTCACCTTGCCGTAGATCGGACACCGCCTGGCCGCCAAGCTCACAAGCCAGAATACCGTTCAACACCGCGTAGACGTTTCTCCGGGATCTCGCCAAGCAGACGCGGGCGGCCTTCGAACAGCACCACGATCACGTTGGTGCCCGTGGACGCCAGCTCCTTGATGTACTCGACTTGGCCCTCCGGAAGCGCCTGGTCGTTGATGTTGCCGGGTTTCTCGGCGTACGTCTCCTCGCCGATAACAACGATGGTGTACTCGGCCTTGCTGGTCATCTCCTTGGCCGTGGCCAGGTCCGCCTCCGAGTACGTTCGTTCGGGTACTGGCCGTTGAAGTAGCTGAAGCTGTTGTTGCCCACAATTTGCTCAATACCGGACTTTACCGGGACTCCGTGAGTCAACAGGTCATCGTGGGCGTGGTATCCCTGCGCCACATTGGCGACCGATGTGATAGGCGACGTCGATTGTAGCGACGTAACAACGACGTTGCATGACAGTGTGAGCAGCAAATTAGCGGACGAAATAGTGTTAGGGATGCAGACCCTAAAATACTTCCTCCTAATCAAGCTAATCTGGTCTGGACATCTTTGCCGGTTTTCACAATAGCATGTTATTAAAAGTCGTCGCCGCACGTGGAAAGTGTCCTAAGTATTTTGGAGAGCTCAGATGCCTGTAGGTATCAATTAAGGGCTCAGTTTGGTTTTAAAAATTAAGGCGTGCATCATTGGCGGTGTAGCCATTCCACACAAGTCGGTCAAAAACGATGGTCTCGTGGAGTTCGAGAGTTGCCTGGGAGGTCTAGCCGCCTCCCTTTTCGGCAACAGCTACCACGATCGCTTCTACCGTCCAATGTTAAACCACGCAGACACAGCGTTTCTCACTCATGACGGTGTCTTCCGAGACTCGCAAAAGCCCTTCAAGTGGTTCGAGTGTCTGCTCCAAGCAATGGTTTCGACCACTGTTACGTGGTAGCAGCTACCACTGGTAGCTTGACTAGACTAGAATATACCAATTGTGACTAGGCCCATTTTTTTCGCAGTCTTACGACATACGGAAATCGTGATTTTTTTATTCGAAGTAATTCATTAGATTTTGGCTACTTCCGGTCGAAAACAAATATTTTGTCGCAGGTCACCCATACACACGAGCTAGCACGGATCACGGCCGATAGCGGCGCTGAAAACGAGCGATGACCCAGGAGGCGGAGGCGGATATCATCGCCGAACCGAAACACGCGTTCAATGAAGGTAAGGGATTCGACTTGATCTTCTCCAAGTCTTCGGCGGCTCCAAAAATGCACGAGCATGATGAGAAGTCCTTCAGGTCGCAGAGCACTGTCACTCTGTCAGGTGCGCAACTAACGTTCGCCACTTCGCCAGTTTTGTTTTGGCGGAGATCGACAACTACGTATTCTGTCACCTCAAGTGCAGCATATCGACCACCAGGAACAAACTGAGGCTCATGACCACTGTTTTTGCTGCCATTCACATGCACTAAAATCCCCACTGAGATAAAAGACAAAGGTATCTTCGTCACTTTCCGACCGAGTTGACGGAGGGAACACATGAGGTAGCTCGGGGCAAACTAAACAATTACGCCGCGTGAATCGAACGAAACCTTCCAGGAGCAGACGCTGAAATGTTCTTGCCGTGGGGAATTTCAGCTCGGACGCCGACATGTTGCCAATGACGCTTCTGATGAGACCATGGAGAGATGAAGGATCACGGTAGCTTCGATCCCAAAACTGCCATCGGTAGTAGAATCTACCAGCCAGTGGAGAGGTGAATTCTTCTTTTTCGTCTCGGTCTTCAACGATGATCCCAGAAGTCTTTAAATCGATAATACAATCGCGCTCTTCATCATTCCACTCCACATGTTGACGGTCGGCATCGTTCAGCAAACACTGAACCAGGAAGGTTGAAAGTCTCGGGCTTGGAATAGTGTGCTGAGCTCCAAAACAGCGAAGCAAATGGGACATCATCGTCTCCGAAAAGCAGTGCTGGAGTAGATCTGCCTCCGTGTAGGAGCGCTTCCGGAAATCCATCGCGATGACGTCAATAAGATCCCGCAGGAGAATCATGTGTTCGTTGCTTTCTCGCAGGATAATTTCTTCCAGTATGGATATCGCATTTTAGGTGGTAGCCCATTTTCGAGGGCGAACAGTTCACGCGCTTCTTCATCACCCACTCGAAGGTCTTCTCTCGTGAGCTTGCTCGGAAACTCTCCAAACACTACGGGGCTATCGGGTGATTCAACCTCCAACGCGTGAGTAGCCGAAATAACAAACCACACATTACTCGGGATCCAGACGGCGGTATCCTTGAACAGAGATCGGCAAAACTCCAAATCGTGGTGTACAGGAAGTGGGCATCGTCCAGCAAAAACACAAATTGCTCATCAGCGGATGGATCATCGATATCACCCGGTCGGCGGAACTTGTGCTGAATGACTGGCAGATTACACTCGCGTTCGAGAACGTCGACTCCGTATTCAACGAGCACGTCCTTGGTGTAAGTAGCGTGCACTGCCACCGGCATGAATGAGATCTCGGTCCTGCGAATTTCCGGATAGCGGTCCTGGAACAGGATCAGCAGCGACGTCTTCCCGGAGCCTGAGGGACTCAAGATGAAGGAAAACGGGTCGCTTTGGACCGCGTTGTAGAGCCACTCGACGAGTCGGATACGTGGCAGACGAGGGGAATGCGGAGCGAGCCCCATAGGATATGGACGCACTACGACCTTCTCGGCGGATGGGTCTTCTGGAAGTAGCGGCCGCCATGGAATCATGACCAACAGGTGAATATAACGCGGAAACGGCGGGAAGGGCAACTGCAGCTCTTTCAACCATTCCTCGAATGTTGAGGTCGAATTCATCGGCTCCCCATTGATCAGCTGTTGAATGTCGTCGTGGATCCGTCCTTCGCTTAATTCAAGCGCGGCCTCCTCGTCATCGCGTAAGAACCCAGAGCCCTTTCTGGCGGGAAATATTTTCAGCTCGCTGGGCTCACACCAGACCTTGTGCGCACTTTTCTTCTTGATCGCCTCTTGCAGAACGCTCCTGGTTGCGCTCAGGTCGACGGTGATGAGGGACGCACCGGACTGGAAGTCCGGGAACCCGCAAAACAGCCGCACCTTGTTCTCCATTCCGGCTTACATTTCACAATGCCACCATGCTAAGCAATGTCACTTCCCGTCGGAGGTGTACTAGTCACCATCAATCCTATTCAGTCTTTTACTTTTATTGTTTTTTTAATAATAATGAATAATTATGCCACATTTTTGTATAAGTTTTCTGATGTGGTCCACTTTTCTAGCTACCTTCCGCGAATCAGAGCACTTCAACCAGGAGGTTATGACCTCGCGCTGGACGTTCCTGCGGCCGTGGCTGTCCCAGCTCACGATGAAGTACAAGGAGATGGACCTGGACTACGACGCGCGCGGACCCCCGCAGCGCATGATCAAGGTGTACCTCAGACGGGCAGGCAACGTCCCCGAGGCGGCGTTCCAAGTGAAATGCAGCGAGCCTGTGAGGCCTTAGCCCTGCTAGCCGCCGTGGAGCGTTTAGGCCACGAACTGTGGAGATATTTCCTCACTGAGTGGTGCGGGCTGTTCCTCGGAAAGGAGGGAGAAGAAATGCTGGAAGAGAAGATTCCCGTTCGGTTTCTTCAGATGGGGGTTATGATCTAGTGAAATTTTGTGGGACGGGGCCCCAGTGATGAGTATTTGGAGGCGATGAGGAAGATTGCGGCGATGGATCGGTCCCTGAAAGATGGCAGACCTGGTTTGGACATTGAGATTCCAGTGATGCTTTGCTTTCACGCTCGGGAGGAGAAAACGATGCTGCACCTGGAGAATGCTGCGAAGGCTGAGAGAATTATCCAGGAGCAATGGGAGCTGTACTACGATTCACATGGAGGGGAGCAGCCAGTGGAGTCCAAGATGCTTCGATGCACTTTTGTGCTGGAGCCGATGATTGCGGATCTATATGAGAATGGCCAAACTAAAGAGATGGCTGAGACTGTGGGGAAGTTGCTGGATGGGAATGTCTGGTTCTCGCAGGTGAAGCTGCCCTTGCGCTGGATGCGAGGCATTGAGAATGATGCAAGTGGGGCGAGCGCGGGTATCCAATCGCTGATTCCACGTGTGTTTGGCAGTACACGGCGCTCACTGAAGCAAGCCAACTCGCGGTATCGGCCATGTTTCAAGCAACAAAACTCAGCTGGAGGATTCACTCAGATTGGAGAGATCGAAATCTCGTGTGATTCATCTACGACTGAGGCTAGCGCGTTCGAGCAGGCGTGCTCGGCGCTGTTAGCTTGCCAGACAACTCGAAATCTGTCGATGTATGTGTATATCGGCTCGTCGTTCCGCCTCAACTTCGGCCCCTGCACAACATCAAGACTCGGCCGAAGATAGTGGTTACATTTGGCGGCTCGTGTACACTTGGATAAACTATAGTTGGATATTCGTCCCCCAGTAACTTCGTCCCGAAGCTGGGATTGGCTGAAAAAGAAAATAGGAAGGGACTGACCACAGCAAGGAAGAGGAGGCGGCTCACACAGTGGGGACACTCGCGGGCTCGGTGGAGTTCGCAGACTCGGTGGCGCTTGAGGAGATGGTGGGTGGCTTTATAGTTGGTGTGCTCGTGGACTCGTGGCGCTCATGTTCTTGTTGGTGCTCGCAGACTCGCTGGTGGTGCTCATATAGCTGGTGATGCGTTCGGAGCTGGAGTTTTTGCGGGGCTCGCGGACGTGGTGGTGCTCGTGCAGTTAGTGACGCTCTTGGACTCGGTGGCGCTCGCGGACGTTACTCAGTGGTGCCCGTGGTGATCTCGAAGCTCGCTCGCGGTGTACACAGAGCTGGAGGGGCTCATGTAGATGGTTGTGGGTGTGATCTCGGTGGTGCTCGCGAACTCGTCGGTGCTCTCGGACTCTCGGAGATCGAGGTACACTCGGAGCTGGTGGGCTCATGTAGCTGGTGGTTGCCGTGGGCTCGGTCGTGCTCGCGGACTTGTTGGTGCTCACGGGGCGTGCGATGTTCTTGGAGCTTGTGGTGCTCGTGGCCTCAGTGGTGCTCGTGTAGCTCATGTCGCACTCGGAGCTCGTGCTGCCCTCCCAGCTCATGGCGCACTTGGAGCTCGTACTGCTCTCCCAGCTCATGGCGCACTTGGAGCTCGTGCTGCTCTCACAGCTCATGGCGCACTTGGAGCTCGTACTGCTCCTGGAGATTGGGCTGCTGTCAGACCTCGTGGGGCACTCCGAGCTCGTGCTGCTCTCGGAATTAGTCTGTGGTGCTCGCGGATGCAGCGTTGTTTTCGGAGCTCGTGGTGCACTCCGATCTGGCGGTGCTCATGTCGTTGGAGCTGGTGGTGCTCTGGTGCATCGAAGGTGGCATGACGTGTATTCAAGTTACATATGCATTGTGTAATCCCAACTTGACCAAGAGGCCTCCAACTATCTCACTCATGCTGCTAAGAACCGGATACGCGGTAGTGAGCGAAACGCCGCCCGCTGCTGATCAGTTAGCTCACCCCAGGCTTTGACTATACCGGTAAGTTTTCCAGAGCGACGGTGCTGGCGCTGTGTTCCTTCTTTTGCATCAGCAGCTTTGGTAAAGCCATTGACTAACACTGTTTCGCCCTGACTTGCCATGTTTTTCATTGCAGATACCCATTGAACCCTGTCCACCTCTCGCGATAATGCAGGAACTGGTGGGATGCTGGCTAAGTCGGCAACGTAGGCAACGATTTTAACAGCTCGAAGGCAATCCTTCTGCCCGCGATTTCCTCGTTCCTTTGGAATAGAATCCAGGCCTTCTGTGTAGAACTGGACGAGAACATCGGAGAGATGCCTACCCTTCAGCTTCGTCAAGCTAGTGGGCCACGCCTTACCAAGCTGAGGGGATCGCAACGAGAGCCCGCCAGAAACTTCAGCATCTGGACTACCTTCCGTCGCATTGGTGGAGGAAGCGTTGCCTTCTGGTTGACGATCAAGCCGTCGAAGCACAAGATGTAGCATGCTCCTGGGCTCCTCATTGGAGGTCACCAGCTGCTGGTGTCCTATGAGTAGCCGTTCCAGCGTTTCGGCAAAGGTATGGAATCCAACAAACTGCTCTGCTTGCTCCTGGATTGTAAGGCTGTCTCTAACATGTTGTATCGGAAGTGAAAGGATGTTGTCGGTGACAAAGCGTTTGCGAATCTTGCTTCCCCAGTCAAGCAGCTCATCCTGACATTCAAGCTGCGAGTGCAGAGTGGAATGTACCCGCTCCAGTTCTTGGTGGACGATGTGTTGCGGTGCGACAGCAAGTGTGTCGCGGTAGTACATCAGCAGAGTCGCGGTAAGACAGTCCGCGAAACCTTTCGGTGCGATCTTGGAGAAGTGAAGCAACCGTAGTGCTTGAGCAAATGTACTGACCCTTGTGAATGTCTGATGTGATTCTTTTTCGAAACAGGCGAGCGTAGGCGGGTGACCAGCCTGCTTTGTGTCCACCCACCCTCCGAGCACCTTTGCAACGTTCTGGTCGCTAGCCGTCGTCGGCAATATGTATTCGAGTAAGATAGCAAATCCATCCATGGACCAGAGCCCCCGGTGGGCCAAATCAGCCAGGTTGACGCTAGCGTTGGAGCTTGCATGCGCTGCGCCACCTCGACGCGCTGAGTGTGACTGTAGGCTTTGCGTCAGCTCTCGCTTTGTGTCGTACTGATACACCGATTCTAACACTCGATTAATGTATGCAGCCACACGCTCGTCTGTTGTAGCTTCAGTCACTTGCGAGAACACACGCGGCGAGGCATTGTATGGGTCAGCAACCAGCTGAGAAGCCAACGTGTGAAAGGGATCGATGCTCCAGCAAATCGGAGAGCAAAAAATTGAGATAGTCTGTTGCTGCTGCACCTTGATGCTATTGAAGCAGCACACAGGTCAATTACTTATTACAATGCTAAAGCCAAAGTATATGCACGTACCGTGTCAGAGCACTGAGAAGAAAACTACCATGCCAGTGCAAGTCCGTAAAGTGTAGCATTCTTACGTCGGAGCTACGACCAACTGCAAGCCACTGGTTGTTACGAAGAGTGCGGTCGAGTAGCGCCTTCTTATCGTCTTTGAGAAATAGTATGGTTGATATTGAGCGAAGATCATCAATTGTCATGGGTGGAGCTTGGTTCTTCAGCTTTTGGCCTTCCGAGATGGCAAGCATGAGATATTGCTTTTGCAAATGGCGTCGGCAACGCCGATACCACTCGGGGTCACTGCTGAACAGGTCCGTTCCCGTTTTCTCCTCCAGTTGTCTCTTGATAGAGCTCAGATAGTTCATCGATGTTTGCCGGTGGATGTCAGGATCATTGAACAGAAAGGTAAGGAGCTTACCAAGCATTTCCTTAGTGACCTGTGCTGCCCTCAGCGTCTCCATAGTCAGGTTGGTGTCTACGTGTTTTTTCAAGAAGGTGTTGAATTTCGCACGGGCTGAAGAATCTTGTTTTCTAGAAGAAGGCCCCAACTCGCTCTCCATCAAGTCCACGATGGCTTCGACATCTGCCCCACGCTCCATTGTCGGCGTGGTGCTGCGAGCAGTTTTATCAAACGCCCTTTCATATGTTACTAGAATGGTGCTCTAATGTTGCTCGAACTTTACACTTATCTTCGGCGACGACGTTAACCAAATACACTACTGTAGCAGATATGGATGTATTTTCCGCTCTGGTAATGTCTGGCCACCCCGAAGAAAAACTGTTTGCTACCCCGCGTGGCAAGGTCGACGAGAAGCCACACTTAGAGCCGACTCCCGGATTCGATGGCTGAAACCCAAGCATGGCAAGGCAGATCGCAATTCGGAAGAGCTGGCGTTTTCGTATGCTATCCATCACCTTCGGACTTTCAGTGACGATGGAGAGAGCAAGTGGGTCAACGCGGTGATTCCTGGTTGGGGCTGGTGCAGAGTTCCGCGATCCTGTCTGGAGTTTGGTGATCGGCAGACGAGTTGCAGTGCCTCTGGTAACGTGACTTCGCTCACTCTCCATTTGGTCTTGAATGGGGTTGGCAACCCAGAGTGGCTGCACCGCTTTCTATCGGTGGTGGGAGGTCCGATAAAGTATTTGAAGCTGGATGTATCTTGCCTTAAGGTGGATGTGATCGCAATTCTCCAGCGGTGCCCCAACTTGTGTAAGCTTTCGGTTCAAGGCCGAGCTATTGACGTGGAACTCGACTTCGGCTACTTTCGTCAGGCTAACGAACCGGTTCCTTCGATGAAGTTATACGGGCTTAACGTGGAAACACTCGCTTACACGTTGAGCGACAACAGCAACGCGCTGGCAAGGTGCTTGTACAAGTTGCGCCTCCATGGGCTAGGCCACACCATCAGCTTTACAACGCAGCGCTGGGACAAACGCTTCAAGGCGCTTGGGCGTATGCTGGCCCAGAACGAAACCTTGGAGCGACTCACCATCAATGGGCCACCCGGATGGCCCAACCTCGCTGCACTCAGGAAGCACCACCTGATGCCGATTGGAAGGTCCCAGCAGTTGCCGATCCAATGCCGACTCGCCTTTTTGAGCGCTTTGTCGTCTCGCCAGAAGTCACTCAAACGAGCACGCGGAAGTGGAGGAGGGGCTCATAAAAACTTGGACCAGTACGTTCTATCTAGGATCTTCGCGTATGCAGAGCCCCCCGTTCTTCGTCAGGTTTTCGCGCAAACCTTTCGAGCTGGGAGTGTTCACTGGATGTAGTGGGTCTCAACGGGAGATTCTCAAAAGCTGGCTTTCTGCTTGAAGAAGAAGAAGGACAAGTCGCAGGGAGTTGAGGGATTGCTGTAAGGGTGGAAATGTTTTCGCCAAGTCAAGACAGCTTAATTTGAAGAACTTTTGGTGGTCATTTGTAGCACGACTCGCCCCAGGAGTGAAGGATGTTGAAGTTGTCGAGCGTTTGATTGGCTAAAAACGACGTAAAAGTATCCTCAATCCCCGCCATTGGTCAAAAAGCCTCCACTAAATTTGGCGCCAAAAAATAGATTCACCATTTTGCGTGCCATTGCCACTATGGCTCGCGCTAGCAACAGCAACAGCGCGCTGCTGGAGCAGCGGTGGGGCTTCCTGCTGCCGTGGCTGGAGCTGCTCGACCGCCGCATCAAGTACAAGCAGGTGGCGCTCGAGGAGGAGGTCTGGGACGCCGAGAGGCGCGTGCTGGAGGTCACGCTGCCGGCCAAGAACTCGGACAAGTACGAGCGGTACACTCAGGGCGAGTTCAACTACGAGCTGCGAGAGGTCCGGGAGGCGCTGGCATTGCTGGCTGCTGTGGCCCACATAGCCCAAAACGCGTGGAAGGTTGTCTTGAGCAAAGTATGGGGACTGAAGCTGGGCAACAAAGGCTCGGAGGAGCTCGAACAGGAGATTTCACCCCGATACGTGCTCCTTTTCGACCACTTGGCGGGCGTAGTGCCCGGTGGCCACGAGGACTCGCGGCTGACAGATCTGGTCTTCTTTTGCGGCACCAGTCAAGTGGAAGACCCGTCTCCAGAGTTCCAGACGGCGCTGAGCTTACTCGCTGCCACAGCTGGCAAGAAGTTGCTGCCGAGAGATAAACCGGGCTTGGATATCAAGATCCCGGTGCAAGTGTCTTTTGGCGGCAACGGTTTCCTGGCTGGGAGGCAGTTGCCGCTGATCGCCAACGCGGAGAGAATCGTCAAGGAGCAGTGGGAGAAGTACGAGCAGAGTTCGAGACTGCAACCGGTTCCGAGTGGGAGAGTTCGTTGCACTTTTGAGCTGCTGCCGATGGTTGCAGAGTGGACGGATATGATGGGGTACTCGTCGTTTGCGCCCAAGTTCCATAAGTTGGTGCAGGATAACGTGTGGTTCTCGCAACTTACGCTGTCAGGAGAGAGCGCAGAATTTCTCATTGGAGATGCGTGTCGAGCACGAGATGAATTCAGACAACTCATGGCTGCCGCTTTTGACAGTACTCGGCGCAGTCCGGCGCGCTCGACCTCCCGCTACTATTTCGATCGCGGCGAATATATTCGAGATGGAAGCCCGTTGCAGGTTAATCGAGTGGACTTGAAGACGTACACGAGTATGAGGACTGAAGACCTGGGGGCGATGATGTCTGCTGTTGTGATCAATCAGACGACCAAGAAGATTACGATGCGGGCGGAAAAGAGGACAATTTCAGGTGAAGACAAGTGGATGTGGCTAGCCTACGGACTCTTTTCCAAACGGGCACGTGCGTTCTCGGCGCTGGAGGTATTTTATCTCAACCAGATCGACTCATTGGATGCAAGTGAAGTGAAGGCGCTGTCAGATGTGATGCACTCGGATCACCCTGAGGAAGTTTTGTGCGGCACTCCTCCCGGTGTGGTTGAGGATCGAAATGCTACATTGAACATATTCGGTGGAAATTTGCTGATGGCCAGCCCGTTTTGGAGGCGAAAACCAAAATTACTGACTCCGTCGTCCGAGGCGTTCGCACTTTCAGTGATGATGGAGAGAGCGAGTGGGTGAATGCGATGGTTCCGGGCTTGGGCAGATGCCAAGTCCAGCGCGATGATCTAATTTTTGATCTGGCCAGTGCCATCCCCACACGCACTGGTTGCGTTAAAGTCACTGACGATCGGGTTCAACAACGAAGAGCACACGTATCCTATTACGGACGGCCTCCCGGATTTTCTAGCTGTAGTTGGTTCTACCTTGAAGGAATTAACGCTAGATGGGCCAAGAGACCACATCGACGAGAACCTGATTTTACGGCATTGCCCCAGCCTCCATACCCTCTCGCTTTGTGGAGGCATCGTAGACGTTCAGCTGGACTTGATCGAGCACCGCTACAACAACGAGCCGATCCCCGAGTTGAAATGCCACTGGCACGATATCTAAGCGCTTGCTGCAGATCTGAGCGACCCCGAAAATCCGCTGTCCAAGGTTGTTCGTCGACTGCGAATCCGTCTAGTCGACCGATGCGACGACTGGAGGCGGGTTGCTGGTGGCTATGCTTTCGATAAAATCCTGGACGATATGAAGGCCATGACGCGCATGCTAACCGTGAACCGGCACCTGGCGTACCTCAACGTGCTCTTCCTGGCGGGCTACCGCAAACATGGTAGTGCACTGAAGAAGCAGCATCTGAAGCCGATCGATCTGCCTGCGAAGCTTCCTCGAGATATTAAACTCGCGTTTCTAAGCGTGGTGTCGGCCAGAGTAGCACCGACGGAAGCGGATAGAAACAAGCGAGTGCGTCGGGCATCGATAAACGACACTGTGGCTGGTGGGCTGGATCAACGGGTGGTCTCTCGGATCTTTAGTTTTGCTGGTCCCGCGCTTCTTCGTCGCGTGTACCTTCAAACGACTCAGCACTACTGGGAGCCCTATGACGAGTGGTGAAAACATGTTTTCCTACCCGGACGGAGGTTAGCGTATTTTTAAGCTTCAATACAGTGTGCGGGCTCTGGGACAGCCAACAGTCTCTGGAAAATTACCGCGGAGTTCGAGCGTGCTGTTTCTATTCATTCAACCATCAAACTCATGTTTCACGAGTTCCTGGAAATCCTCAGACATCCATACCTATCAAGCAGTCTATCTACTTCGACTTGCGTGGGTAGCAACACAAAGAAATTCACGTGGAAACATGCAGGCTTCAACCCACTGCACATGGCCATCTCGAGCTCAAGTCATCTGTAGCAAATGTCGACCGGGAAGTTGTGGCTCGTTACCGCACGTAGCATTTCTGATCGATGAATACCTGATGGATGACGTAGCTCCTTCACTACTCCAAGAAGCGTGCGAACACGGAGCTCCGCAATACATTCTCGAGTTTCTCCTTAGACGAATGACACCTAACTGGGCCGCTGTCGTGGGGGCCGCTACCAGAGGGGGGCATTTGCACGTTTTCGAGTGGATGACTGGACGCCGAGACGGCCGTGGACCATGGGGGCCTGACTTTCGAAGGTGCCTGGAATACGCGGCTGGGCTTGGTCACCTTGAGCTCGTGAAATGGCTACACAATCGAGACACGCCAGCCAACGATAGCTCGGTCTTTCATAACGCTGCTCGCAATAACGCCTCGCCGTCGTACAATGGCTATGCGGACATACCGAGATCACTTGCCATGTAGAAGCAATAGATTGCGTTATGGAACGCGGGCACTTCGAGATGGTGCGATGCGGACATACCGAGATCACTTGCCATGTAGGAGCAATAGATTGCGTTATGGAACGCGGGCACTTCGAGATGGTGCGATGGTTGTATGACAATGTTGAAATGGCTCGTATGGAATGCGCGATGAGGAGTGCGGCGCGGCACGGGCAACTCGAAATCCTGCAGTGGCTTCATCAACGCACTAATTGCGCTGAAGTATGTACAACAAGTGTGATGGACGCAGCGCTTGTTGGAGGTCACCTGAATGTGGCGAAGTGGCTATTGGGACACTGTAGTAAGGGCTGCTCTGCCTATGGTCTTCAATATGCTGCGCAATATGGATATTTACCTCTCCTGCAATGGGCGGATATACACTTTAGCGACCAGTTTGACTCAAGTGTAATGGATGAGGCGGCCTGTGGGGGTCAACTCGAAGTCGTCAAGTGGCTACATGACCATCGCTCCGACGGATGCACTACAAGGGCGATGGATACAGCGGCGGGGCATGGCCACATGGACGTTGTCAAGTGGCTGCATGCTAACCGAACAGAAGGTTGTTCCCAAAAAGCAATGGATTGGGCCCTGGAGTTGTGTCAGCTGGATGCAGTAAAATGGCTACATGAGAACAAATCTCTACCGTTCTTTCGTTCAGCTATGTATTTTGCAGCTCGGGGAGGTACTTTGGTGGAGATGATGAGGTGGTTGAATGAGAATGGAGCCGAGGTTGATAGCAGGAGTCTGGTTGTCGCTGCTATGGGCAACAAGCTGGATATTGTGCACTACCTTGAGGGGGATAGAAGAATGGAAGGCTCCGGATGGGGTGTAGCCGCTGCTGCTGAAAAAGGGCGTATGTGCATGCTCCTTGTGACGGTAGAAAACTACTACCGCGACGGAGTAAATGCTCGGTGCGCGATCTCGGAATCCTTCAGAGATATGTTGAGACAGCTATCGGATCATAACGCATCCCCAGCTTCTACGTCGTGGCACGAAGCATTGAGGTGGGTGGATATTTTCCGCAAAAAGGGGTTTTATTCGTGCACTTGCGCGATGCTGAGCCAAGCCTTAGAACGAGGATATGCCGCGATGGTGCGTCAATTTTTCAAGCTACGAACCGAGCAAGAAAAATGAAGATATGTTGAAATTGCTGCCCAAATGTTTGATGTGGTTCTCCAGAGATGGCTCATTGAGAATGGCACATCGTTGGATACTTGTACCGCATTGAAACTTGCAACAGATCGTTTTACGAAAAATACATCGAGTCGCTGGGGTGGCTATCGGAACACGACCGTGTTGCTCTCATCTGCAAAGAGCCCGAATACTTTCAATCTGATTTGCTGCTCTGGATGCTGGACAATACCGCTTTCGAAGACGAAAACTCACGAATTGCTATTCGTGCTGCTATTAATCTCCGAGGTGATGACGCAGTAGAGAGGTTGGCTAAAACGCTTCGCAATCCGAACGTTCGGAGTTGGCTCCTTCCGGTAAAGGAGGAACCAGTGGATGGGGTTGGCGTGCGATCCACCAAAAGGAGACGCTTGAGCTAGATTGAGGTGGAATGGACGCACCATACCGTGTAGCAATGCTACCCATCTTTCCAAAGTTAATCAAGTGTCAGGCTTTGCTCGGCTTCACTACAATACACAATTTACAACCATGTTTTATTCCCAACTAGAATCTAAAAGCGGGTATGAACTACGCCAGCCACAAAAGAAACCACCATTTCCAACAATGTCCATGTGTGGGGCAAATAAATGTAGATTTTGCCACATCAAGGGCGTGGCGTGGCGGCTGCCCCACATCAATACTGCCGACGCGACGAGCCATTGGAGAGATAGCTCATACCAGGTCAGCCAGCACATCTGCTGAGAGAGGCCAGCGGTTCCTTTTGCTGACAGCACCGGGTAGTCTTCGAAAGCGTTCGATAGCCAGCGCCCCATCAGTTTGATCATGAGTCGATCTGCTCCTGCATTAACTAGAGCGGTAGCGCCCCCTATGCGAACAGAATGAGTCGAAAATCTCGCTGGATCGAGGCCCATTCTCGATGCTGCTCTCTTTATCACCGACGACACATCCCTGGCGGTTATTCCTCCGTGTCGCGTTGCCAGTGCTGGGTCCTCAGCTCGGGTTCCCAGGGTCTTCGCTGCTTTGACGATCCAACGGGCTGCTCGAACTGGACAAATAAGTTTGTCCTTCGTTTTGAAATGAAATCGCACGTCTTCCCGACCAAATTGATTGTTTTTGGCCCCTCTGAGAGTGATACCCACCACCACCGCTTTCTTGGGACTCACGACTTCTTCATTGCGGCTATAAAACTGGATTGCTGACAGCTGCAAGATATACGAGTGGACTTTTCTTCCGATAAATAAATACTCAAAACGCCTGAGTAAGAAGAAATACCCCAGAAACAGCCCACCCCACAACAGTTGATCGCGGGGCTGCGTGAGATGGATCTCGCAGAAGATAACACGAAGCATCCTCGCCGATAGGGGCTGCTGCTTCACAACTGGATCAGTGAATCTACGAATTCCGCGCAATAGGATTGCGTGACTGGCGTTAACGCCCGGATCATAGCCGACTGTGTTGCGATGGAACCATCTTACAGCACACAGCTTCCCACAGATCGTCGAGTAGGTATTACCGACGTGATTTCGGTTCATTCCGTACTGCCAGAGGTACACGCCATACGCTCCGAGCTGTTCTGCATTTTGGTCGACCGACGAAGGGACTTAATCGCATCATCTCGCACCAGGCGACCCACTGTCCCCATCCACGTGAGTAGTTCTTTCTTGACGACTGGGCAAGCGCCCCAGCACGCAGTAGCGCGCCCAAAGACGCGAGAGATTGCGACAGTCGGTTGGGATCTGCATCTGTTTCCATCCAAATGACAAGTTAGCAAACTTTCTCGCTGATGAAGGTGACTGCCACACCCTGCTTCCTGCGTCTGCCATTTCGTTATTAATCCCAGGAATATAACCCGCTAAGGTGTAGAATCCATATCTGACTTCACACATCCCGAGAATCCGCAACAGCATTTGCCCGTAGCTGTTGCGACTTGACTTGCGATTGTTCCAAGACACGGCTGAGCTATTATCGATCCAGAACTTGATGTGAGAGTCAAATTTGTCGCTGGGGTCGGCCCACACATGCCCCCACACCAGGGAGGCGAACACCGCACTCATCAATTCACGAACATTGATACAAAATTCGTTGGCACTGTGATCGTTGAAACTACGAATTAATGCCAGCTCTTTGCATCAAATTGGACTTGCAAATACTCTTTTCGAGCAGGAAAGAGTGCACACAAGCCTCGATCACTGGCATCCATGTAGATCTGGATATTAGGTTCGTGTCGACGCGTAAAATGCTGAAGCGGGATTCCGTTCAGTCTACCAATTGCAAGGATCGAATCAAGTCGTCCTTCGCTTGCTCAGAAACAAACCCCAATAGCACCAAACCGAGGGGCTTGCCGCGCTAATGTAGCCACCCTCTGGAAGAACGGATACAAGTGACCACGTGCGAAGACTACCCAACAGCTTTAAAAGCAGCGTCCTCGTTGTTTTAGTTCTGTTCAGCATTGCCACAATGCGGCGATGAGCCTTTTCAACCTTCTCGGGGGGAATCGATACGGTAAGGGCCTCGAGATCCCAATCCAAGCCCAGAGCTCTTCCACACACAAACCACTTTGAGAATTTCTTGTCATTGCACGCCTCCGGTCCTAAAACGGCGATCATGGAGGCTCGTAGAGCTAAATGTGCTTCCGATAGTCGTGAGCCGATGTCCGGCTCAATGGCGATGTGGTCGTCACACCAGGCTTTTGCATTGAAGTTTCCTTGAGCTTCTACTGGTTGTCCAGGCCACTCTGGAGAAGCGTTCGCGTAAAGATGACTTATAGCAGCCCCCGCTACCCAGTATGAGGAGGCCGAGTTTTTCCAACCAAATGGGCAGCAACGGTCGATCACGAGTATGTCCAGCTCTGGAATTGCTCCTGCAAATCTACCAACGTACTGTGCTGCTATCGGAATATTTCGAAATGCTCCGTTGACATCCCCTGTCATCATACGCTGCAGTTTCGGGAATATTTCCGCAACATCAACGATACGATTGGAAATGGCTTCGGCACCATCGTACGAAATGTCGATATCGTCATCAGGAACAGTGTTGTCGTTTACGGAGCTACCTGGTGGGAACGATAAATCGTGGGTAATCCGAGCATCTTCTTCTAGGTCGACCTCCCCTTTCTGAACAGCGCCGAAAGGGCTGCACGTCACTCCTCTAGTAGTGGAAGCAAATCGATATCGAGGATGAGATACCGACTCGAATCCTGCCCGGCGCGGAGATTCTTGATGATAGTATTCAATGCTCGTTTTGCTGACCCGTGGTTTGGAGGAGGTACTGCTTGTGAAGAGAACTCTTTACACCACTTTGGCTGAACACCGTGCATCACGATATTTTTCCACCGCGCCTGGTACTGATAGTCAGCCCACGATGCGTGAGCCGTAGGTATTTCTAGCGCCTTATTGGGACGCGAGTCGAGTAAAGTTTCACCACGAAGCAAACGCACGGAGGCAGGTAGCTGCAGTCCAGTTCGTCGAATCAGCTCGCTATACACTGCCTGCTTATGGCGGTCAAGTAAATACACCATCTTGTTGTTTCGAACTACATGACATGGTGCTGGTTTTGGCGGCTTGAGCCCGTGTTTCATCAATGCAGATACCATTTCTTTCGAGGCCGTTCGACGCCAAGCTCCGCCAACCTCCGACGCACCAACACGGTTTGATCAAATCGAAGCTGTCGTGTCGCCAGGTAATCAGATAAAGAGTGCTCTGCAATTTGAGCTTTGTTCACCACATCCATCTTGTGCTTCACGCTTGGACTATCGTCCTTCGGCAACTCCAAGGGCCTTTCCCTGCAGTACTTCCCTGGAGGACACGGGGGCCTTTCCCAGCCGTTCCGTGCTGGTGGACACAAGGGCCTTTCCCTGTTGGATGACCTCGATAAGGATCGGAGCGAGGGCCTTTCCCAGTCATTCCAACCATTTTTTCCGTTGTATGGCGAGTTGAATGTATCACACGACTTGGCGGGAGCAGACGACGGATCTTCACAACGTGATATGGTTTTTGCAGAATACAAACGATGTATTGGGGCCATATTCAGGTTAGATTGATCTATCACTCCACGTATTTGTGTGTCCACTGTTGGCCGAATTCCTTCGAAGCGCCTGGCCCTCGATGCGCTTCTAGGTACCATCACTGCATGTCAGACGACAATCCTCCATAATTCTTGTCAGTGAAGTCTCGAACAACATCAGGTAAGGCGGCAGGCTTGAAGTGGCAAAGATTGTCAATTATGCACTTGCCATTCTTGCCCCGGCAACCTTGAGCCGACAAAAACCGCAAGCAAATCTGCTTTCCACCCTTGTTTTGGCAACGCCTTGCGTACAGCCAGACGGGTTCCGTGCTGATCGCTGCTTTCCTCGAGTTGAACCGTCATCGCGAATAGCAGGTAACTTTGAGGCTCGGAGCGCATTCGCGACATCTTGACGCAAGATCAACTGGTAGACTCGCACGAAGGACTCGTGTGATGCCGAAAAATGATTTTGGATTGCTGCGGCCTCCGTCCAGTTGTCTTCAGACACGTAGACACGAAACAGTTCAAGACGGTCATCCACCCAAGCCGTTATCTCGGCCAACGCAGACTCTGACGTCGGGAGATGGCTGACTTGTAACTCTCCCAGAAAAGTAGCTGCAGCCGCAAATGCTTTCTGTACCATCGGTTGGTACAACTGGCGAGCCAGGTTGCACAGCACTTCCACAGCGCCTACCAGAGCCGAAAACGTTGCAATTGAGGTCGGTGTTCTTCTTCGAGAAATTACTCATGTCAAATTTGCGAACCTTCGCACGTCTCTCTTGCTCCGTCACACGAGTAAAATGCGCCAAGGACAATCCTCTTGTTCCAAAGTCCCAACCAAACAGCGCGCGCAGGACAGCAGGGTGCGGAAAGAAACCAAACTTTCTCCAATGAATCTGAACGAAATCGAGAAATTGCTGGGGCGTCATTGACGCGTACTTACCGTTAATAAGGGCCACGTGAACTCGTGTCTGGGTTGTCGTAGGCTGAAACTGACCACTCTCCGACGAAGCTGCCGAAGTCCGCGACGGAACCGCGATGTCAGCCCCCGCAATGAGATGAGCTGGTCCAAGTTGTCTTGGAGACGGATATCGCCACTATCTGGTACTTATACTCCATACCCGGGTTCTGCCCGTGTCGGTTGCGCGTGGCCGGCCCGAGTAATACGTCTGCGTTTCTGTGCTGATACGTTTGAGCTTCTTGGCGGTGTCGGCTCGTCACTCGAATCCTCCTCTGACTCGCTAAGACCCACGCTCAGTTCCGCCCCAGTGCCTGCGCCTTCACTATTCGCTTGGGGGCGGGCTGGCACGGCTTGAACTTGGTCGAAAATTGATTCGCCGAATAACACTCCATCTGGGGGCGAGCGGCCACCGTCCTTGTAGTACACATAGTCGAGAATATGGTGAATAGGTAACATACTCACCTCGAAACTAGTAATGTCGAGCGGTGGCAGCAGTTGCGTCTCGTCCAAACGTTTCGCGCCGACTTCTTCAAGAATCGGGGTGGATTCGCGCACTGCGACCTGCCCGACACCGTTGAACTTGTTGCACACTTGCTCGTGTTTTAGCCGAAGCTCTTGTGGCATAATGAGACTGACACTTTTGCCCATACATGGCCGCAACGCGTAAATCTCGACTGCCACATCCAGCACTGCTATTGGCTCATGTGCGATGACTACCACTGTCCCGTTAAAGTTCACATCCAGTGATCCTCGCTGGTCTTCGTCCCATCTGTAGCCGACAACGACGCCGTAGTCCCAGACCCTTGCTCCACGTGCTGGCACTCGAGACGTGCAGATCACGCCTCCAACAAACGTGCCCGCTCCGTCGAGCGCCTCAGTGGCCGTCACGGTTCTCGAGGCTATCTCTTCGTACTGCAGCTCCTTAGTCTCGCCTTGAGCTTCCGTCCACCGCCCACTGCGAACGAGCTTGACCTTGACCTTCCCGCCTCGCTTTGCTGAAGCAGCAACCTTGCCATTGCAAAACCCCACGACCGTGAAGACACCCGGTTTTAGATAGACATACCTGAACGTCCGAGAAGGGGGGGTTCTTCGAGGTTATTGCTGGAGCGAGGAGAATTCGCAAGTGAACTATCATCGACTCTACCTCCTGCTAGATCTAACTATAACTACACTTGCGACATCGGGAAACTCTGGCTTCGTCCTCATCTTCTCCGTGATAAGACTCAGCTCTTGCATCCGCAACCTTCAACCCTTGGATGGATCCAAGCAAACTAGAAATCCGTTTACAAGTCGTGGTATCGGCCTGCTCGCAGAGGGTAGCGATATGCCTTGAAAGAGCTGATAAATGGATTGCGGACAGCTTTGTAAACCGGTAGTAGAGCACTTGGTACATACGCTGATTGCGTAATTGCGCACCAAATTCATTGTCATCGAGTCGCTCGTTCTTTTCGTCGCTGAATTTGTCTCTTTCTTCGCTTTTCAATGGTATTTTTGGTTAGATACTATATGCGGATGCAAATTTGCATTCCTCGGGCACGAAGAGATACAGAAATACCATCGCTGTTGCCCCCACGTCCTCGCATCCAAAACTGGTGTTCAAGAAGATTGCAACCCTCTGCCCACCCAAGTCTCCTGCAAGTCAGCGCCACCGGGGCACAGGTTCGAGTGACCCAGCTCCTCCGAGCATCGAGTCCACGATCAAGATCCCCCCTCGTCTGTTTTCTCCTGCTTCGAAGACAAGCTCTAAGGGTGCACCTAGGAGCCGTGGCATGACTGCGGGCTGGCTAACAGCGTGGCATGACATGAGCCACGTGATCGCCGTAATTCCGGTACAGGAAGAAGGTTTAGGCCACACAGACGCACTCGAGAAGGACGTTTCCACGTTACGCAATGAAGTGGAGAAGTTGGAGCGTCAGCACTTGGGCATTTCCTGCCGTGTTTTTCAAGACACGACATCGTTTAACGGATAACAGCGGAGTGGTTCCGTCTCTTCCGATTCGGCCTAAACGGGTACGCCCCACGTGCAGAGCTGTGTAACCCATTGGGGTCTGTTCGTCCTTCTGAGTCGATTTCGCAACGAGAGTTTGTGCTGGCAACTATGGCGGAGGATGTCGTCGCAGACGTAGGTTGTGGAGTCGAAGCGCTGCTACAAGAGTGGAGACTGATTCACCACTCTGCCAGCCAGATTTTGATGTTCGAGTTGTTCGCTTGGAGGGTGGCCAAGGTGACTCTGTTGTTGTCACGACCAAGTTGCGCATCGTCATGAGTGAATGCACCGTTGAGCGTGGCAGCGGAGGTATTCCGCCTGTTTCGCTTCGTACTCACCACAATCGGAGCTGAGTAACTTGTCAAGATCCATTTTGGTGTAAGTCTTACGTGAGTCGATCTTACAGCGAGACTTCTTGCAGACTGAAGACGTGGCCATCCACGCCGGACGTGGGTTGAAGCGGTGCTGGAAGGCTGGGTGTTGGCGTCTCTTATGTGGCCAGGCTTCGACGCCCAGGTTGTCCGTGTCGAGAACGGGCTACAATATTAGCAAGATTCGTATCGAGGTTGGCGAGGGCTTAGTTACAAGCCTATCAAGTACGATATTGGACCACGATGCTGAAGTTCTTGAACAAGTTAGACAGCGTGGCCGTGGGCTTCGGTGACACTGTATCTCCCGTCGGTCGACTCGACTGGTTCTTGCCTAACTCTTCATACGAATATTCATTCCATTTCATGTATTACCAAATGCACAACTATCCATTCATACAAAATCGTTTCGCCTACCTAGTTATCCACCGATTGCCGCTGCTGGCGCGTCTTGTACCGACGCCAGCGCAGCGAGAGGAAGGCGTAGCCGATGCAGAAGTACAGCACCGTGAGCTCCAGCAGGATGAGGCTGTCGCTGCGCGCGTCGCGAGACTCCATGCTGTAGTGCGCGAGCACTTCGTCTCCCGAGTGGGCGATGCAGCCATCGTCGTCCGCGTACGAGCCCGAGCCAGACTGGCTGAACGCGTAGCCGTCGCCCACTGCAGCTTCGAACGAAACACTGCCGCTACCGCTTCCACTGCCGTCGCCGCCACCGCACGCGAGGAAGACGATGCGGCCCCAGAAGAGCTTCATCAGCGCCTCGTAGCCGTACTTGACAGGCGAGATGTAGTGCAGCCAGATGAGGTAGTCCGGCACGTCGTCCACGTTGATCAGTAGCCCACCGAAGACGACGAACAGGATCAGCAGCAGCATGTACACGATCAGAGCCACGCGCAAGCGACGGAAAAGACCGAGCAGCAGACTCGCCATGCCCGCAGCGCTCCAAGCAGCCAGCCACATGACCAGCTGCATGAAGAAGTAGAGCTTGAAGCCATGGTCGATGCCGATCAGCAAGTAGGCGGGGACGAACAGCAGGATCGACAGGATCATCATGGCCGGCAGCTCCGTGAACACCTTGGTCAAGTACCAGCACACCATGTAGTAGCGTCCGCTGCGGTGCTCACGCTCAGCGATGGCCATCTCGCTCGGCAGGAAGACGAACGTCCTGTAGGCGCTCACCAGCATCTGCAGCACGATGAGGAAGAAGAAGGCGCCGGCCCAGTTCTGAATGTCCTGCTGCTCGTCCAGGTCCAGTTGCAGGAAGATGAGGCCAAAGATCACTCCGAGCACGATCATCCAGAACGCGTGCCAGCCGAACAAGGCGCGATAGCGTGCGAGACGCAGCACGTGACGCTGGAAGAGCAGCGAGAGCTGGCCGCAGCAGCCAACACGACTACGACTAGCGACCGCACCGGCCAGCTGCTCGTCCTCTTCGCTGTTGTCGGCCAGACACAGCTCCGAGTAACGCGTGGACCACGCCTCCTTGAAGAGAATCGCCTGACCAGCACTCGTCTCGTTGTCCTTACCGCTCGCGGACACTTGGCGGATGAAGTAGTCGACGGGGCTCATGTACTGCGGGCACGGGTATCCCAGCGACGCGAAGTACGGCACCGCCTCGCGCACCTTGCCATGGAACACCGCGGCTCCGCCTGCAAGCAGGTACACCACGTCGAACAGCGCGTACAGGTGCGAGGACGGGTGCGTCATGGTCACGACCACAGTGCGGCCTCCACGAGCCAACTGACGGAGCTTGAGCACGACGCGCTGCGACGAGTAGAAGTCCATTCCACCCGTGGGCTCCTCGACCAACAGGATCGACGGGTTCGTGAGCAACACCGTTGCAATAGCCAGCAACTTCACATCCGAAACAGACAAGTAGCGGATGAGCATGTGGCGCTTAGCCGTCAGCTCCAGCTCGTCCAGCACCATGTCCATACGCTCCGCTTCGAGTTCACCAGCACTCGATCCACAGCTCAATCCACAGCATCCTCCAGACTTTCCGACCACCAGCTGAGCCTGGAACTGCAGGTGCTCCTCCACCGTCAACGTCTCATAGAACAAGTCGTCGCGCGCGACGTACGCGGCTCGCTCAGCAACCTTGTCTGCTCCAGACACCACGCCATTGAGCTTCACCTTGCCCTTGAGGCGCTTCTGCAGTCCACCAAGACTCTCCAACAGCGCCACGTTCGACTCGTCCGACGGACCCGTGATCAGCACCAACTCGCCGCACTTGGCCGAACCGCTGGCGTCGCTCAGTAGGTACTGTTGGCGCTGCGTCTCGCCGTCGATCTTGAACTTCTTGTCGATCGGAACCTTGAGCCACAAGCTGCTCCAGCCCAAAGTGACCGCGGGCGCGTCGCAGACTCCGTTCGCGCCCACGCGCGGCGTCTCCACTTGGATGTAGTAGTTCTCCGCCTCGGCAGCCGCGCTCTTCTCCACGCTGTGGTGACTCTTCCTCTCCACTATGCGGTGCGCGCTGCTGCGCGTAGCCGCTTGTTTCTCGCTCATGCTAGAGCTAGCGATACGCTGCTGCGCGCTGCCCAACGCGCCCTTGAAGCTCCAGTCGTAGCGCCACTGCAGTCCACTGATGCGCTTGTTGGCCAGTAGGAGGAGGAACCAGAAGGCGAAGAAGAAGAACCCGAAGCAGATCGCCAACAGGATCAGCGAGTCACCCAGAGCCGAGCGGTTCTCCATGCTGTAGTACTTGAGCACTCCTTCACCCGTGAGAGCCACACAGCCCTCTGCAGTCCAATCGCAGTCAATGGAGTCCACGCGCTTCCACAAGATCTTCATCATGGCCTCGTACGCGTACTTGACCGGCGAGATGTAGTGCAGCCACACCAGCCAGTCCGGGATGTCCGTCACATTGATCAGCAGACCACCGAATGCCACGAACAACACCAGCAGCACAGCGCACACGATCAACGCCAGCGTGACATGACGCAGGACGCCCAGCGTCAGGAATCCGAGGCCTATTGCGGCCCAACCTGCCAGCACCATCACGATCTGCATGTAGATGTAGACCTTGAAGCCGTGGCCGATGCCGACCAGCAAGAACACGGGCACGAACAGCGCGATGGAGAGGACGATAAGAGCTGGAAGCTCAGCCATGATCTTGGTGAAGTACCAGCAGAGTAGGTGGTACCAGCCTCCACGGTACTCCTGGCGTTCACGCAGAGCGATGGCAGTCTCTCTCGGCATGAACACGAACGTCCTGTAGGCCATGAAGAGCATCTGCACGACGACGACATAGAAGAAGGATCCGGCGAAGTTCTGGATGCCCTTCTGGTCGTTCAGGTCGAGCTGCAGGTAGACGAGGCCAAACACTACGCCGATCAACAGCGCAGCCAGCAGGTGCCACCAGAACATGAACCCGTAGCGAGACAGCCGGCGGACGTGGCGCGCCCACAGCAACCAGAGCTGACCGCAGCAGCCCATGTGGTAGTAGCGGTTCTTCTGGTCGTAGTCGTCCACGACCGCGTCCTCACTCGCTGCCGCTGCGCGCGCGGCGTTGTCCGCGTACACTGCAGCGTTGCGGTCGGCCCACTCGCGCTTCAGCATCTCAACTCGAGCCACGCCTTCGTCGTCCGTTGCGCGGTCGCCGACAACCATCTGAAGCATGAAGTAGTCCATGGGGCTCATGTACTCCGGACACTGGTACCCGATCGTCGAGAAGTAGGCGACGCAGTCCGTCGCCTTGCCGTCGTAGACACACGAGGCATCGGCCACCAGGTATAGCACGTCAAACAGCCCGTAGAAGTGCGATGAAGGATGGTGCAGCGTCACCGCCACCGTCAGACCCTTCTCGAACGCAAGCCAACGCAGCTTGGCCACGATCTTCTCGGCGCTGAACGTGTCGAGACCGTCTGTGGGCTCCTCCACCAGCAGAATCGAAGGATTCGTCAGCAACGCGGTGGCGATCGCGAGCAGCTTGCGCTCGCCGCGCGTGATGCCCCGCAGTGAGATGCCGCCGCCGATCAACTTGTCACGACAGTCGGAGAGCCCCATGTCCTCAATCACGCGCTCCACACGCTTCAAGCACATCTCGTCCGAGTGAGTGCGACGCATACGGAGCTTCGCCTGAGTGAGCAGGTGCTCATGCACCGTCAGCGTCTCGAAGAAGAGGTCCTCGCGCATGACGTACGCGATGTAGCGGTTCATCTTCTCGTTCCATTGACGGCCATTGACCGTCACGTTGCCCTCCATCGCGTCTTCGTATCCAGCGAGACAGGAGAGCAGAGCGAGACTCTCGTCCCTCGACGGGCCAGTGATGACCAAGAACTCACCGGCCTTCAGGGATCCGCTAACGTCGTCCAGCACAACTTCATTAGCTCCGGACGGAGCGGCATCAACCGGAGCGGTCTTCCAGCTCCTGCGGTTCAGGCGCAGGTTGCTCCACGCAAGAAAGCACGGCATCACAGTCCAAGCTTCCTCATCGTTGTGGCTGTGGCTGGGACGAGGACTCGCGATTGCGACGTAGTGCTCGTCCAGCTCGATGTCCGGCTCGGCACCGTCAATTAGTACCATCGTGCGGCGCTCACTGTCGCGGACCTGCTTGCCGGCTGGTGCAGCAGAAGCGCCGACGTTCTTGGGGGTGGCGTCGGACGGGATGCTCCTGCGAAGCTCCTCAACCTGCACGACTGCGGCGGCAGCGGCCATAGCTTCATGCTTGGGGGTCGACGCGGATTGGCCTTCAACGTCAAAGGACTCGACGGTGGCGACCGCAGGGACGGGCTTCTCGGGCGTGTCCTTCTTGGCGGAAAAGCCGAAGAAGCCACCGGCACGAGCGGGTTTCTCCTCCTCCTTGGGCGCTTCGCGCTCGATGCTTTCACGCTCAACATCGTGCTGGGACTGAGTCACCACTGCTATGTCCACAGTGTCGACAGCAGGAGCAGAGACTTCCGATCGACGCAGGTGTGCGGTCTCGAACGCCTCCTCCTCCTCTTCCACGGTGGTCGTAGTGACGGAGGTGATCACAATGCCGCCGGCCGTCGCAGGCTGGACGCGCTCTTCATCTCGCGGGAACTCGACGACAGCTCCCTGGCTGCGAGCAACAGGCGAGCGGAGCATGTCAGCGGCAGGCATCGGCTCGAACCTGGACTCAGGGCCGTACTTGGCACCCTCAGCGGCTGCATACGTGAGCTGAGTCGGGTTCTGCTGGTCTTGCTGTTGCCAGTACTGACGAGCTTCGCCAACAGTGGGCGCAGGATCAGCGGCCTCAGTGGTTGATTCGCTGGAAGCAGCAACAGGAACCGCAGCAGCGCCAACAAGGCGCTCTTCCTCCTCCTTCATCTTGTCCTCTTCCGTCAGAGGCGACTTGGGCTTGTCGCCGCCCCAGAACTTCCGGATACTGCGGCCGGCCTTGCGGTGAGGGGCCGTCGAAGGAGACTCCGACTCCTCTTCCGTCGTCACAGTGGTGGTGTGCGTGGTTGTCACGACCAGAGGAGAAGCATCAGGAGCTGCAGCGTCGACTGGAGCTGCTGATTCAACGTCAACAGATACTTCTCCGCTCTCAGACGTCGGGGTGTGTGCAGCAGGCTGGGCGTTAGGCTCCATGGCTCCGAGAGTCTTCACCACAGCGGCAGTAGCCACGCCAGCAGCTCCCGCAAGCGCCGCAGTTTGTAGAACATCCGTGTCACGTGGAGACTTGTGAGGCTCGTCGTCCTCAGCCGCCGATTTGGGCTCAGGAACATCGGCAACGTCGGCGTGAACACCCATGACGGAGGCGACGGGCGCCTTCTCTTCCTCCGAGTCTTCCGGCGCATTAACTTCGTCGACAGTAGCAGTGTCAGGGCTCTCGACCTCGACGTCCTGAGACGCAGGAGTCTCTTGCTGGGATTCATCGACAGTGTGCGAAGTAGCGATCGCAGTGCGGGGGGAAGGCGCAGTCTCCTTGACCTTCTCCACCTCATCTGGCTGCGCCTCGCTCGGTGCAGCATCCGACGTGCGCGGCTTCTTGGGCTCCGACTTGCCGAAGAAGCCCCAGAATCCCCCCTGAGACTCTTCTTCGACTGTCTCGGTCGTGGTCGTCGTTGTGACAGCCACGTTCGGAGCAGACCCGGAGGTTCTCTCGGCAGGTTGGCTGCTCTCAGCTAGGGCAGTGGCGGCGACGACTGCGCCAACAACTGCAGGCTCCACTAGGTTTCCACGAGGCGACTCAGTGACCTCCTCGTCCTTGGGAGAAAGTGCTACTGACTCGACCACAGCGACGCTCGGCTCGACAACAGACGTGGTAGCAACACCTTCGGCTGCCGCCGGCACCACAACAGTAGCGCTGACAGCAGCGTTGGCAACCGGGGCGTCTTCGTCAACCGAAACCTGCTGCTTGGCCTCCTGAACGAATGCTGCGTACTCCACGTTAGCGCTCGGGCTCCTAGGAGTTTCTTCGCTCTCCTCAACCAGTGTCGTCGTCGCAACGGTGGTGGAGGCGGGCGTATCAATGGAGCCCACGGGAGCTCCTTCCTTGTCGCCCTCCTCCTTGGGCTCCTCCGACTTGCCAAAGAAGCCCCAGAAGCCGCCTCCACTGCCCCGGCGAGCGTGACGCGGGCTCTTTGGGCTCTCCTTGGTCTCGTGAGTGATGGACTTCTTCACCTCAGTGACTGGTGCAGGAGCATCGACCGGAGTTGCGGACGCGTCCGGCTCGGAGACTTCGCCTTCAACAGCATCGGGCTGGAGCTGCGCAGGTTCAACGTCGGGCGTTGTAGAGTTGTGGGCAATCGCAGCCGTAGCAAGAGCGGCGCCTGCGATGGCTGCTGGAAGCAGCGCGTCATTGCGAGGTGAATCCACCGGGGAACTCGCGGCGACGTCGTCCGACGCAACAGTACAAGTCTCCACGTCGACAACAGACAACTCAACGATTGGGGCCGCCACCTCGCCATCCTCGGGAATGTGCTGCTCTTCATCGGTCATCGGAGACTTTGCAGACCGCAGAGGTGCAATAGGCTCAGCAGCCCCCACTTCGGGGGCCTCGCCAACGCCGTACGATGCTTGGGGCGTCATGAACTCGTCGTCGTCCGCGTCCTGCGAAGGCTGCTGACTTTCATTTGCTTCAGGCTCCGATGCGACGACGCCAGCAGTAGTTTTCTTGTTGGTCGGCTCCTTGGGCGAGCTGGGCTCGTCGTCATCGCTGGACGGAGCCTCGGCCTGGTTCCCCTCGGGCTTTCCAAAGAGGTTGCTCCAGAATCCGCCAGGCGCGTGGGGCTTCTCGCCGTCCTTCTCCGGCGCAGCGACCGCCTTCGTCACAGTCTCCACTGGCTCATCAACCGAAGACACACTGAACGCGCCTTCTTCTGGAGCAGCAACGTCGATCTCCTCGTCCGGAGACGTGCGGTCAGCCACAACCGTCGACGTCACAACAGCAGCACCAGCCACAGTAGCCGCCAGCGCAGCAGGAATTACCTTCGGTGCTTCTTCTTCTTCACTGTCGACAACATCCCTGCTGCCACTGGTGACAGTCTTGGTCGTTGTACTCGTACGAGACGTGACCGGAATGGGCGCTTTCTCTTCATCCGACGAGGGCTCCACCACTTGGTTTTCTCCAGCCGCTTGTTCGGGGCTTGACGAAGGCTTGTCCTCCTCTTCCTCCTCCTTGGTGAAGTAGTCCCAGATCACACCCGGCGTCAGTCCGATCTTCTTCGTAGCTTCGGGGCTGGTGGATCCCTCCTGCGGCTCCGTCACCGTCGCCACTCCGATGCGCGTAGGCGTGGTCACTTCGTTCTGGTTCGACGTGGTGGTGACACTGTTTACGGACTTCTCAGTGGGGGCAACGCTCGTCTCGCTCTCAACTTCCTCCGGCGACTGGTTCGACGACATCACGGTACGTGAAACAACACGCCGCGTCTCATTGCCAGGGATCACGATGCGGTCCGACACGTAGTAGCCGCCACGACTCGATCCTCCACGGCTGGATCCACCCACGGATTCGTCGCTGCTGCCACTTCCCTCGCTGTGGACAAACTCCGCGTCAATGTCCAGATCATCTTCAACTCCAGCCTCAGAACTTGATACGGCAGTTCCCTTGCGGACGACCATGCGTCGAACCACGCGCTGCGGAGTCACCACACGCCGCGTGATGATGCGACGTCCAGGAGTGCTCTGTGTCGTCACCGTTCTCGTCGTAAAGCTGCCGCTGCTGGCAAGGTCGACACCGTCGCCGTCGACAGACTGCACGTCGTCCTCGGATTCGGCGCCGGAGCTTGATCCAGCCTTGTGGACGACAGTGCGGCAGACCGGAGACGCCACAACACGCCGCGTGACCGTGCGTCGGCTTGATGTGGACCCGTCGCTCGTGACGCTGCTGACGCTGCCCGTGAAGCTTCCGACACTAACGAGAGATCCGCCTTCGCCCTCAATGATCTGGCCGTCCGCGTCCAGGTACTGCTCTACTGCAACTCTGGTACCGTCCTTCCGAACAAGCATGCGGCGAATCACCCGACGCGTGACCTTGCGGCGACCAGAAGAGTCCGTCGAGCCATCGGTGATAGTCTCCTCCGCCCCGCCTTCAGTCGAGATCACGTTACCGTCAGCGTCGACGTACTGCACTTCTTCATGCAGTTCTCCGTCCGCGCCTCTCCTACGGATCACCACGCGCTTAAGCGTTTGACCAGGAGAAACTACACGGCGTGTCACCGTTGTCCGACCAGAGCTGGAGCCCGGTGCGTCGCTGCCGCTCACACTGGAGAAGCTGCTCGTCTTGACCAGCGCGCTGCCGTCGCTGTTCACCACGTTGCCGTCGGCGTTCATGAACTGCACTTCTTCGCGCACCTGGCCGTCCGCGCCCGTCTTCCGGATGAGGACGCGACGGATGGTCTTGCTCGGTGTCACCGTCCGTCGGGTCACTACGGTGCTGCTGGCGGCGCTCATGGCCTCATCGCTGGCGCCTTCAGTGCGCACGACGTTTCCATCGGCGTCGAGGTACTGCACTTGCTCGAGGATCTGGCCGTCCGCTGCCGTACGACGCAGAATCCGGCGCGTCAACTTGGCGGGCGTAACAATACGGCGCGTGACTGAGGATTGAGTAGGCGTAGTGATGGTAGTTGAGCTGGTTGTGACTGTGGAGGTCGAGGCCGAAGCAGAGCCGTCGCATTCGACGACATTACCGTCTGCGTCCACGAATTGCACCTCCTCGTGGACCTGTCCGTCCGCCCCAGTGCGTCGCACAATCACACGCCGCAGAGTCTTCACTGGCGTCGAAATACGACGCGTGACGGTCGTCGTATCCGTCTCGCCCCCTTCAGCGTTGAAGAAATTGCCGCCCTGCACCACTTGGCCGTCAGCGTCCACATACTGCACCTCTTCGTGGACCTTTCCGTCCGCGTCCGTGCGACGCATGACCACGCGACGCAGCGTCTTACGCGGAGACGCAACGATACGTCGCGTCACCTTAGCGGACCGGGGCGACACCGGCACCGTCGATATAGACATCGAAGCTTCACCCTCTTCATGGATGCTGATAGTCGGCACGGTCTTGACCACAATGTTGCTGAGCATGCCGCTCGGAGGCAGCTCGTTCTCCTGGCCTCCCTCCATCATATCAACTCTAGTCACGCTCTCCTCGTCGGGCAGCATGCCGTGCTGGCTCGTGGACGTGCCCATGAGTCTCCTGGCGAGCGACTCTCGACTGGGGGACGACAGTCGCTTGGTCGGCTGCTTGGACACCGACCGCGTCACATACTGCGTGACAGTCTCCGCCGGCTCGGTCTTCACCGAGGTCTTGATCCCCAGTAGCTGCTGCTGCTCGGACGCGGGGGTGCCGGCGTCCGAGAAACCGTCAATGGACGCGCCCTCCTCGAACGACGACGCGGAGGTGGCGGACCCGGGCGTCATGAGCTGCTTGTGCAGGAACTGGCGCGTGCCCAGCGACCCGAAGCCCGCGGGCGACGAGGTGGTGCTCGAGTCGCGCAGGTGCGGGTTGCGCCTGAGCAGCACGCGGCGCGTCGAAGTGGATTGTGTACCGACATCACTGCCGACTTGGTTGTCGGTGTCGGTCCGTCCTTGAGAAGAGTCCGCCATTGTTCGTAGTCGCTGCTTATAGTGAGTGGTTAATAGTGCTTATAGTCTGGAATCGCGGGTAGTTATTAGGTACTTGGTGTAGTTGGTACTTGCAGTTGCAGTGCAGTGACGTGTGCAATGCGCGACTTGTTGGGTCGACGGACTCTTTTCGGGAATGACTCGAGTTCGGCGCGCTGCAGTGCACGCGCGCTGTCGTTGTTGGCTGGCTTTTGCTCTCTGGCAAGCCGCGCTTGCGGCGCTCATGGTCGCCGCTGGACGGACGACCGCCGCAGCGGATACTCGTCGAGCATTTGACGCGCTGACTCCTTGGAGTTCAGACCGGCAGATGAGCCGGCACCACCCAGGTCGGATCGTTTTTTCGGGGAGCGACGGCATTTTCCGCCAATCACGAGAGTTCAGCGACTCTTAGTGGACCAATGAGAAGAGAAAGATTGGAAAAATAGAGCTAAAAAAAATAGATGCTGCGAGGCGGTACCACAGTCACAGGATGCAAAGCGTACAATTCACATCCACGCCAGGGCGACGCTGCATTGCATTGCAGAGAGTTCGTTCCAGCCTGGCGACCGCTTCGATGGAGAAAGGGCGGCTGCGTGATTCCGCTGCGAGGCTTCGAAGACGGCCGAGATCTCATTTCCCGCTCTGATCTATTACATCTCTGCTACTACAGTACTTAGTAACAAGTACTGTCGCCGCGTGCATGAGCTCAAATTTGGCACGTGAGTTGTGCGTTGCTCACAGCGAGCGCTCGAGTCGTCGAGTTCCGAAGCTGCTTAGTGTGGCTGGCGGCGTCCAGATCGGACCCCGCCTTTTCCAGTGGCGACCGATAGTGGCCCTTTTGCAGCGGCACATCGAGATGGCAAGGCCACTGGACGGCGCGGTCAGGCGGGCGCTGGACACTCCAAGCCGCCGACACCCTGGCGCCACAAGTCCATTTTGCAGAGCGCGGGCGGGCGCAGTTGCCGGCGGCAACTTGCCGCCGCGTACGATCTGATGTGTAAGAGCAAAAGTCCGCGATAACCAGCTTACTACTGTAGGATAAGGTAGAATATCGTGTCCGTTCCGACATCTAGAATTTCGCATTACAATATTACACTAGCGCTTGACCTATCAGAAGACTTTGTCATACTTTGTGGGCCAATGGGCATTCCTAAAATCTCATGATGTCCTGTAAGTAGCAAATCGGACAATTCGGATATATTTTGTCCGATCCTAAGAAAAATATTTGATATGTTCATAATGAAAGCAAGACAATCTCATATTTTAAAAATACCGTGCTCGTTCGGACATATATCGATTTGGACAGGGATCCTGCAATGCATTGGAGTCGTCGTCACCAAGAAGAGCTTGGTGTCTTGCGGTCTCAATGCTGCAGGTGCACACCTCACTCCAACAGAAAAGCAATGCTCATTCACTAAGTCATTATAATAAATACGTATGGATTTTACTTTAGTATTGCGTGCTACATCTCTTAATTCGCGCTCCTCCTTGCGCACTTAACCTGGTCCTTAAACGCTAGAGCCTGTGCGTTCTCCTCAGCTTCTCCAGCTCTTCTGCCGCGCTCTTATCGACAAACAGCTACCGCTGCACCTGCTGCCGCGCGAGCGTCTCGCTTCCGTCTTCTGCTGCTGCCTGGTGCGCTTGCACTAGCGGCCGCCGAGATGTTCCTCTCCTTCACAGTGCCACCTACACGGCCGCTCCGCCGTCCTGCGTAGCGCCCTTCTCCTGCTCCAGCTGCTGCCTCGTTGCCGTCATGACGTTCTCACCCTCCTCCACTTCGGCTTCTTGACCACGAGGGCCATCACCCCAGCCAAGGCCCAGCCGCCATCCTGCACGGCGTCCTCGTCCTCATCCTGCTGCTGGCCTCGAGGGCCAACACCCCGCCCGAGGACTAGCCACTGTCCGCCCCGCCTCCACGCATGACGCCCCCACTTGAGCATGCTGCTGCTGGCCCCGAGGGCCCCACCACTGGCGGCGGACGCCCGCCCGACGCCAATCCACTGTATACGCCGCCATCGTCCTTCCTGCAACTCCTGCTGCCGCTAGCCGCGGCAGCGGACACTCCTCCCTGTCAAACCGCAGTCCATGTCACCGCCGTGTCCGTCCTGCCGCTGTGCTGCTGCAACCGCTGGCCCCGAGCCCGAGCACCTCCCCCGACTCGGGGGCACGAGACCGAGAGCCATCACTTGCCTTTTGGCTGTGTGTTTTTCAGTGTGCGTCACATTATCACTGTTAAAATTCATATATCAAATCCTACAATTGTCCGAATCCAATTTTCGGACATGAAATTGTCCGAACCTGCACGGTATGGTTGTCTGGAGATGAAACAAACCGATTATGGCATTTTTGGGTGGCTAAAAGCTTGGGTGAAACGTGATGTAGCCATGTGGGTGGAACGGGTGGGTGGAAATGATGTAGCCATTTGGGTGGACTATTTTTTATTGGTGTCTTGGTGCCATGCTGGCGCACAGATATTATAATCTCGGACATCCCATGTATGTTGCTGATCCAAGTAGTCCATGCGGTTGGTCTGTAGTGCCCTGTAACTGCTGTATCAGATGCGCACAGCGACGACCAACCTACCGGCTGACAGTCAGCCGCTGACTTGACGCTTTTGACAGCAAGCGCTCGCTTGTTGTCTTGAGTCGAATCTCGACAGAGGCGGAACCATGACAAATAGTAAAAAAAAGATATTTAATGAATTATGTAAGGGACCACTGCAGCAATACAGCAGATTACTTCCTGAATATTTGTAGCTGTCCGTGGCTGCAACAGCCGATCATGCTTCTTTCTTTGGCACAATGCACTTCTCGAGCAAAATAATCGGTTCATGTACTGTAGAGCTAACTAGCACGGTGTGTAGAGTGCACGTCAACGATACAGTATACCGTGCAGGACGGGGGAAAAGCACTCGCTAGCTGGCTCGAAAATGCTGTCATCTCTAGGGGAAAAAATTATTGAAAATCCCCAGTTGGGCCATAAACTCGGTAAATTATAACACGGTAAAACGTCCGTGTCGCTGTATCTTGCCATCCTGTGGCTATTGCTGCAGCTCGGCGTACGCGGCAGCTCCGGATCACCGCGAAATCAACTACTTTGCCGCCTACGGAGGCGCCGCTGCTCATTCAAAGCGATCTATTTGCCAGTCTTCAACACAGCGAAAAACAGCGCATGTCCGTCTTTGCCAGAAGACCCACACAAGACACTATTAAACCGGAATGACCAACTTTAGCTATTTATTGTGCAATCACCAACTTGTATGACCTTAAGCTGGCGACGATGCTAAGAATTCTTAATAAAAACATCTCTCGCGGTAAATATTATGCTTACGGTTAACCAAGTCCTCTGATACGTCGGTTTTGATATCGATATCCGCCAAGGCATAACAACAATAAGCTTAACTTCCGGGAGAATTAAACGCAGGAGCAAACCAAAACTGACCGGCAATAACGAGCTTTAATTATTTATACTGGCTGGCCGGCACATCGAGAGTGGATTCACAGGATCTACAGCCATTCGTAGAGATTCTCCAGCGTGAGAACGATATCTAACTGTTAGATTCTAACATGACAAAGAATGCGCGAATGAAAGTTAATCAATGCCGGTTCACTTTATTCAGTGCTAGGTAGGTGGAATTAATCCTACCATGTAGACCATTTGGGGTACGTCTTGTCCAGGTAGCTTGTGTACTTCAGTCGGATTTGGTTGATGACAGGATCATCATGGACGGCGGCCCCTCGAATGTTGAGGAATTTAGTGTGATACAACATCTGGGTTCATGAAGCGGTCGGCCCAGCTATCGAACTGCTCTCTCTGTAGTTTGGTGGCGAGTCGCTGCATCTCCTTTGCCTCGGTGGCTTTCTGAATCATCAGTGCAAGTTGATCCTTCTTATTAGTGAAAATGTCATCGAGAGTCCCGCTGCCGACTGCTTCGTATAGATCTTGTCGGCGAAATCACTCCAAAGCTTAAACTTGCGGCTGCTGAAGAGGTTTCCGCCAAGATTCTCGAGCTTCAGGATGTCGAAAACGGTGTAGAGGTTCTCGTCGGTTTTCTCCCACTTGACCAGTCTCAAACGGTTTTTGAGGCTCTCCAAACCAGGAACTTTGAGAGTGATTCCTCTCTCTTCTTCGGTCGCGGTAACCTCGTAGCAGCGATGTCATTCCGCAGGGAGGGGGTCGAGGCTTCAAACTTAGGCGCCATCGCTGCCTTCGAGTCGACCACAGACAGACTAGCAGCCAGCACGCATGCAGCAATCAGCAGAGCAACGCGATGGAGGCCCATGTTGCAGGCGCTCTTGGGACTTGGAGACGGAGCTGCGAGGGTTGGAGGCGAATCGAGAAGTGAGAGAATGTTGGGTGCCAACCTCTTGTGTACGGGGCAGGGATACAGAAGGGCGATCAACGGATTGGATGGTTGCTAACTTGTAGCTTGTTCTCATGCTGGCAAGCAGTGTGCTAAGTATTTTAACTTATTACAGCCCAGCGTATGTACGGAGGAACGGGAAGCAAGAAGCAGATCAAATACACTCCACGACAAAAAGATATGGACTCCACCAAAAGTGGCTGTAACTTCGTCATTTTTTATCGTTTTAAGGTGCGGTTTGGACTAGAGTTGCAAAACACGCTGATAAAGATCTGCACGCTGCTAACACGCGCGCTTTTGCGCTTCTTCAGGTAGCTCACATACAAATCACTGGTTCTGCCCAGGTGACAAAACTTATGGACAGCTAATCGCCATACAAAATCCTATATTAACCAAAACCCCTTACAAATGATACAATTTGGACTTTGTATGGGGCGACAAAGGAACCCATGATTTCTCCACTCTACCTTAGTACTGAACCATATATCATCGACCAACAGTTTAGAATGGAGAAGACAATCGTATATCCAAAAGATAGCAGCATACAGAGCTACAAATTGGCACTAACTAGGATGCAACTGAAGGTGTCTCGCAAATCATCAGATAATACATGGCAGCCACCACTCGAAATTTCAGTCGCTTACTACTTGCTCAGTTTTGTGCGATGGTCGATGTGTTTATTACAGACCACTAAACACACCTTCTAGTACACGATAATGCCATCAGATATTTGTCTAACGTCGCGAGTATCGCCGTGAGGCTGGTTCCTTTGTCGCCCCATACAAAGTCCAAATTGTATCATTTGTAAGGGGTTTTGGTTAATATAGGATTTTGTATGGCGATTAGCTGTCCATAAGTTTTGTCACCTGGGCAGAACCAGTGATTTGTATGTGAGCTACCTGAAGAAGCGCAAAAGTGCGCGTGTTAGCAGCGTGCAGATCTTTATCAGCGTGTTCTGCAACTCTAGTCCAAACCGCACCTTAAAACGATAAAAAATGACGAAGTTACAGCCCCTTTTGGTGGTGTCCATATCTTTTTGTCGTGGAGTGTACGATGGCGGTGCTAGTAACAAGATTTTTAATTCTTTAAAAAGCGATGGAGTCGGTTTGTAGCCAACATTTTGTGATTCAACACATAGTCTTCGCCTCGATCCCAGAGCGCCGCATTTAGCAAAAAAGCTAAAGCTTCCGGTGAGCGTCCATAAGGCTGCCCTCGAAGTTGACATCGATGAACGGAACACTGGCGTCATTGCCAAAGTCGGTTTCGGTTAGAGCGCGACGTGCTTCCCCAGTCATCTGCTGCCACATGACGAGGTCCTGGAATTTGCCCTTGTTTCCAGTCAAACTCAGCATGCGATAGGAACATCTTTTGGCTGGTACGATACCTGGGGAGTCGAGCCGACGACGCACACGTTGCATATTGAATCCCCCTTGACACGCGAGTCGATACAGTCCTCCCCACCATGGGTACAGCGATCCGATTAGGAAGGGAATGCGGATCGGATAAGAGTGCCCTTCACTAATTCTGTCAGTCGATTAGGCGCGCTTACTCAACGTCAAATGCTAGAATAATCATTGAGTAAGCGACTTGCCCAACTATACCCGAGCGAAAAGCTCGATTTAAGCTTGATTTACAAGGGAAATTGTGGATTGTCAGTAGCAAATGCGCCATTCCAGCGATAATCAAAGCCTAAGCTACAGCCTGCTACAGAATACCATCGAGTCGAGGGTCTTGGGCTATGGTAAAACAACGAGTTACAATGAAGTTAAAATACAAAATAACGATTTACGCCTTCGTTTAGAGGAAAGCACAATAAATGTACTGACAACTAGTTAACACTTCTAATCCGAAGATTATTCCGGAGAATCCGTAATTCCTAATATATGAATTAACGTATACCGAAAAATCAGTACAATATGTCATGTATCAAGCCCTTTCGCATGCCACGTGGCCTAACCAAGATATTTGATTGGGTAATGCGGTGGGATGGGCAGTACAGAGCATGACCAAAATACTCCCAATTGCGATCTCCCTGCGAAACCGTTTTCCCTCTTGCAGCGACGGGACCGATAGCACGACAAGCATTCAGCACATTAGATCTCCTTTCACTTGCTCTGTCGACCTAACACTTTCGGTCATTCTTTTCAACCACCTTAGCTACTTCTGGTATGCGCACGCTGTTGCCGACAGTGTTGCGCTCTTGCCTTCTTGACGTACATGGGTACCAATATTCGCTGCCTAGCCCAATGATATCCTACAAACGATATTAATTGACGAAAACATGAACGATGTTTTCAGAGTGTTCATGTTCTCTTAGTGGTCTTCACCAAGTGTATGGTGCTTGCGCAGTTTCGACACGATAACGCATTCATCTCATGGAAGCCATTGGTAGCTGGCATTGGGCCATTTCATTATGACGTTTATTGCGATCATGCGGCTATCGTGGTTATCTACGATATAATCCATCGATCTCGACTTGTCAATGAGAACCCGAGTCACTATAATCCATGCTTGATCCCACACAATGGTTTCGTCGCCACTTCCAGCATCCGAGTAGAGCAAGAGGGTCCAATCGTCTTCTTCAACATTGAGGTCATCCTGATCAGCATCGGCGAAGAGTCGATGACGCCCGCTGTGCATCCAAGAAGCTGTCCAAGGCTGAGGCGAGGCCGATGAAACCTTTGTCGCCCAGGGGGCTTCGTATAGCGCAGCCCAAGGCTGATCCCCAGGGGTAGACCCAGAGAATCGACTTGAGAGTCAACAGCAAGAAGATAGACTCAGAGATTCGCAGTCGCAAAGCTTTAAACCCTGAGAATCACACTCCTTGGTTGGCGTGGGTACGTTGTGTAATCCCTGTCGGCTCGTTTGTCTTCGACGGAACGGCACTCCACCGGTTGAAAATGTAGCCTCGAAGAAGTGCGGGAGCGCACGTCTACTTCAGAACGCACCTCCACACCAAAAGGCAAACCCAGAGAACCAGATCCCCTGAAACCCAGAATATCACGAATTCAGGGTCCAGGATTTCAGTCAACTCTGGGACTTGGAACTCAGAAGACACCTTACCCAAATGTCCTCCTAGCTCGATAAAACCAACAAATACAGAGTATACAAACACTACAACTAGCCGTCACTTATTCTTTTGGACCCTTGGACGGTAGGTCACACACACACTAGGCTCACTCGAGTCTGAAATTCAGGGGCCTAGCTCCCCTGAGACTCACACAAAAGCGCACCACCTCCAATACAGGAGGAAAATACAATCACTATCAGTTACCTTCCCTTCACACAAGCAGTCAATACAAAATCCTGGAGGCGACTACCTAGCACCCCAGAATACCCTCTGGAATAATATGAAATGGGCTACCACGAGCACAGCAAGTGACCCAACTAGGATATGGAATAGATGGATCACCCCAGGAAGCTCAAGGCTGTCGCTGGTCACCACCTAACTGGACTTGAGTTTGATGGAGCCCACACAGACGGCTGTCCTTCGCCGTTGATGTGCCCTTAGCGTCCCGCGGTCGTAGTCTCGGGTCCTCCGGATTTCCGTCGGCAGGCTTGCCGAAGTCACTTGCGCAGTACAGGGTAAAAGGAACTTTGTTTGGTTTTTATCAGCTACTTCTCTCTCTCTCTTCTTCGGGCAAATATCTTCTGTTCACTATGTTTGGGGTCAAAATGTCTTGTCTTGAGTATACCTTGGGATCAGCGGTCCAAACTTGCGGTCGGCTTGCGAATCCATTGTCGCACGGCGTCGAAAGTGCCAATAGTGGGTCCTTAGACTTGGTTTAGTATGGTGCAGGACTCCCTCTCGACTCCTCGAAAGTATCCAGTCTGTGCATCCATGACGGTTCTTCAAGGTCACGCATCATTTTGATTGCAGACTGGCTTCGAACTGACTCGAATCCCTGAAAACCAGGTGACACACAGGGTCATCTTCTGAAATCCTGGGAATTCTGAGGAATCTTGGGGAACTGTGGGGATTCTTGGGTGTTGGCTCGGGAAACACTTAAGTTCAGTATAGAGAGTCTGGATTTATGGTCCAAACCCAGAGAATCATCTTTGGAACTCTGGGTCACCAGCACTCAGGGAGGTGAACTCTGGGTCATCGTGCGGCACTCTGGGTTTCCGTGCGGCACTCTAGGTAACAAGTCTGCTGCATTGCAGGCTCGTGTGTATCTCCACAAAGCCACACTTTTAGCGGGTTTAGCGGCCTCCTGCGCATGATCACGGTGGTAGTAGGTTGATTCTCAGGGTAATTTGATCCTCTGGGGCACTCTGAGCCACAGCAAGATGAGGTGTACTCTGGGATACGTTCTCCAGAGACACTTTCCGCCAGACTTTAGGCACTCATCGTAAGGGAAAGTCCGCGGCTGGACTGAGTGTTCTCTGAAATTCTGGGCGTGCACTCCCAGGATTCACACTTCCAGCCAGTTGGGCCCATCTGCGGTCAGACGCTGAATTCATCCCGAGAAATCACTTCTCTCCCACAGTCGCCAGTCATGTCACACGGGTACAGCCGCGCCGTATCCAAGTCATCCACCAATCAGCATCCGATACAAACTCCAGGTCACAGAGGTGACGGCACATCGTCGGCAATTTTCTGGGGACCGCCTCGTGTCAACAGACTCGCAGCCGTCTGCTGCTGCTCGCCCAGCGTCGTGCCGTAATCGGACACGTAGTACTTATCGTACGAATTCTGCAGCAGCTCTTGCGTACGACTGGCATCCCTCTTCGGGCACGCCATTCTTCTCAATGTAGCGGTAGGCCTCCAGGTCTCGCCGTCATGGTGCCCGTTGTTCTTTTTTTCGCAGTTGAGGATGACCTACGGAGACAGCACCACCACTCAGCACCTCCATCGACGGCTTGTTGCCCAGGTGGCGCTCCAGAGCGATCATGATGGGTCCGCCACCGCCGAAGTCGCCACTGCAGAGCAATAAACAATAACAAAAGAATAATAACATAATTAGAGAGGAATGATACATTGGAGGAACGATCCGATCAGCTTCAAGGTGTGTATGTGCTTACCGAAGGCGAAGGACCAGAATGAGCTTTAATAGTGCCGGATGTGCAGATTGCGCGAGATGGTCATGTTGTTGGTGTTGTCGACGTTGCGCCAGTCGAAGTTCTTGGGCAGCTTGGCCAAGTCCAGCACGCCATGCGGCCGCGGGTACGAGGCTCCGCGGAGCGGCCGGAGCTGCGCCAGTAGCCGTAACCGCCGGTATTCGTGCGCACCGGCAGCGTCTTGATGCCGAACCTCGTTTAGGCTTAGGTGGGTGATTTGACGGAATGAGTTGGTGTTCTTCCGGGATACATTGGTTGGTGAAACGCACGCGAGTAGTTGGTGTTTTACAGATTGGTTGGTGTTTTGCACGAAATTATTTGGTGCTTTTCAGGAAAACGTTGGTGCCCAAGACGGGTACTCTTCGGAGATTTATATCTGGTCCCCCAACCTTTCCGAAAATCTTCGTGTCGCATGCGATATGGACTATACAGCTGGCGTGCTTAAATTTATCGCATACAAACTTCTATATGCGGATTTAGCTCACTGAGAATTCGTTGCGGACAGGGTGAATATTTTCACCTCTATAATTGTATTCCGGAGAATCCGTAATGTCGGAGTAGAAGTGTTAAGCACTGCGGAGATCTTGCTGTACTGAAGTCCGTGTCGCCCAGCGTGCGAGATCGGCATAGCTCAGCTCAGATCCTTGGGCGCACGTCTTTCGGGCGTACTCGCAGATTGCAAGCTTCTGCTTGACGGATGCGAAGAGTCTTGCTGGCAGTCATGGTGGGTGCAAATTCGGAAATGAGGCATGAAGCTTGGCGGACACACTCGTACTGAGTTCCATGGAAAATTAATGTTCATTTACAGCCTTTCAAAGCACAACTTACTTGGGAGGGGACCTGTGCACGGAGGCGATGGTGATCTTCCCTTTCCCGCCCAGATTCCCAGTGATCTGCAACATATTAACAAAAGTTGATGCTTTGTTTTGATTGGCTACTTGACCCAGGACCTTGATTGGGACGAACTCCCTATTATAATGACTTGGTGCCGGTATACCTATCCTTACCGTAGTGTCCGGTGACTGATTGGATGAAATAAGTAGGCTTAGGGTTGCAATGTATAGCAGGGGGCGGCGCCCTCGACCTCCCCGAATTTTACTTGAGTATAGTGGGCTTTTGGGTTCCTCGATCGAGGGGTCACCAGCCTTTTAACAGTCTTTTAGCAACGCTATTCTTTGATGAGGACCTTAAAGTAATGGTACATAAGTGCACGGCGCCCCTTCGTCTCGCGGTATTACGGCGGTATGTTTGCCGGCTGGCCGCTGGCTGCCCGAGCCAGATAATCCTTTTGCTTTCACTTTGGCATCGCGCGGAGCCCCTCTCAACATTGTGGTAGCGAGCTATGCAAACAGACCCCGGTAAGGCTGGCCACCAGATCATGAACTAGGTTGGACACGCTATGTTTTACTGGGTTGTGAAACCAACAACGCTGTTTCATCCGTAGGGCGAGATCTTAATCTTTATTACCCAGCCTCAAAGCCCACCGGTGGGCTCGGTCCAAATCCCACGCGTGGGCTCAAAACCAATAGTTGTAGATATTACGTTTTCGCTTTCCAAAGCAATGTAATTGATTCTAAAGAGCTCTAGTGGCACAATGAAGTACAAGTGACTTGCCATTGACCACCAGGAGCAACAACATTTATTTATCGGATCATAGTTAGTGCGGAAAGTCGATTGGTAATCTCCGTGCAGCCTATCTACCTGTAAAATAATAAGGTCAATGGTCCAAGCTCTACAGACACATTGAAAACAGCGCAGCAAGCTAAATGAATTCACGTGATACGTGCACTGTTGGGACATAACTGGTTAGCCTTCAACAGCCACAAGGCGTCATCTTGTTGTAGCCATGACGAAATTGTAGGGATTCCTATACTTTGGGAGTAAATCAGTGGTCCTGTAACGCTCTATCGCGTTGGTAGTGCTTACTTAAGTACAATAGAGTGTACACAGTATTTAAATTGTTTATGTGGTCGGCTCTTGCTAAGTTTCACCCCCCGCAGTACTTGTTTAACGCTGTGCGGTTTGCATTTCTTTCCTTATACGTGGAGGTACACCTCGGGTATACCAGCACCGATTCTAAATACATACTTAGCAAACAGTTTTAATCAGATCGCTATTTTCTCGACCATAATCTTTGTCCGGACATTTTTTCGGGAAGACGACTCCATTTGAAGTCGGGCAAAAGGCGCTGAACAGATCTCTCTCTCATTTATTTGTATGCAGAAGGGTATCTCTAAATAGGCCAGACAACAATAGTATCGGCTTTTTGAAGTGAGCCCACGCGTGGGCTCAATGGGTAATATAGGTTATTAGATCTAGATATTCAAGCAGCCCGCTAGCAGCTTGAAAGAGCGGTATGTGTAGTTCTGCGGACAAATAAACACTTACTAAGCGATATGTCTGCGAAGACACCTACACAGAAAGATATTGATCTTTTCAACACTCGCTCGATGCCGCCTCAGGAAGGCGAGACATATTGCTCACTTAAATGTAGATGTTGATTCAGCAAATGCCGATTGTGTCTCCTTACACACGGAAAACATTGTCCACATATTTTCCCAGCATTTTGTTCAGAAAAAAGACTACTGGCACAGCGCGATATTTCAGATATTACTGTGCAACACTTTTGGAGGACGCTGTGCAGACTGATTCTAGTCGAAGACCGAGTTGTTACACCTTACGTTAATCTTGCCGTCGGAGTGGCCATAGGTCTTACATTCAATATGTGTCAGCCTGCAGGACTGTGCAACGGGACCAATGGGAGACTTCCAAAAATCGCCTATTCTAATGTACCAAATTGCTCCCATCTGCTGAACCGTGTGTGTACTAAACTTGGATTAACGGATGCTCAGACGCAAAAGGCGTCTGATTATCAAGTGCCGTACTTGGTACTGCCCAAAGCCTCCAATTAGCCTTGACTTCACAGCCTGATCGAAGACGAAGATGCTGCTCTGTAAGACGACTCAAAAATATGACATGTAGGTCCCAGGAATGCTGGATGTTGTGGAAGCTATCCTTCCCTTTGGAGCTGAGCAGTGGCAAAACGCTGTGTCTCAGTTCAATACAAATATTCCAGCAGGGTGGACTGAGCGAGATGGCGACAGCCTCAAACGTAAGTTCCAAAAGCTAGTTCGTGTTCCTAAACCGACAGGTACGGCGTATTTGATGTGCTGGCACTTGTGTGGTTTTCAACTGACCTATTTCGATTTATTTGTAAGGGAACGGAACATGTCCCGAGCAGGTGCAGCGCGTCAAGCGTCTACAATATGCCATTGAGGCTTCATTGGCTGTTGTTCAGCTCCACGACAACTTTTCGGACGAAGCGTTCGAGGAGGGAGATCCCGACCACGACACCGACGAGGAAGCTGCAAGCTCCGTGCTTGTGACTGCTAGTTCACCTCTAGCAGCCTCGACGGACTCACAATTAACCCAAACACCCACGGCAACTTCAAGTACACCCACCGCTCCGTCAACCCCACTACAAGCAACGCCGCGAGCTGGTCTAGATCCCTCAGAGCTGGCAGAACTTTCTGCTTCGCTTCGAAAGCGTTCAGCAGCTTCGGCCGCCGTGTCACTCAGTCAAACCGCCCGCCGACGCATCAAGCTAGACCGTATCATCGACACGGTGAACAACGACATTCAAGCCAGCCATAATGCCTCGGACCCCTCGCAGTCGATGCTGGCCATGATGATGGCGATGGAAGAGCGCCAACAAGCGAGAGATGCGCAGTATCGCCATGAGCGTGAGCTCTGCCAGCGACAGAGAGATGAGCGTGAAGCTGCCAACCAGCAAATGATGATGATGCTGCTGTTACGCCTCGTTGAAAGGGGTGGTGGTGCTGCGTCAAGCGGGGAGCAGCATGGAAACGACACAGACGCTGGCCTAGAGAACAAGCTAGAATAGAGTTCGGTTGGCGAAGCTTGTTAGAAGGACAAGCTGAAGAGGAAGTCTGATTGCATAAAGTGTCGTTGTATACGAAAAGAAAAAAATGATTTTGATGTACGTTTATGTTTGTTTTGTTGCCGAAGTCTATGCAAATACCGTTCGTATTTGGCTAATACCCGTCGTTCTCACACGTAGGTTGTACAAGTGGTAGATATTCCACAACAACCTCGCGCGCTTGTCAGGATCGAACGGAAGTGGTAGCTGCAAGCGGCGAAAACACTTAGGAGCACAGCCTATTCCCCATTCCGCCGCCTGTCTGACTGAAGTGATCGCGGCACTCATGGCGAGTAAACCGGCCCTACATTCGGGGCTAGCTCGCTCCAGATCTCCGTCTTTTAGAGGGGTTACAATCCTTTTTCTGCACGTGTCACTAACAGGAAACGCTGAATCGGTTGCACAGTACCCGCCTTCAATTGTTTTGCTGGGATCGGCAAGTCGCCGCTGTAATTGGCGACTCATCTCGCCGTCGTTCCAAGACCCAGGGAAATTATGTTTTCCCCAGATCAAGGTGCCGTCGAAGCCATAGCATAAAACACCAGTTACCTTGACGCTGTGTAGCCAACCTACATTACGATGAAAATCAATTTAGCGTTCGTAGTACATGTATAAGATAGAACGTATCTCACCGTTGTAGTATGCGTTTTGGACGTCACTGTTCGTTGGTGTTTGTACCGCGTAGTTCTTCCCGTCGGCCACGCAAAAGCAGCCCTTCAGCAGTCCTTCTCGCTTCGTCACTTGGCTTGCCCACGCAGCTTGCAATTGGCTAGACGGCCACTGAACGGCAGCCAGGGTTATCTCGCGCAGCGAAGCTGCTAGAGCCACCTCCGCTTGGCACAGCGTTCTGCTCGTCGTCGACGGAGGTACGCCGAACAACTCACATAGCGTTTTGAGCTCCACAGCAGCAGTGTACATGTGCAGCAAGCATGCTAGTACGTTATTCTTCGACACGAACCACCGTGGACGGCCTCTTTGTGAAGGCCCGGACTTGACAACGTAGTGCCGTGAGAACACCTCGAGCAACATGTCGTAGGTATGGGGAAGGAGAGAGTCGGTATTGATGAACGACTTCTCGCACCGCGACTTGTACATGAACGTCCATGCGCAAACTGCATTAGAGGTTAGAGCAGCAGTCGTTATGTAGTTGCGCTCCAGTATCATCATGCGCATCCTTATGAAGCACATCAGCTTCTTCAGTAGTGCGTGTTGCCTTCTTCTCTGTTGCTGACGTTGGACGGAAAGCGATGCGTTGACACGAGCAAGGAGGTGACCAGTGTGCATGGCGAGGGACGGACACGATATGGGGACGCGAGAGCCGACGCGAAGGCTGAGACTTCTGAAATCAACTCGGGTTTTTGGTGGCAGTCGGATGACCAAATGAGGACTATACCGGCGCCAAGTGGTGAACTATATCGCTCTTAAATCTGAGTTTGGTACAACATATAGGCGATTTTTGGAAGCCTCCCAATGGTAATTTGTACGATCTCATTTTTACAGAAGGGAGCGACCTACCTGTTACTTTAGTGCAGACAACGGAAACATATCTAGGCCCGTCATTTCTGTCCGATGTTCCAAATATTATTCCTGTCCCTCCGAAAGAAATCAGCGGAGTCGCAAACTGGGTTACGAATTCGCATGGATCTATATGCACCTATTGTGTTGCAGAGCTGCCTCTTTCATGGATGCAATGATCGCTGTGTCGTAGTCAGCAGTTTTGAGTCTTGCTTTCTTCAATCCTTCCTCCTAGGCCTGGAATATTTGATGCTTTTCTGGCGATGTTTTCCATTTGTCAAGTGTTAACGGGGAAGTGAGTATGATATCATTTCTGTGCTTAACCCTGGATAGCGCAACATACGCAAATGCACATGAAGGGACCGAGTGAGAATGAAAAACAACTTTATCGCAAGTAAGCCCTTGAACTTTATGCACCGTCATCGCAAATGCCAAACGGACCGGTAGGCCTCTTCGAACAACTTTAACATAGTTTGTTTTCTTACTCCCGGTGTGTCCTCCATCGCGCAATAGAGCCCCTCCACATCCCCTCCTGTTAATGATCGCCCCCACCGCGCCATGTACTACTACACCAGGGCCCCTCCCCTTCAAGATCACCCCCACCGCACACACAATTGTGGCCTCAACACCTCTATACACTACGAGCTACGCGCCAGACATCCCCGATATGTGATGCGGGAACAGCAGTAGTTTGGGAGAAGCGTGGAGACGTCGTCAAAAGTACGTTACCGTACTTAAGAGGTCGGCCCACCAGCAACTCGACCCGAGCTGCTCAGCTAGTAAACAGATATGACGGGGTATGCGGAAGACCAGGTGCGCATATCGGGAGGGAGGACTGTACTGGTACCATCCGGTGCACGACTAGCATCTGCGGGTTCTCCAGCTCCGGGTCGTCAAGCCACACGACAGCGTGTGCCGGTGACCGCCTCCGATCCACGACCAGCGCGGCCGTACACTTGGGAGCCGAGGATCGAACCCTTGCACTTTCCATCGGGCTTGTCAGTTCCCTTCAGCCCCGCGCTCGTTTCACCCGCGGCATTGACGGCAGAGTATGGATGGCAGCCTTTCACGACCTCGAGGCTCGGTTTGAACCTGACGGCGGCCTTCTCGGTGGCGGTGACGGGGGCGAGCTGCGCGAAAGGCTGCTCCTTGTCGTGGTCGATCTTGCTAGCCTCAATGGACGTGAATGAAGCGCCACCGATATCGGCAAGAAGGAACGCGGGCAGGTTCATGGTTCGGATTGCAGCTTGGCGATGAATTGGAAAGTGAGCTCTACCTTAAAATGGCAAACCTTTTGTGATTAAGATTTCTTGCCGTAGGATTAAGAACTGGTACAGTACCTGGGAGTGATTTGATGGCGCGTATTCATCTAATTTTATTATTTAAAGAGCACTTCTAATACTACAATATAGTCGCCTTCAAGACAAAAGTTACGCGCATCAACTGGTGGTGTGGTGGCCGTTGAGTGTATTGGTTAGCACAGCTTGCTTTCATTGCATGCTTCTTCGCTATCCGCCTCGCACCAATATTTTCCGCCTAAATGAGAAGCAACCGCCATCGGCTCGAGCACAAAAGTGTATCGAGGCAAACGCATAGTCGCAAATTCTATCGAAAGGATCTGCTCGTACATTTCCCACTTATACTTGATCTGTTTTTCTGCGCTAAGAATCTGCAATAACACCGCTGCGGGTCGTCTCTGCACTGTTAAAAAAAAACGTGCGAACAGGCACGTGAATATCCACGCCGGACAAAACGCTGGACAGGTGCCGGTCGAATCTGTAAACTTACGACTGAAGTTTTACTATTCGTAACTCGAGGAAGGGAGGCATAACGATGCGTCTCCACCTACTGAAGTAGAATATATAGATGTATTAAATGCAAGTATGGGAATACACTGATGCAAGTATTGCTATATTAGCATAACATAGATGCAAGATGATTATTCTCTAGATCGCTTATGCCACTTGAAGCCAATTATTTTCTAGACTGCTTAGGCAACTTGCCGAAGTCAACGCAGGGAGTACATGTAGTGTACATGTACGGCATCGACTGCAGGTTTTGACGAAATAAGCACAGTGGGTGGTGAACGACACCAGCTGCAGCGACAACGAGCACTTCCCAGCAAATCATAGATCTGGCGGCCAGATTTGTCCCAGAATGCTGCGGGAATCGCTCCACTAGTAGAAAATCTCACATTTTAGAGCTTTCCCCGCCAGACTTAGATTGCAGGCCCAAACCGGAAAATATATGACGAGCCTGGGACTGCTCAAGGCTATCCAGACTGTACATCCAGACTATCTCCATACTAACACAGCAGATAAATTACACCAGGTTGGCCAAGGCATACGCTCCGGTTGTTAGTGCTGTGAGAGGAGACTACGAGCTGGCAGCCAGATACACGAGCTACGAGTTGACCTGAAAATCATGTTGCTCTCGAGTATCAAGTGCGTATAAAGTACCGGCAGCAAGTTACGACCTGATACTAACTTAGAAAAAGAATAAAGCTAGATGTGAATTTGTCCTCTAAGGCGTACTTGAGTGGACTGTCTAGACGTCGTTATCGCTCATCGATTGGGTGCATACTACTTCAGTAGTAACCAAACAACGCAGTCTACAGTAACACTGTGTTCATGAGTCTTCGGGAGCGTCGCCAATAGATGCACTTGGACGAGGAGAACGTGTGGACACATCCACCGATGACTCGGAGGATCCGACGGCGACGGGGGAGCCGGCGGCAACCGGGCTCTGGATACACCAATGGCTGGTCAGGGAGACCCATATATACTGAGATCAAGTCAAGCGGAACCCGGGAGTAATCCGTCTGATGAGAGGCATCAACGAGCACAAGGAGAACAAGAAGGAAAGCAGGAGGGGAAGACTAGAGAGTAGTTTGAGAGACGATAACATTTAATCTCACTTCGGAATTTGCCCTCTCATCCACAAGCTACAAACCAACACACTGCCGACTAATCTTTCCCAACCTTGCTCCACGGGCTCGATACTGGTCCAAATAGCACCCACGGAGTCGAGCTCCCTGTCAAAGTAGCCGATGAAGCCGCCCAACGGCTAGTCCTTGGGAGCACAGTCCTTGCCAATCTTGGTCGCGCGGGTGCCTCCAGAGATCGTGTTGCCCGCACTGGTGGTGAACTCGATGTACCGGATGCGCGTGTGGCTGTGGTACTCACCCCAGTGGGCCTCGATACACGTGACGTGCTCGTTGTCGACCAATGTGAGTGTGTTCGAGTCACCGCCGTCGCCGCCGTGATACAAATTAGTCTTTGCCCCGTAATAACGAGTCCGATAACATTGATGCGCTCGCCGGTTCGGATGGTGATAGACTTGACGCTTTGTCCAGGCGAGGCGCTACCGGGTTTATCTTACTATTTTGTCAAGATTCAACCACTTGTACACCTGATTGGGGTTGAAGCTCTTGCGGAGGGACAATTCCGCCACTTGGTCGATTAGCGCAGAGTTTTCAAGGCCTTGGTAGGACTTCACGTAGATCTTGTGGAGGGTGTCCTTGGTCGCCTTCTTCGTTGATTTTCCCAGCTCCTTGATAACCTCCACGGCTCCCCTCTCTTCGTCGTCGACGGGAGCAGTTCGCAGCAACAATCGCCCTTGGGTCATCTCGGGTTCCGCAGCATTGATCGGTTGAACCAGGCTCTGGGACGTTTGGAGGTTGCTTACAGACCCCGAGACACTGGCGAGGAGAGCGGTCACTGCCATCAGCAGGATGATGAAGGCACGCATGACTTCGTAGAGAGTTATGAGTCTCAGGTGCTAGACAACGTTTGTTCTTGACGTCGCAACGCAAATTCTGGAGTGCATTAGGTGGGGGCAATGTATTTAATAGCTAATCATTGTTAACTTCTTTCAAATGATTACACGAGGGCCGATTAGCCCGGAGGTCGCAACGGGCCCGAATGCATCGAAAATGTTTCGCCGAGTTGAGTCAACATGTGCGTATTGGGCGGGTGTTACCAGTACGAAGTCTGCACTTTTCAAAGTGCAGACTACTATCGTACTGCTATTAAAATAGCAATTTAGTAGTAATACTATCAATGCAATACTAATAAGTATTTTAACATAATGATGCCCCCAGCATTAATGTACGTGTTCAACTTGCAAATTCCAAGTTCAATTCTGCAAAAGATAAGTTCAAAACTGCACGAGCATAGACCAGGCTAGCTTCGTACTTTTATACACAGCTCATCGGTTGGTACGCAGCACAGCTAGCCAATAGGCAAAATTGTACTCTATAATCGAATACGATGATACATATCATACATGATATACTATACATTTATAGAGTATTGCTGTTTTGATTTTACCTTTTGTTGTTTTGAACTTGCAATTCGCAGTTTTGAAGTTGAAAAGGTGTAACTGTACCCGAGCGTACAGAACCCCCATTAAATGTAACGATAAACGGGTAAAGTTGTGTAAGCGGCCTATAGAATAATCGGCTTGAAGTGGCATAAGCGATCTAGAGAGTAATCGGATTGGATATACTTATACGTGTATTGTGCCAACGCATTAACATGCCCCGGCAAAACCTTGAAAGCCTCCAATCGACCAATCCTATCCTGCATCCCAGCCTGCATAGGTCCGATATATAATAGCACATACCCTCCTTGCTTGATGGCATGCCCAACTTGGACTCGAAGCATCTTTGGTACTTAACCAAAGGCGCTCATGGTCAGAAAATGCTGCCCTGAACGCACGGGGCTCCAGGCCATTATCAGTTGTACAGCTTACCACTCGCCCCTCGAACACACGTACATGTGTACGTGTGTACGTACACACGTTCCAGACAGCAACGATGAAGTTCATTCCCCAAGTTCTGGCGACGATGACGCTAGCGGCAAGTTGCGCTGCTGCGCTCGAAAACGGCATCCAACTGAGCGAGGTCTACGGCGGCCCTCACGGCCACAAGTACTCGGATATGACCCCAATTGGCTTCTGTATTTCGTCTACGTTGAAGTCACAATTCAGAACCGTTGATTTTTTGAACAAATTCCTTTGAATCATTCCACCCACATGGCTACATCATGTTTCACCCATATTTATTTTGACATCAGTTTTTTCACCCAGTTTTAAATCCCACAAAAAGATTTGACTCATGTCGTTGCCGCTGCCGACCCGTCCAGGATGATGGAGTACCTGGCGTCGCTGCCCCAGGAGGAGCAGACGCAGCTGCTGCAGAGCGCCATGGGCAAGCTGGACTCCTTCGAGGAACAGGCCGAGCAGAGCCGCACGCGCGAGGGGCTCATCCAGCGCTTCAAGCAGGCGCGCGCCCGGTTCGTGCGGCCCGGAGGCGCCTTCGCCGAGCAGCTAGACGCGGGGCAGATCTCGCCGGACGCAGTGCAGGTCAGCATGTCCAACACCAACGCCAAGCCCAACCTGGACATGAGGTCGCTGAAAAGCCTAAAACCCATGATCGCCCAGGAGCTCGTGGTGGGCGACCACCCACCGAGGGCGGTACCTGTGTGGGTGGGTGGCAGTCGACGACGCGTTCTTCGGGATCGCGTCGTCGTCTCTGCTGCTGGAGGACGTGACGGGGCAGTTGGTGGAGATCGGGGCCTACGGACTCGTGGACCCGGAGCTGCCCCCGTTCGAGCGCCAACACGCTCTCGCCAGTCGGTTTCCTAAAGGACAGCCCATTGTGGTGTTCGAGCCGTACTATAAAGTTCGACAGGATATGTCCGAGGGCATTCGAGTGGAGCAGCCCATGGAGCTGGTCCCGTGGAGAGACGTGCCCAAGGACTTGGAGGCGTGGAAGAAGCTCGGCAACGACTCCTTCAGTGCTTTGAACTCTGTGAACGAAGGGCGGGGAGCGCTGGCGTGCTACGAACGCGCGATCCAACAGGTGAAGGAGGAGGTGGAGAAGCTGGCGGTGCTGCTCAACAACATTGCGACCTGTCGGTTCAAGACAAAGGACTACAAGGCCGCGGCGCAGCTTGCGGGTACGGCAGTGCATCTCGACCCTGCGTACGTGAAAGGGTGGTTCCGGCTGGCGTCGGCTCTTGTTGAAGACTCGGAGGCTGGGGGGAAGACACGCGTGCTGGCTGAGCGTGTGGTTGCGCATGCGCGTAGTGCTGTCCCGAACTTGTCGGCTAAGGAACGACGTCTGCTTGAGGGCACGCTCAAGAAGGGCGAGTCAACTGCGTCAACGGACGAGGTTTCGTCGCTGCAGTCGTACGTGGAGTGGTGTATGGAGCTGGACTCGCCTGGGTTTTTGATGGTTGCCAAGGACAGTCTAGATGACACCAAAGATGCTGACGGATGGCGCAAGGCAGGATCCGAGTTTTTCACGAAGGGCGACTATCGTGCAGCAGAGGAGTGTTATCGGAAGGGGGTGGCAGCACATGCGTCTTGCTGCCGTGATGTTGCCCTTGTGCTGAACAACATCGCGCCGCTGTGCACTTGATGCTGCATGGTGAGACGAGCGCCGTCCCCGGCATCAGCGTTGGCGGAGTTGAGCCGTCTTCGGCAAAGTTGAGCCACCGGATACCGAACACTGAGGCAGCACTCTAAGGCTGCACGATTGCTGGAATCATTGACCCTTTGAACTACAAGGCGTGGACACGACGAGCTCGTTGCTTGCAGAAGCTGGGGACAGCTCAGGACAAGTGTATTGCTGATTTGAACACAATCCGTGGTAACGTTGTTTCAAGAGCGTTTTCGTCGGCAGAAAGCAGAGAACGAGTGCAGGAATTCAAGACCAGAATGAGCACTGAAGTTGAGCGCCGCTCAAAGCAACTATCAGAGTCGAAAGCCGCTCACAAGGTTTCAGATGTACCGACTGATGTGCAGCGCCAGCAGCGCGACGCCTTACAGCCGGACAATATCGTCTCGGCCATTATGCGTGAGGAATCCAAGGCAGAGACCTCGCCTCTAGGGTCGATGGGCGGAGAAGAAAAGGAATCTATCGATGAGTACATTGCGAGAATGGAAGCTTTTGAGAACATGATACGCTTTGGCTTCACTGCGGCTAAATCCAAATCGAAGCGCCAGCAGAAGGACCTCCCGCGCGAGATGACAATGTTTGTGAAGCACCCACCTCCTCAAATTCACACCGAGTTCCCGAAGCTTTGAGACTGGCCTGAAGGAATCGACCCCACGTTTGCACAAAAGGTACTGCACCGAGCCTACCTGGATGCCAGCGCAAACCTGTGGATTATGGCGGTGAGTATGCGCGACAAGATGTTTTACCAGAATATGCAGCCTGCCAATCTGATAAAACGCTGGCACGGAACGGAAGCAATGAGGATTCTTGAAGCCAAGGGTAACAAGCTGAGATACGGTGATATTATCGACGGCCGTGGATAAGGTGCTATACCCGCGTACGACTCTCGCATTCGCTCCAATTTCGCCAATAACCCTAACCGAGCGGAGGTATATTTCTTTGGAACGACCCACGTCGCTATCGGCTTCAATGACTTCAGCAGTCTTCTCGCTGCGAGGATTCAAGAGAAATCAGCGTCCACCAGTGGTCCGTTGAGGTTCGTGGGATTCGAGATGAGCGAATTCGCAGTTGCCAAGTGCAAGGTCATCGCGAGTATGCTTGGGTCGCCCGATGTGTCGATTTCGAGCGTGATGGAGGTGTGGCTTTCGTCGACTTGGAGTGAGGCTACACTGGATGATTTCCGGAATTGCTTGAATGTAGTATTGAAATCACTGCAAGGAAGAAAGGAGAACCCCAAGGTGATCGCATACTTGAAGCACTGGGCAGCGACAGAGACTATCTCTGCTTCAAAAGCAAGGGCAGAGTTCTTCATGAACTTGGAGAGATACAACGAAAAGTCGTTGATCTCGGCAAGCTGTTTCCGCCGTGAGATCGATAGGCTCGATTTGGTCCAGTACATGCTAACTGGTGAAGTCCGAGCATCCGCCAACGTGCTCAACGTGCTGGAGAAGGAACAGAGTGGGTCTACCAATACGAAAACAGGTACAGCTCACAGTGGCAAGTCAAGTGCGAAGAAGAGCGGCCGGAAGAAGTCCTAGCAACCAGTGTCTCTTCGCTGGTTGGTAGCGTGACGATGTGGAACGTTCCTACTGGCGCTCCGCCTCTCGAGGAGGACATTGCTTTTAACACCGTGGATTTCATGAGCTTGGTGGAGGACTATGTGGGGCGACAAAGCAAGCAGAAACACTCTGTGGATAGGCTTTCGGTTGCTGACCTGTTTATTATCCACGTTATGACGAACCTTCGCCGTCTCCGCGATTTAATGTTGACGAACAAACTCACTATCGAAGTGGCGTATGGCGTCAAGGCGGTTCGAAGTGCAGCAGCGAACGACCCTGAAAACCAAGAACTTTTGGCGCGTATTGCTATGTTGCGCCCGTACACGATCTCGTGGTCGAACGTCCTGGACTACTTCCTTCCGGAAGATTTCCACGACTTGGCACGTCGCTGCTCGATGTCCGGCGATTGCGTGCATTACGGCTACAGTATGAACTGGCCAACTCAAGTGTATGGAGTGTCGATTCTTGACTATGACCCGGAACACTCCAAGCAGCTGATCGACACGACACTGGACACGGCGCTCGGCTTCTCCGATAGCTCTGGCTCCTCGGTTCCTTTGACAATGGATCTATTCAAGATGATGGAGCTCGACAAGCTGGTGCTTTTACCTTTTCGTGAGCACCCGCTTAACAGCACGGGGTACGTTATGGCCCAGGTCTACAAGCGGCACTGGATTGATAATTTCATGAAGACGGGCGAAATGAATGCCAAGGCGGCGCGGCGTCTTGGAACGTCCTGTATGCCGTCTAACCGCGGACTGCAGAAGGGCGAGCGGAACCGCAAAAGGATAAACTACAAGTGAAGGTCAATGAATAGGAAAAACGTAACGTTGCTGTATTTTTATCAGGAAAAATCTGGCAAAAATTACAAAACACGGTGATAAAAAATCACCGCCCACCTCGTTCCCATACAAAAATCAAGTCACAAATCAGTACTTCGTGTGAGCCCCTTGCTGGCGATGACAGCGCCCAGGCGAGCCGGCATGGAAAGCACGCACTTGCGAATGACATCGTCATCGATACTCGTCCATATCTCAAGGAGCTTTACCTTGAGGTCCTCAATAGAGGTTGCTGGCTGGCGATTCAGCTCCCGCTTCATGATCGCCCACACGTTCTCAATTGAGTTGAGATCGGGGCTCTGGGCGGGGTGACGAAGGTCATGGAGCCCTAAGGACTTCACGAACTTCGTCGTGGCCTTAGCGCGATGCGCTGGAGCGTTATCCTGGACGAAGTTGGTAGGCTGGGGTAGACCGAGGAACTGGCGGGTGATCGGGATCTCCTGTTGAAGCAGGTGTCGGTAGTAGGCGCCGTCCACGGACTTCTCGCAGAAGTGCATCGTACCGACGCCGTCTACCGAGATGGAGGACCACACCATCAACGACTTGCGGCTGGACTTGAAGGTCGGCACGACGCACTTCTCATGGAAGGCTTCATGTGTCCGGTGCCACACCGAGACACGACCGCTGGTACCGTGCAGCTCCACCGATGCCTCGTCTGTAAAGAGGACATTCGACCAGTCGTCCTTCTCCAGATGAGCCAGCCTCTTTGCATAGGCGAGGCGCTGGTTGCGGTGCTTCTTGGAGAGGTAAGGTTTCTTCCTAGCAGAGCGGCCGTTGAGGCCGGCTGCGTTGAGGCGGTTGCGCACCACCTGCGGCGACACCACGCAGCCAGTGTCCCTGGAAACCGCAGCAGCCAGGACCGCCGCGCTTGAGAACCGGTTGGTCTCAGTGTCTCGGAGAATGCGGCGGTCGTCGCGGGCAGTAGTGAGCCGGGGGCGGCCTTGGAGCGGAGCTACGACACAGTGGTCATTCAACTTGAAGTGTGCGATAATATCGCGCACTGTCGAGCGGGCCATCTCCAGCTCCCTCGCGATTCTAGAGTAGCTGTAGCCCTTCTTCCACTTGCTAACGCAGAGACAACGGATCTCGTGCGAGTGCTGGCAACGTCCTTGGTCCATAGTTGAGCTTGACTTGTTCGAATTGAGGTGAATAGGAGAATGATAGCAACTAGCGCGGCAACGATCGCTGCGTTGCCGCCAAAATGCATGGGTTCGATCGAGCAACATTCGTGCAACATTGTGACCCTCCATACAAAATTTTATATAATTGGCAAGAGGTCAGCCACTGGGCGCTCACTATATTTGCACCTTGATTTGAATAATCGGTGATTGGCGGAACACTTCCCGCGAACCGATGCTAATGGCTAATGTTTTCGTCTTGGGGTTCGCTGGCGGTTCTACTCGTACCCGCAGCACTGTGATCCGATTAGTGGTTGTCTAGCTATTGCCCAAAATCGATGTTGATGTTGCCTGGGCGGTGACTTTCTAGAGCCGCTGTACGAAACTCTAAAGGATGCAAAAGGTAGGCGTTGTATTCAAGTAAATCTAAAATCCCTGAAGGATGGTAGTGGTCTCTAAGGCGCCCAGCTGCTCAACCCATTTCCGAACTATCGACGGCGAGAGTTTTGCGGCAAGGGCAGCAAACCCAAAGCCGTCGACACCCTTCTTGTACTCTCCAGCAACACTGCGCTTGAATCCGATACTGTACCTATTACGCTTTTTCTTGGCTGACATTCTTGGCGTGGGCTTTTTTGTCGCGGGAGGGCGATTGTATAATGATACGACGAAACAAGAGCCCGACTTCCGCTCGTATGGCTGGCGGTCGGCACAGAGGTGCTACCTCGTCCAAATGGCAGCAGAATTGTTGGCAACTACTAACGTTAATAAGAGTTGTGTTACGCTTGGGTAGGCGTTTTATTTTGTTATAGCTTCAATTCGAGGGTGCGATCAGATTCGGGATTGTTGACCAACCTCGAATACAACGCCTAGGCGACTAGTACGAGGGAAGACGGTAGTAGCTGGGGACACCGTCATCTCGCAGTCATTTTAATCCGCGTGCGTGCGAGCAAGATCATCTATTAGGGAGAATTGTCGTGAAATTCATGGACCTCACTTATCACCGCAGGAGATCCCTAACTTTACCACCAATATTGCAGGCTCGATTTCTCTGCTTCTACGGTGCGCGCGAGTAAGTAGAACACGTAGAAGACAGATCTGCCGATTCATATGCAGCAAACCGAAGGAAAATTTAGCTGCCACACCTCGCGTGAACGATTCACTACGATAATGTAACTTTTAAGCCCCGATAATAGCGGCACAGCGTAAAAAATGGAACGCTGCGACGTCATTCGCGGCGTCACCTGCACTGTAGCGCTACGTACCCTCGATGGATGGCTCCACATTTGGCTCGAGGACTGCCAGACCAAACAGCAGTGCAGCAAAGTCTCCAAACGTGTTTACAAGCATTGGTTTCTTTAACATTGGTTGTTGTTGATTGAATCAACTGGGTTCTACTGCATTACTTGCTATGATAAGAATGGAGAACTGACGGTGGGTGTATGATGCCCGATGATCACGGAGAGACAGTTGTGTTGCCTCGGAAACTAGTATTTTAACTTTTGCCAGGGCAGCCAACACAGCAGTAGTACAGTATTACGACTAGATATGCGCTGTTCAACGATTGGTTTGGTCATGCAACCACCTGCCAGTAGACAGAAAAGTAAGAAAACAGCGAAGCGGCTTCAGTTTACCGGCCTCAGTATATCGGCCTCAGTTTACTGGCCTCAGTTACCGAGGTCCGAATTAACACATTGGCTCCGAACGTCGTAAGTTACGACATGTCTGTTTTTTTCTGTCGTAAGTTACGACATTGAGCGTGTTATACTAGAAAAACGTATAGAGACGATTTTCCCATACTTTAATCAAGTTTATTTCAAGCAACCGCAACCTATAAGGTGCGAGAGGTCTCTGCGACAAATTCACAGAACCGGGTCAGAGGATGGGTTCAGGTGGGTGAAAGATTCCAGGTTGGTCCAGAGCCTGGACAGTTTGGTCTAGAGTCCGGACAGTACGTCCAGAGTTGGACCAGACAGGTATCCTTCAGTGAAGGATAGGTGCAGGGCCTTCACCCAGCACACGAAGTTGAATTTAGACACTTTTGGCGGCAGCTCAGGGTGACCGGATAGACCTGGGGAAGCGCGTCGTGTAGGGCACGCTCGGCGAGAACACAGGCAAGCGCAAGAAGGCACGATAAGACCTGCAGCTTCCCCGCGAAGAAGGAAGCGATGGTGGACAAGATCAGCAATAACAGTGAGCGTGTAGGTTGCGTTTCAGTTAGAGCGTGTTCGCTACGCAGCTGGAGATGGATATCTGCAGGGAGTTGGTGCATCTCCATCTCCAGCTTGTTCGCTACAACAGAGCGCATCTAGGTAAAATTAGCCGATCACAGTGCGACTCGCTCTCCTTCTCCTTACTTTGCTGTTCTTCGTCGGCCGGGAACACTGTGCCCGAGACACCGGACGCGTGGCAAGATGGACCAAGCTGCCGATGACGCTCCGAGAGCTGCGCCTCCGTTCCCTTCAGTCAGTGGCGACCTCGTGCTGGTTGCTGCCAGTTTGGACATACCTTCCTCTGATGTTGCTCTTGCCCAGACTGTGTATGCGACACCGGCCACTACTCAAACGGAGCTGGATGCCCGCACTTCCTCGCTGGCGCTGCCGCATTCAGAGACACCCAGCCAGCTTTTTGCGCTCGGAGTTGTAGCTGCGTCAGCCCGCAACCAAGACTCACATCGCCGCGTTGGGAATCAGAAGAAGAAGGCCAATACTGGTGAAACGTCTACCGCTACGAAGCAACCATCCTTTGCGTGGACGACTGCAGCAGCTGATGCCCTGCTGCCGGCTCGTTTTGACACGGCTGCAACTTTCTTCTCAAAGCTATGCTGCCGTACTTTGGCAGCAGCAAACAGAACACCTTGATCTCGTAGTAAACCAGCAATACGTAGGAAAGTTGGCTTGGTGCAGCGAAGATTGTCTTCAAACCAACTTGCATACGCGGCTGACTGTAGCATGGGCTCAAAGTGCAGTGAGGTCACGGTACGAATCTGTTCCTTAGGGCCTTGCGGCGCATCGTCGGATTCTCCTGATAGGAGGACTGCAACCTGTGCGACAGCTGAGCATGTAGCAACCAGTATAGCTTCCTCTTCGTTCATTGTGTGTGCGGCTGAACTGCCTCAATCTCCAGCTACTTTCTCCTTCTCCAGCTCTGGGAGCTGGAGAAGGAGACGGGGAAATTCTCCAGTTGTCACGTTGTGAACTAAACTATTTTGACCAATCAAAAGACAAGAAATAGAGTTGATGAGAGGTCATCTCCATCTCCAGCTACCTAGCGAACACGCTCTTAGTCAGTGGTCAGTTTCGTGTGGTTGAATACAAAGTTTGTTTAGCAATGCATGTGATTTCTGATCGGAGCTGCAGAACAGTGCACCTCCTCAGCCATCTGTTGACTGCAAGTGGGGTCTGTTACGACATTGAGCGGCGATTGCTCTATTTCTATGTCGTATCGCTTACAACATTGGCGAGAAAACCTGATGACAATTTATACACCTATCCCGACGAGAAACACATGGTCCATACAAATATCAAGTGAATATGTAAGTCGTAACTTACGACATGCGCTTACGCGTCTGAGGCGAGTACCGTTAGGAGACAGGTGTTAACCCGATTTGGGCTGCCTAGCAGCATGACCTATCGGCCACTGATATCCCAGTAAAACTTCCTGTAGATACCATAAGCTATGGCATCGTCCGGCGAAGCGAAATGTGGAATCTCCTCGGTAGGCTG